TTTGCCACTTTTCCCCCCTTAGGCATTGCAAATTTGTTTGTGGTTGTTTCTGCTTGCTTTAGGTCTCTGGTTCCATTAGAAACCATGTAAAAACCAAGGAAAAACAGGTATCCTTGGGGGAAGGTTAGGGGCTTGGGGCATGGATTAAGCAATTTTGTTTTTGACTTATTTTTGAAAACATGCCAGAAGACTATGAAAAAACAAAGGCAGCCAATGAGTACGTTTTTTGATATTGACATTGCTGACTATAAACCCCAGTTCCCCCTAGTACATCCCAATATATCCCACCCATATGGGAATGTCTCAAAATGAGGCGAGCCCTTTTTTTTTAAGTAGCGTTTTGGGGGTCAAAAAAAGCGCGCCTCATTTTGAGACGTCCCCATATACCACAGAGGTCTTTACAGGATTAGATTAGATCATTTTACAGAGGTCTTTACAGGCTTGGGTGAGGGACTGAGGGATTGAATTAGATTAGATTGGATTAGATTAGGTTAGATAGATTGGATTGGCTTGGCTTGCTTTGGATTGGATTGGATTGGGTGAGGGACTGGATTGGATTAGATTAGATTAGATAGATTGGATTGGCTTGGCTTGGATTGGATTGGATTGGGTTGGTTTGGACTGGATTGGATTGGATTAGATTAGATTAGATAGATTGGACTTGACTGGATTGGATTGGATTAGATTAGATTAGATAGATTGGATTTGAGTGGGTTGGATTAGATTGGGTTGGGTTGGATTAGATTAGGTTAGGTTAGATTGGATTGGATTGGATTTGGTTTTGTTGGATTGGAATTAGACTGGATTGGATTGGATTGGATTGGATTGGAATTAGATTAGATTAGATTAGATTGGATTAGATTAGCTTAGATTAGTTTAGATTAGGTTGGATTGGATTGGATTTGATTGGATTTGATTGGATTGGATGGGGTTGTTGGATTGGATTGGATTGGATTGGGTTGGATTGGATTGGATTGGATTAGGGAGTGTACGAGTTTATACCACCAGATGATGCCACCAGTATACCCCCAGTTTTACCACCAGTATACACAGTATACCATGGTATACGGTCAGTATACCATGGTATACGGTCAGTATACCATGGTATACGATCAGTATACCATGGTATACGGTCAGTATACCCTGGTATACGGTATTATACCCTAGTATACCGTAGTATCCCCAAGTAAACCCCAGTTTCCCCTAGTATATCTCAATATATCCCACCCATATACCACAGAGGCCTTTACAGCACTTCAATAAGATTGGATTGGATTGGAATTAGATTAGATTAGATTAGATTGGGTTGGATTGGATTGGATTGGATTGAAATTACATTAGATAAGGTTAGATTAGAGTAGGTTAGATTGGATTGGATTGGGTTGGATTGGAATTAGATTAGATTAGATTAGATAGATTGGATTGGATTGGAATGGATTGGGATGGGTTGGGTTGGATTGGACTGGATTGGATTAAAATTAGATTAGATTAGGTTAGATTGGATTGGATTGGGTTGGATTGGAATTAGATTAGATTAGATTACATTAGATTAGATTGGATTGCATTGGCTTGGATTGGATTAGATTGGATTAGATTAGATTAGATAGATTGGATTTGATTGGATTGGATTGAATTGGATAGGATTGGATTAGATTTGATTTGGCTAGATTAGATAGATTGGATTGGATTGGATATGATTGGATTGGATTGGACTGGATTGGATTTGTTTGGGTTTGATTGGATTGGATTGGATTATATAGATGAGATATCTCTGGATTGGATTGGATTGGATTGAATTGGATTAGATTAGAGTAGATTAGATACATGTATCAATGAACAGTAATCCAGGTTTCCACGGATGCTGCTTTTTCAAAGGAAGATTGTGTTGCCATAAAGGACAATGCTCTGTTGTAAGGAGCGAAAAAACATTCTGAAAAAATCTCACATTTCAAAACATATTGCACTTTTGAAAGGGATGCTCTATGTCAAAAATACTGCATATTGTGCGGCAATATTGGCTTTTCTAAAAGGGATACTGCTCCTTTGAAAGGAAGGTTAGACATGTGGAAATAACAAGATTTCCTTTGAAAGGGGCCCCCAAGGTGAAAGAGGTCCTGGCCAAGAATGTTCCTTATGCGCGCGAAGCCCCCAAGATTAATTTCGACCGAGTTTTTCATACAAAGGCAAAAACTCGGTCGAAATTAATCTTGGAGGCTTCTAGGCCAGGACCCCTTTCACCTTGAGGACCCCTTTCACCTTGAGGACCCCTTTCAAAGGAAATTTTGTTAAATGCACACTGTACTCCTCCAAAGGGCATGGTGTATCTTTTAAAGGAACATTTGATATTTCATAGGGATATTGTTCTGCAAAAACACACTGCGTTGCTCCAAAGGAAGATTGCACTTATGAAGAAGGGTATGCTGCATTTCTGTTTTGAATACTGCATGCATTTGTTGGCAGGTATGGGTATGTTGATGTATATTGTAATTACGTTGAAGACATCTAGGATATCCGGCAAAAATTGAGTTTTGTCAAAGGGACTCTGCGGCATTTAGCCAAGGTAAAGTGAACACCTGGACACTTCTTCAAGCAATACATCCTCTCTAGTGGACATGAACACATCTTCATTCACAGTCTGGGTTTTAACACGTGATTAATTATAGTGTTTGACATGCTGAAAACGGCTGTTCCAACAAAAATGGCTTTTAGTTGCTTTTAGCGGTTTGAAAACCGCTCCATTTGGCATTTTTTTGAGCAGTTGAAAACGCTTCAAACAGCAAACACTCAAAATCATCAAAAAGATCAAAATTTGATCACTTTTAAAGACACTTTTTTTATAGCAAAAAACAAGTTACAAAAAGTTAGCTAAGAAGTTATGACTTAGTAACTGGGATATAACCCTAGGTTATAATCCAGTTACTAACTTTTTTTGGCGCCAAAGTAACCTCCCGTAACCTCCCGTAACCTCCCGTAACCGTAACCAAGCTAGGAATCTCTAGAATCTCTAGAATCTCTAGACTCTAAGTATCCCGTAACCTCCCGTAACCTCCCGTAACCGTAACCAAGCTAGGAATCTCTAGAATCTCTAGAATCTAACTATCCCGTAACCTCCCGTAATCTCCCGTAACCGTAACCAAGCTAGGAACCTCTAGAATCTAAGTATCCCGTAACCTCCCGTAACCTCCTCCCGTAACCTCCGTAACCGTAACCAAACTAGGAATCTCTAGAATCTCTAGAATCTAAGTATCCAGTAACATCCCGTAACCTTCCGTAACCTCCCGTAACCGTAACCAAGCTAGGAATCTCTAGAATCTCTAGAATCTCTAGATTTTAATTATCCCGTAACCTCCCGTAACCTCCCGTATAACCTCCCGTAACCGTAACCAAGCTAGGAATCTCTAGAATCTCTAGAATCACTAGAATCTAAGTATCCAGTAACCTCCCGTAACTTTCCATAACCTCCCTTAACCGTAACCAAGCTAGGAATCTCTAGAATCTCTAGAATATCTCTAGAATCTCTAGAATCTAAGTATCCCGTAACCTCCCGTAACCTCCCGTAACCGTAACCAAGCTAGGAATCTCTAGAATCTCTAGAATCTCTAAAATCTAAGTATCCCGTAACCTCCCGTAACCTCCCGTAACCTCCCGTAACCGTGACCAAGCTAGAAATCTCTAGAATCTCTAGAATCTCTAAAATCTAAGTATCCCGTAACCTCCCGTAACCTCCCGTAACCGTAACCAAGCTAGGAATCTCTAGAATCTCTAAAATCTAAGTATCCCGTAACCTCCCGTAACCTCCCGTAACCGTAACCAAGCCTAGGAATCTCTAGAATCTCTAGAATCTAAGTATCCAGTAACCTCCCGTAACCTTCCGTAGCCTCCCGTAACCGTAACCAAGCTAGGAGTCTCTAGAATCTCTAGAATCTAAGTATCCCGTAACCTCCCGTAACCTCCCGTAACCGTAACCAAGCTAGGAATCTCTAGAATCTCTAGAATCTCGAGAATCTCTAGAATCTAAGTATCCACTAACCTCCCGTAACCTTCCGTAACCTCCCGTAACCGTAACCAAGCTAGGAGTCTCTAGAATCTCTAGAATCTCTAGAATCTAAGTATCCCGTAACCTCCCGCAACCTCCCGTAACCTCCCGTAACCGTAACCAAGCTAGGAATCTCTAGAATCTCTAGAATCTAAGTATCCAGTAACCTCCCGTAACCTTCCGTAACCTCCCGTAACCGTAACCAAGCTAGGAATCTCTAGAATCTCTAGAATCTAAGTATCCCGTAACCTCCCGTAACCTCCCGTAACCGTAACCAAGCTAGGAATCTCTAGAATCTCTAGAATCTAAGTATCCAGTAACCTCCCGTAACCTTCCGTAACCTCCCGTAACCGTAACCAAGCTAGGAATCTCTAGAATCTCTAGAATCTAAGTATCCCGTAACCTCCCGTAACCTCCCGTAACCTCCAGTAACCGTAACCAAGCTAGGAATCTCTAGAATCTAAGTATCCCGTAACCTCCCGTAACCTCCCGTAACCTCCCGTAACCGTAACCAAGCTAGGAATCTCTAGAATCTAAGTATCCCGTAACCTCCCGTAACCTCGCGTAACCTCGAAGATATAGTTTAATCTAGCAAGTGTTTATACGCACTTTGTAATCACCATTAAACGTAATTAGTATTTTTATACGCAATTAGTGACGCATTAGACGCTATTAATGCCATTTAAACGCAATTAATACATATACTTCATTTGAATCCCTTTGGCTTGTTCCTTTTTGTTTGAGACATCCCTTGTCTATCACAGTATTGGTCACTGCTTAACTACAAACACAGTATTCACCACCTAACCAACTTCAAAAACCTGGGAATGCAATGGCTTCCTCTTCATGAGGTTAACGCTTGGTCTAGATGCAGGATTCCAATCAAAAACAATCAGAACTTTCGGACACAATTCGCAAATTGTATAGACACGTGTTTTTTTTCCGTTGATTGCATTGGTCCTGCCTTTTTCTTCACTTGGGCTCGTTTGGCTTCCAACTTTCGGAGCCCGGACATCAGCGCACTCTGATGCCTTTGCAGTTGAATTTCCTCAGCGCGGCCATTGGCCCATGGTAAAAAGGCGGATAATGCTTCGCTTGTTGAGAACGGAACCGTGAGCCAGAAGGAAGACCTTGACTGATTCGGATCTTTGACCATAACAGAACTCAAGCGCTTTCTGCTTGCCTCGCCAGAAATTAAAGATGATAACAGGAATGGTCCATCAAATCAAGCCTGGGGAACCCACATCGAAGATATCCGAAGATGACATATCATGGACAACTGGTAATATTTCACCATTGTCAGAAAACAGGCTCATTTTAGTTGCCAGGTGGCAACGGAGGTTGGTAGATTTGGCTCAATTATATACATCCTGTGTTCATTGGTTAACCACAGTTCTTGATAAGACTCCCTCCCAACCCTGGTCACACACACACACACCATATTTTCTGATCGAACACTCCTCCGTATTTCAATTATACTTCTTTCATACTTCACAAAGGCTTCAACTCCCCCTATGATAGTTACCTTTTTGTATGATGTTAGATGATATCCACATTTTTTTTCAGCCCAGATCCCCTTGTCCCACAGCCCACCGGGCCAGGCGTCTTGTTCGATGGTCCTCAAGCAGCTCTGCAGCTTCCCATCGATCATCGCAAAGGCCTTCTTCCGCATGGCCGCTGCAGCGTCGTTCAGCTCCTGGCAGGAACAGGATAACGATGTTGCTGTGGTGACGAGGATAAGGCTGGAAAACGAATAAACAAAAAGCTGGGAATCAGATTAAAAATAAAAATAAATTTGAATTCAATCTTTATTTGAATTCCATCCTTGTTCGCATATATATATATGGATGAGATTCATCTATACATAGATCAGATTCATCTATGACATTTGAGTGCTAGCGATACCTGCCATCTATGAAGTTGGCACAGAATTCGTAAATGGACGCGCTCTGCAACAAAGACGGAAACTCATGGAAACCCATGCCATTTCCCAGAACACTTGCCATGCTGTTTCATTTGGCATTTTGTTGCTGTGCTGTTTGGAATGTTCGTGTCTTCATATGGCATCGTTGTGAAGCAAAGTGGCCTTCCAGAGAGTGACGACCACAACTCCAAAGATGATCACTGCTGTGCCGTAGGGCAGATACTTCACAGGCGACAAAATGGTCGCAAGAATACACCAGGATGCGGTAACTCCAACCTCTCGACAAGACAATGAACAAGACAATGAACAAGACAATGGCCCTGGAGTGTCCACATTTTCCCATGTTGAAGAATGTTGGTTTGACCAAAAGGTATATGACATAGATATAATATGATATATATATAATTATATAGATATAATAATTATATAGATATAATTATATATATGTATGTAATGCAATGTAATGTAATGTAATGTAATGCAATGCAATGCAATGCAATGTAATGTATGTATGCATGAATGAATGAATGCATTGGATGAATGTATGCATGCACACATGTATGTATGTATCTATGCGTGCATGCACGTAATGTATTGTACTGGAATGTAATGTAATGTACTGTTGTGTACTGTTCTGTGCTGTTATATACTGTTCTGTTCTGCTATGTTATTTTACGTTATGCTATGTTATGTTATATTATGTTACATACGTACGTACGTACGTCCGTACGTACATACGTGCGTGCGTGCGTGCGTGTATGTGTGTGTATGTGTGTGTATATGTGTGTATATGTGTGTATGTGTGTTTGTGTGTATGTATGTATGGATGGATAGATGGATGGATGCATGCATGCATGCAATGTATGTAATGCATGCATGCAATGTATGTAATGCATGTAATGTATGTAACGTGTGTATGCAATGTATGCAAGAAATGTAATGTTGTAATGTAATGTAATGTATGTATTGTATGGAATGGAAATTAATGGAATGTATCTATGTAATGTACGTAATGTAAGTAATGTACGTCATGTAGTAATGTAAGTCATGTACATAATGTAACGTAATGTAACGTAGTGTGACATAATGTCATGTTATCTATATAATGTGTGTATGTGTATGGGTATGTCATGGTATGTCTATGTCTTATTTATGTCTATATGTATATCAGTGGCTATGACACATATAACTGGATTTTCTCCGAAGCCTTCACCCTTTCTGACGGTTGGCAGCTTTTTTCGCGTTTCGTCTGAGTTTCGAACCCAGGTTGCAATACCAATGACCTCCAAGAAGAGGATGACCTCAAAAAGCCAATCGTACCACCTGAAAGGAGATCAAACCGTGACGGATCATTGATGATTTTTGTGTTTCCCCAAAAGGTTTTTGGACAACAAGAATTCATAACTCTTCACTGCGATGTGTGTTGGAGGGTAAAGAAGGGTGATCTGGCGCCTTTACTAGAGCTTAAAGCAGCCCAATGCAGTGCTCAAAAGTTCAATGCCCCTGACACAGGGCAATTCTAAGTGGAGCGTAGTCTCTAAATTAAATAAAGATTCAAGATTTCATTGAAGTTCTATCTCTTTCAACACCTCCATCTATGTATATAGTATATAGCATGACATCATGCAAACAGTATCATGAAAGTTCATGAACATTCAGATCACATTCATCCAAGATTAGATCTTGATGTCTCTTGGATCTCTTTTATCAACCGGCCATCGGATTCCATCGGTGGAAAGCCTCTTGATCCTCCTCTCCGGACAAACGTAGTGCAGAAGCACCCGGACTGTAGCCAAGACCTCTGAGCTGTCCACGGAAGTTGAAAACGTTGCTGTCTAACAGGGGAAACCACAACATCCACAACATAGAACGATTTTGCATGGGGAATATGACAATTGACCAATGGACTTTACTCATTGGTGGGAAGGCTGTGCAACTGATATCGAGAGATTCTGAACGTCCAAAAGATATCGAGAGAACTACGGGATGCTTGTCGTCACCATTTGTGGGAAACACTCACTGTTTTGGGGCAGAAACTCATTGATTTGTATGGGTCTGGGTTAATTAAAAACCCTGGTACGCCGCTGTGCACTCCAAAATACTTCAAATACACTCAATTGTGCAGCTCACTGGGCCAAGGCCAAGGTACGATGTAGACGAACTGCGTTGCGAGAATGAAGGATGTCAAAAATAAGACCTGACGGCTGCCACAAGCGCTCTAGGAACTTGACATAATTCGACAGAACTTGGCAATTTCCGAAATTCTCATGTCGGAGACTGCCAAATGGACTGGACAACCCCACATCTGAAGCCTTCAGGCAGAGCAGGGATGAGATAGTAAAGACACGTAAATCACTGAAGCTGGCTTGGTAGCCACAAAAAAGAAGAACCGGACACTGTGAAGTGGGCAAAAACCAGGTTGTTCCGACTGTCATAGCATATCATAGCACCTTCGACCATTCTGATGGGTTATTCCGGTCTTGTCAGGCCTGCTTGCCACCAGAGTCATAGCCGATGTATGGCAGGGCCTCAGCACAAGAACTACAAGCGCAGGCGATATTCACATAGAAAGCTGGGTTTCGACAACAATCCCAACCAATACGCCACACAATATAGATAAATCATGCTATAAATCATGATAAATCGATCAATCTTTGGATTTCACATCATTTTCACATCATTTTCACATCGTGTAAGTGGGGACTTGTCACGGGATACCACGGGATCTCAACAGGTCCCCCGAAAAAAGCTGCACCCAGCAGCTGTTCCCAGAACGTCCATCATCTGCACCGGCGTCTCCGTCACCTTGGAGGAACTGGGGCATGTTTGGCATGTTTGGTTGGGGGATATGGGAATTATGGCATAATTCAAGGATCTGTGATGTGAGGATGATACACATAAAAAAAAGAACCGGGATTCTTCAGATATTCACTTGATACATCTTGAGACAAACACATTTCGTGCTGCGTGATATGGCATGATATGGTCCAAAAACCTTACGCCAAGCAGCAGTGGTCTGCGCATAGACTTGCTGTGCACCCAGCGCATTCAAACAACACAAGAGAGCGGGGGAAATGAGCACGACGATGTCCACCAACACCTGCGGGCTCCACCGATAGGTTTCATCACTCAGTGGCGTCGGGATATAACAAAAAAACACGAAGTTCGTAAACAGACCCACAGAAAACATTTACTGTCCATCATTCTGGTATTGAATCTGCTCTTCGAAAACATAATTTTCATTGTATTATATTATGTTATGTTATATTATATGATATCATATTACATTATGATTACATTATATATTATATTATATATTATATTATATATTATATTATATATTATATTATATCATGGTGGTTTCCTATTTAAAATGGGGGTACCCCCAAATCATCTCATCCAAAATTCGACCATTTTAAGAACCCCCGCAATGGCAAGGTCTGCCCTGGAAGGCCAGGATGCGACGGCCGCCCAAATGGGGTCAAGTTTTCACCCCGGCCTCCAGGAAGTCAGCGATAAGTTGCCTGAGGACGACGACGATGACGACGACGACGACGACAATGGTGGTGGTGGTGGTGGTGATGATGATGATGATGATGATCATCATCATCATCATAATCGGGATTATGATGACAATATATGACAATACGGTTCTTCTCCTCATATTCTTTGAAAATAACACTTCGAATTCATGGAAATCCAGTATCAACTGAAAATATCTGAAAATGACAAAGGGTCAAAGGCTACTTGTGAAATGTATGCTACTCTTCGCCTTCTTCTATCATCATCTTATGAATTTCATTCAACTAAACCCACACATTTTTTGTAAGGAAGAGCTGGGCGGTTTCATCTCCTGAATTTAAGGATGATTATCCTTCTGCAACATTTTAAAAAACAATCTCATCGAATCTGTACGGCTGGTATGCGGCGCCCATGTTTGAAGCAAATCTTTGGCACCGATGCATCGGATCTGCCTGCAGTCCAATACCAAGTTTGGCTCCGGGGCCAAACTGCAGTGCAGGATCTTTTGCACCTCCACCTAGCGCGATGGCTCCACGTTGTAATTTTTATGGGGAGGATGAGGACTTGAGGGTTGCGCGGAATGTGATTCAGGCAAGTATCAAAACACAGCACCATGCAGCCAGGGCAGAGTCCTTTCAACTTGCTACCAGGGCACTTCCTGGTAGTTGCAGTCGTTGGTCAAGGCCCATGCAGTCAAGCCTTTCCTTAGCAAGGGCAGTCTTCGGCAGTGTGGTTCCCTTGCCAAGATCAAAGGTGGTTGAAGCGGTTGAAGAACCCCATCATGAGTACCAAAAATATCCAAAAATCATGCTACAGATCCTTGTAACCAGCGCCACACGCTTGACCAATTCTGTTGGACCCTAGGCAGTGTAGTTTAGCGATCCATGGAGTCCCCCAGACTTCACCATGCTGGTTCCCATTGGTTCCCCCACCGGATGGCATCACCTATGAAAAATCATGGCATAGCCCTGGAATCATCACACCTCGCAAGCAAAATAACCAAAGGGCTCTTCGCTCTCATCGCTGAGAGGATCCAAGTGAAGTGACTCCACCGGCATTTCCTCCTTCTGCTCACACCTCAGGAGGACCACAGCCTCCAAATGGTGATGAATTATCCCATACATATCGGCGATTTGAAAGGAAATTCAACAACAAGGGACTTGTTGAATACATTTATCAGTTGATCCAGGGTTAGCATTATATAGATGTTACATGATGTTACCATGATCCAAACTGCAGGTAGGATTCACGATCGGTGTGTGGGGGATGTAGGCACGAGAAATTGCTGCTTTACGAATTACGACAAGTTACAGATTTGTTTACCCTCGTCAACTGACGATCTGATGCGCAAACCCAGGTCAAAACTCTGAAGATAGTACTGACAATGGCTGCCATGGGTAAGCTACTGTGGATGGAAGAAATCCTGCACCACCTTGGATGGTTGAAACCCTATAAATCATGGGATAACCCACTTATCAACTGGTGCAGGATTTCTTCCATCCACAGTATCAGGTATCAACTTGGTGGCTTCCAACAACCAGCTGGCTACAGCTGAGGTCCAGCACCACTCCATGTATCTCTGACGGATACCTTTTTGCAAAGCTCCGCTTGGAAGCCTGTTACAAGTCGCAAGCCGGCAAAAAATCACAGAGTTTTAGCACCGTTTCATCAGCACATCGACAGCATTGATTTCACTCTGAACTTCTCTGGACCTGTTGTTCTTCATGTCCAGCCAGTGATTTCTCCTGTCTTTGGTGACAACTGCTTTGGCGTTCATAAATTTCCACCTTGGCGGACCGTGTTCCATCGACGGTTTCAACACCCGCGGTTTCGGTCGTAGTCGTTGGCACAAACACCCATAGTTCACGTACACACACACACAACATCGTATAACTGTGTATCCATACGTTATCTGTTCATATCATGCATTTGTATATATATATATATTATATTATATTATATTATATTATATTATATTATATTATATTATATACGTATATATATATGTATATATATGCACACACACACCTAACTTTGTGTATATGTACAATATTATACAATATTGGAATCAAACCTGCCTTCAACTCACAGCATTCGCATTTGTACCAAAAAAAACATATAAAACCAGTCATAGGCCGATTCTTGGGAACTGGATTTCACCCATTTCCACAGCGCACGACGAGACCATTGCAGCCAGCCACAATGAGGTCTCCTCTTCCCCCGACTCTGGCTTTGTTGGTGCGACTGCCACAGGCTCAGAATCCTGTCGCCAGCGTACACCTGTCGCAAGGCGCGACTGTTTCTTCAAGATCAAAACAGACAGGGATACCGAACAATGTTTCCACATGTTTCCACAATTGATTATGATCATCCCCAATATATGGGGTATTGTTGGGTAGTAAATGGCCTATAATCATCCACCAATATCATCCCAAATGGGGGGCCCTAACAACATTTCATTTGCATAGAACCACACAATCATCACCAACCATTATTATGGCATAGTATAATCCCATATAATCCTTATAATCCATTATATCCTATATATTTATTGTGCAATGTCTCAAAATTGGCTTCCCCGGACAGCGCTGTTTATTATGCACCTCGGATGCGCCAAACCGTCTCCCGCGTGGACCGCAGGTTGTACTTATTCACCAGAAACCTGACGGGATCTGACGGCTTTTCCGGGCAAAACCAGTGCAGTCCCCGGCAGTCGGGGACTGCCCCGTGCTGGAAAAAATTAGTCGCAGAATTGATGGCTTGTTTGATGCAAGTAATGATAAGATCATGTCTGAACATCCATGATTTTAGATGAATTATGATGAATTTAGATCATTTTAGATCAACAGATCAACCTTCTCTTAGATCTTCAAAGGAACCATAGCAGCATAGCATACCAGAGTGAATTTACCATGGGAATCACTCGGAATCACCATCCCTCTGAGCTCCTGCCTGATGATTTCATCCCTGGACTGGACCGGCTCCAGACTGTGCTTGATGCAGTACTGGGTGTAGGTGGCGCGGAAGTGGCGCATGTAGATGAAAGGCCTCTTATCCTCCTCGCGCCACCAAATGATTCCGTTCTCAAGTGGATATAGAACTTGGGCTATGGGCTAGGTACATCTAGTTACTCAGTCTGAAGGGACCTAGCCATGCTATGCTCGCAAGGATCCCATCATCGCCACAAAAAAAATCTACGGAGTCGTCACGAGTACGGCGTCCATCTGTCCTGACCAGCTGGCGCAGCTGGCATGTTGATTCTGGTCTCTTTGGGATCTTTGGGTGACTTCTCTGCTTCCTGGTAACACTCCGCGGCGAAAGGTGAGAGTTGCTGTGATCCATCAAAACCTCTAAGATATCCCATTCTTCCGGCGATTTTTTGCTGCCTTCAAGAGTCTTCAAGTTGCTGTTTGTTTGTATTACTTGGATCGTTGAAACATCATAAAATAGCTTCTGTAGCCTATATGGGTTTGTCCACTGGACCGGAGTGGACCCCAACATGGCAATTTTATACTGCTGTTTTTCTTTTCAAAACATGTCGACTTTGTTGTAGCCAATTTTTAAAAAACAGACCCAAAACGTCACCAAAAGATGGGATGGTTGAGTGGTTAATCTCCCATGTTTTTCCTCAATTTCCCACTTGGTGTATCTTGGTGTTCCCTCTGACCTTGGCAGGCTCAGGCACAACTTGTGCTGGACCTTGCCGGAATGGATGGAGCTGAACCCCAACCAGCTTTGGTGTTTGGAGTTTTCATGGGTCTTCCCCTCTACACCAAGCCAAAGCTGGACTGGTTGCGGAATTCCAAATTCACAAGTCAGGCATCTCTCAAGTGAGCTGAATCATGGATATGACACCCCAGGATACGTTGAGAACACGGCTCAGTTTCTTTGAAACTAGACTGGGACACAACAGGACCGTTGGCACTGCATCCAAGAAGCTTTTGTGGTGCTGGGGATGCTTCACCACCAGGTGTTCATGGCAGAAGCGCGACAAACTATTCAGCAGTTTGCTCAGGATCGGTTCCAAGACCTGTCACATGGTTGAGTAGGTGCCACTGGATGTTTAACATTTTTTTACGAAAAAATGGGGAACACCGGGAACACCCTCATCCTCGCTTGCCCAAAGTACGAATCCTCGATGTTGCTGTAAAATGTGAAATCAGTGGTCGCGCTTCCCTGAATCCACTGACAACAGGTGAGCGCATGAATACCACACCACTATTTTCTGAGCATACTTTACTGAAAGCAACATGGAAACCACTAATGACTGATGACTGATGGGAGACGGCTCCTCTATAAACAGACAATAACTTCACATCTTGCTCTTCCTTTTGCGAGGCACGTGTGTGAGGTGGACCCATACTTCTTGCATCTTCTTGCCCAAACTACCCTGGACACCGCCCCCATACTGACACCCTCTGCCCGGCTGCACCAGCAAATCAATCAGCAGTAGTGGCTGCAAAAAGGGGTTGCCCTCCGCAGCATGGATCTGCCTCATGGAGGTCGTGGTTCAGTTGTTGCCCAAAAATGCACGTTTTCCCTGGGTGAAAAAGGAGCTAGATGATAATGTTTTGTCGGATGCTCATAGATAGATGGATGGATGGATGGATGGATGGATAGACTGATAGACTGGCAATTTGATACCAAACCATCAACTAACATCACCCTTCACCGCCTATCCTCTTACTGGTGCAGGACCTCTATTTGGGTTTTGACGATTATCAGGGGAGTGTATCCCTGAGCATTCGAGGTGGCGCATTGCTGTACCAAGCGTCTCATCCAACTTGTTTTCTTCCTTGTCCTGTAGGAAAACGCTGGAGGCAGCCATTTTGGAGGAACCTATTCCCAATTCATCAACCTTCTACAAAGTGCAGTTTCAAATCTGCTGAACCGACTTCACTGAGATCAAATTCAAAACACAGTCTCTGCCAGACCTTTGCACCCAAGATATCAACGATTCAGGCAATAAGTGCTGCAATCTTGGGCAAACGAGAGCCAACCAACCCCAACACGCGGGCTCCTTGATCTCTCCCAGTTTCTGTTTCAGCAAAGTGGTCTGAGCTCTCTTCTCCATGTTTCTTGCCTGACAAAGAAGTCTGGTGCAGTTGCAGCTGAGACTTGTGTTCCAGCTGTCGCAAGCCATTTTTTAGTGCAACATTTGAAGCATTTAAAGCCGGGTAGCTTCTCAACTAAGCCATTGACAATTGACAATGTCATTTGTATCTTCGGATGACTAAGCAATGGTATTGCCATTTCCTCAACTATCTTTCTGGTCTGTGCAACTCATCATACTTCAATGATCTGACGTATCCTGAAGTGAGCTGATTTCAGGACCGCTTCACATATCATAGATTCCAGGTGATGAACATCATTGAATATCCACAGGTCCATAGGGAATGTCAGTTTGGGATAGTTATTGCATGTTATTGCACCATTTTCCAGCCTTAAAAACCAATCGGAATCTGCAGAATCCTGAGGTTCAGGCCCGGATGCCCTTCCGCGCCAACTTGAAGAAGACGAAGGTGAAGAGCAGCGAGGCAAGGCCGCCACACGCCAGGCTGAGGCCGGTAGCGGCGTCCTGGTACAGTGGCTGGTGGTGAAGTGGTGAAGTGGTGAAGTGGTGAAGTGGTGATGCTGATGATGATGATGATGATGATGATGATCTTCAGATTCCATATCTGGAAGTTGGGGACGCAGCATGGAGTTTCCTTCAACTGCCATCTACTTGACCGTGACTTGTTGGGGGCTCCACCGTAGCTCCTAGGTTCAGCATCAGCCCTCCCCGGCTCCTGCAACTGATCCAACGCATGGACATCACGCTCCTTCATCAGGGTATCGCCATTCCTCAGGTCCGTTCTGGATCTACGTCCGGTACAGCAAGGGTTTTTGACACTGGCCCTTGACTGGATAGGAATAAGATGGAATCAGCATGTTCACCACTAATATGTCTATCTGGTTTTCCTCCGGCACTACATGTCACTATGCCGACTTCCAAGTACTTCTCCGTCCAGTTGCCAACTCTTCCATGATCCACCGCCGAGAGACGCTCCTTCATAGAAGACCCAGTACTTGGACCTTTGAGGCTTCACCCGATGGTCTGGATCCAACAGGACCAACTCACCTGGGCCAAAAGGGCCATGGGGACGAGGCCATGTCACGATATCAAAATCACTGATCCCATGATATCCCATGTACCAAAAAAACCTGCCGGTGCACTGGAATTATCACCACCGAAATCAGCTGGAAATCATCAAGGGTCCCTGCCTCTCAGCTTTTGTCTGGACGCCAAACCATCGGACCTCAATGCCTTCTGCAGCTGGTCGTACATTGATGCAAAAAGCGTCTGCATCTCTAACCGTTGGAAGTCCTGCCGATGGCAGTCAGCTATGGATCTACTATATCTGCTATTCAGCTGGAAAGGTGGATGGGAGTTATGAATATATGCATCCTCTCATAAGACTCCAACTAACACAGAGTGACTAAATCCCTAGGTACTTATCCGCATATGGGACCAAGATGCACCAATTGATGTTCTGTGCTAGATCCTGTATGTAGGGGAAAAACATGGACACAATATTTGATCTGGAAACACCCGTATTGATGCTTTGGATGCAGCATGGAGTGGCACGATGCTCAAGCTGATCCGTGATCCCGGTCCGCAGAAGAAGGATGGTCTGGAATGGAACCCACCTTGGATCCAGACAGGTCTTGATCGTTTGCCAATCCCATGGGGAAAAACAACATGGCCAGTGCAGACATTGTGATTTGGTCCATTGGTATGTTGTGTTGAAAGTCTGCATGAAGATAACAACCGTAGGGACCATAGTAGTATATAACTGGATGAACATCAGAGACATGAACAAAATGCATTTAACATCCTTCCTTTGGCTGTTTCCCTAAAAAACCATAGCCATAGCGGTAGCGCCCAATTCCCCCCATCCTCTCTTGGCACCCAACTGTGCTTGCTGAGCAGGAGAGATCCAAATAGGAGATGCGGAAGTTCAAAATCTCTGGCTTCAAAATGGACGCTGACAAGAAGGTCAGAATCCTCAGGATGATAGGATGCATTCATTATTTTTATCCATTATATCCATTATATATATATGATATATATATATATGATATATATGATATATATGATATATATGATATATATGATATATATGATATATATGATATATATGATATATATGATATATATGATATATATGATATATGATATATATGATATATATATATATGATATATATGATATATATGATATATATGATATATATGATATATATATATATGATATATATGATATATATGATATATATGAGATATATATATATGATATATATGAGATATATATATATGATATATATGATATATATGATATATATATGATATATATGATATGTATGATATATATGATATATATGATATATATGATATATATGATATATATGATATATATGATATAAATGATATATATGATATATATGATATATATGATATATATGATATATATGATATATATGATATGTATGATATATATGATATATATGATATATATGATATATATGATATATATGATATATATGATATATATGATATATATATATGATATATATGATATATATGATATATATATATATGATATATATGATATATATGATATATATGATATATATGATATATATATATATATGTGATATCGCATGTATGATTATAGATGTATATGTTATTAAATGTCCACTTATTTGATCCACTTCTATCGGCGCACATGCTGGGATGGGAATTCTACGGGATTGCCAGAACCTTCTTACCAGCCCCGACATGTCATATGCGACAGGGGCTGTGTGCTAAAGGGTCGCAATCCTGCCTGACTCAATATATCGCCGCAATGATCAACAATTGCAGTCAAATTCAAGAGATCCAAAATCAGATTTCAATCTCTAAGAATGATGCACTCTTGAGCAACAAGGCGAAACATAGAAGGGGTTAGTACCATTATGTACCATTTATGCACTCGGTTGCGAAACATGGAGGAGGACAATCCCACCCCCCAAACGAATAGATCCCAGCCCAGATTCGATGGGTCCATAGACAGAAAGACGGGACGCGTGGCGTAGACCCAACGTGTGGCTGGGATACCAGGCACAGCTACGGTGTCAATGACCACCACACCATGGTCCACGGACTGCGGAGAAAACAGGCTTGACAAAGTAATGTTTATTTTATAGAAATTTACAGTAACAATAAAACATAGTAATGCTAGTGATAATGATAATAAACATGAACATGATAATATAGTAATATATAATGATAATAAATATGATAATACATATATATATATTTACATAATAAAATGCTTTTCATGATAATAGTGGTGAACATTACAATATATATATATATAACAACGATTTTCAAGATAGTAATGATGAACATGATAATGATGATAACACTGATAACACTGACAATAATGATAATAACAATGACAATACTGATAACAATGATGATAGTGATAATAATGATACTAAGACTACTACTGCTAATAATAATGATAATCATAATAATACTCAGAAAATAGTAGAATACATACATAACTAAACAAACAATGAGCAAAACATGAATAAGCACTCATAATAATACTAAGAATAATGCTAAGAATACTTTGCTGCTGCTGCTACTACTACTACTGCTGCTGCTGCGGCTGCTAATCTTAATAATATCAATGACAACATAATAAAAATGACAGCAATGATCACACATATAGTGCATACACACATATATTAATATTAATATATATATATATCTTAGTATAATTATATACGATATATATATATCATATGATATTGAAGGTACATTGACATATCTAATGTGTTGACTGCTCCTCTCCCACATTTCCAGCAATATCCTCCCGCTGCCTCTGGATCGCCAAAACGCGGACCCACCGTGCGCATCATCAGCCTGCAGGCTGCATGCCCAGGAGCAGAAACTGTCGCAGCTGGAAATACCAGCGACTGGTGGATAACTTGTGATGACTTGATGTCTTTTCCCATTCAATGCCAAATGACTTGCAGGAAAAATATGGAATCCTTGTGAGTTTTGCATGTTTTGCTTAGGCCCAAAGCATCCAAAGCAAGATTTTTCCAGCCATGGCAGCCACGTTGGGTTCGTTTGGAGCCTGGCATCTGGCAGGTGCATGCGGATGCCGGGCAGGCGGTCGGCCGGGGCCCAGGTGCCACTGCTGCTGGAGTAGCCGCCCACACTGAAGTGCACCTTGGAAGCAGGACATCTCCAGCAGATCTTGGGATCGGTGGATGTTTGAGGCTGACAAACGTGGTTCAACACGGTGAAAAACTAGGTTTTGGATGGTTTTGGGAGTTAAAGATCAGACATTTCACAATGATCACAATTTGTGATGAGTGAACATGAAGAGACTATTCAATTCATGAGACCCAGCTTGATTCTTGTCCCACAGGAATCAGATGGAACTGGATCCTCAAAGGGTTCGATCGAAAAGGCAATCCTCATCCGACATCCGAAGTCTGCATCGTAGGCAAACGTTTTTGCCACTGTCCCGAAAGCCGGAAAGCCCTGCGCGAGTAGTGAGTCTTGCGGCATCGGGAAAGCTCTTTTTGCAGCTGAAGAACCATTCCAGCTTCACTTTGAACAGTGAACCTTGTCATAGCGAGGGGAGTCTGGTGAGAGGAACCAATTTTGTGTGAGCAAGATCTGCCTAGCTATCATACAACAAATCACTTTGATAACTGCGACGTACTCCCCTATGCAAACAGCTTCTCCTTCGATTTTCAAAAGGCATTCCACGCAGCTTTTGCCAAAGTATTCAACGGATCCCCCGAGAGTAAAACCATTCCTCGTCCCAAAGATTCAAAACCTATATGTATATACAACGCATACGCTTTCCCCTATCTTCTCCCTGCATTTTTGGATTTTTGTGGATATGGTGCCGGCAGTGGCAGTACCACGTGCGGCCATGTCAAGGGGCTTCTGGAAGCTCCCAGTCTGACCGATGCGATCGGTGATGATCCCTTCAGTTGTCGTGGGAGGGCCCAGGCCATCCGCATTCTTCGCCAGGAGCAGCAGGCGATCCACGTACAATGGGAGCTGCGGCCAGGCATGTGACTGTGGCTGATGACTTACTGGAATCTCATGGAATCTCATGGAATCTCATGGAATCTCATGAATCCACAGCCCATGTCAGTGGGCCAAGCTAAATGAGTTGTGTTTCATCATTTGGTTTCCACCAGAATCGTTTCACAATCTTTGCCAGCTGTTTCTGCTGAATCATTCAACACCATACCGCACCCCGGATGCTTAAGCATCCCCATCTTCTCCTGTGCGCGAAGGGTGCAGAGGTTCAGCTGACATTCGTTCTCCAGGACTTCATCCACGACGGTGTCCAACATGGCACCCGTGGGACTTCCCAGACCTCCCAACACTGGCTGGGTACTGGAGAATCGAACCATCCACTCTGTTCAAATCAAATCGATTCTGGCAAAATGCGATAAACACCCACACTGGAGAACCATTTTTTTTGGGAAAAGATTCTATGACAATCTCACATATATAATCATATATATATATATAATATATTATATCTATTGGTTGTAGATTTCCATTGTATTCCCCTATCCCCATTCATATCCCATAAAAAATCAGGAAATCCCCTGGATCTTCAGGACGCCAAGTAGCGCAGCTGCAACGCAGTGGCGCCGCTTGGAAGATTGGCCGTCACGGTGATATCAATCCAATCCGAGCGCATGTCCATGTCCAGACCGAAGGAGATGTTGGTTGGCACCTGAATGTGGTAATATGATAGTAATATGATAGTAATATGATAGTAATATGATAGTAATATGATAGTAATATTTGGGAATATGGATAAAGAATGATAATAATGGGATATAGATGGGGATGTAGCATCTGGTCCTCAAATATGACTGGCTTGGGAAATCCCCGTTTTCTTTTCCCGAATGCGTAGCAAGGGTTCCCGTTTCACTCTGGGGGTCTGGGGGTTGAGAGTGTGTTCGCTCGACGTTGCGTCCGCGTCCGCAGCCGTTCGCAACCGGCCGCAACCGTTCGCAACCGTTCGTACGAGGTCCGTATGGCCGTGCCTATGGGAAGTTCTGCAGAGGTGGTCATTTTTGGAGGTTTCAGACGTGTCGTTGCTTCGATTCGCGTGGCAGGCGTGGCATTCGTGACATTCAGACATGTTTTGCAACGTGTTGAAAATCGTTTTGCGTGGCAGGCGCAATACTTTTGTGACGTTTTCAGAAGATGTGTTGCAGTTTTCGTGGCAGGCGCAGCACTTTGGACGTGTCCATCGTCATTTTTCGTGGCAGGCGCAGCACTTTAGACGTGTCCTGTTGCGTGTTTTTTGTAAATCGCATTGGCAGGGCTGCGTCAAGTGGTGACAAGGTGCAAATTCCGTGGCAGGCGTGGCATTTTGTGCGATGTGCTGAAAATTGACGGAGGCCTCGCACGAAACATCGATTTTGATGTTGCCAATTTTCGGGTTCTAAGGAAAACTCGTAGGAAAACGTCGATTTTGAAGCTGTTGAATGTGAAAATTGGAGGAAGTCTCGCACGAAATGGTCGTTTTGGTGCTCCCACCTGTCTCTTCTCGCGTGTCTGGTTTTCCCGTGGCCTCGCCGTGTCTATGGGGGAAGCTGCAAAACTTGTCTTTTTGTCGTGTTGCCAACTGTGAAAATTGCCGGAAGTCTCGCAAAAAATGCTTGTTTTTCTGCATCCACGTGTCTTGTCTCGAGTCGCTTGTTTTTCTGTGGCATCGCCGTGTCTATGGGGGAAGCTGGAAAACCTGTCCTTTTCGAATGTTTCCAAGCAGGTTGTCATGTTGTTTTGCGTGGCAGACGTGGCACTTTTTGACATTCCACCTGTTCGATTATGTGTCAAAAATGTCAAAATTGGATGAAGTCTCGTACGAAATGCTGGTTTTTCTGCATCCACGTGTCTTGTCTCGAGTCGCTGGTTTCCTGTGGCGTCGCCGTGTCTATGGGGGAAGCTGAAAAACATCTCCTATTCGAATGTGTCCAAGCAGGTTGTCATGTCATTTTGCGTGGCAGGCGTGGCACTTTGTGACATTCCAACCTGTTTGATAACGTGTCGAAAATATCAAAATTGGAGGAAGTCTCGCACGAAATGCTCGTTTTTTTGCACCCACGTGTCTCGTCTCAAGTCTCTGGTTTTCCTGTGGCGTCGCCGTGTCTATGAGGAAGCTCCACACTTTACACTTTGCACTTTACACTCCTCACTCCACAATTTACACTTTAGACTCCACACTTTACACTTTACACTCCTCACTCCACACTCTACACTCCACACTCCCCACTTTACACTCCACACTCCACACTCTACACTTTCCACTCCACACTCCGCACTCTACACTCCACACTTTACTGTGCACTCCACACTTTATACTTTATACTCCTCACTCCACACTTTACACTCCTCACTTTACACACCACACTCCACACTCTACACACCACACTCTACACTTTCCACTCCAGACTCCACACTCCACACTTTACACTCCACACTTTACACTTTACACTCCACACTCTACACTTTACACTCTACACTATACTTTACACTCTACACTCTACACTTTACACTCTACACTCCACACTCTACACTTTCCACTCCACACTCCACACTCTACACTTTACACTCTACACTTTCCACTCCACATTTCACACTCCACACTGCACTTTACACTCCACACTCCACACTTTACACTCCTCACTCCACACTCCACACTCCCCACTTTACACTCCACACTCTACACTTTCCACTCCACACTCCGCACTCCACACTTTACACTCCTCACTCCACACTCTACACTCCACACTCCCCACTTTACACTCCACACTCTACACTTTCCACTCCACACTCCGCACTCCACACTCCACACTTTACTCCACACTCCACACTTTATACTTTACACTCCTCACTCCACACTCCACACTTTACACTCCTCACTTTACACACCACACTCCACACTCTACACACCACACTCTACACTTTCCACTCCAGACTCCACACTCTACACTTTACGCTCGACACTCCACACCCCACACTTCACACTCCACACTTTACACTCCACACTCCACACTTTACACTCCTCACTCGACACTCCACACTTTACACTCCACACTGCACACTTTACACTCCTTACTCCACACTCCACACTTTACACTCCTCACTCCTCACTTTACAATTCACACTTCACACTCCACACTTTCCACAACACACTCCACACTTTAAACTCCACACTCCACACTTTACACTCCTCACTCCACACTTTACACCACACTTTACACTCCACACTCCACACTCTACCCTCCACACTTTACACTCCACACTCCACACTCTACACTTTACACTCTACACTAAACACTCTACACTCCACACTTTACACTTTACACTCCACGCTTTCCACTCTACACTCCTCACTCGACACTTTACACTCCACACTTTACACTCCACACTCCACACTCTACACTTTAGACTCCACACTCCACACTTTATACTTTGCACTTCTCACTCCACACTCCACACTTTACACTCCTCACTTTACACACCACACTCCACACTCTACACACCACACTCTACACTTTCCACTCCAGACTCCACACTCTACACTTTACGCTCAACACTCCACACCCCACACTTCACACTCCGCACTTTCCACTCCACACTCCACACTTTACACTCCTCACTCGACACTCCACACTTTACACTCCACACTGCACGCTTTACACTCGTCACTCCACACTCCACACTTTACACTCCTCACTCCACACTCCTCACTTTACAATTCACACTTCACACTCCACACTTTCCACTCAACACTCCACACTTTAAACTCCACACTCCACACTTTACACTCCTCACTCCACACTTTCCACCACACTTTACACTCCACACTCCACACTCTACCCTCCACACTTTACACTCCACACTCCACACTCTACACTTTACACTCTACACTCTACACTAAACACTCTACACTCCACACTTTACACTCCACGCTTTCCACTCTACACTCCTCACTCGACACTTTACACTCCACACTTTACACTCCACACTCCACACTCTACACTTCACACTCTACAATTTACAAACTCCACACTCCTCACTCCACACTTTACACTCCTGACTCCTGACTTTACACTCCACACTCCTCACTCCACACTTTACACTCCTCACTTTACACTCCACACTCCACACTCCACACTTTGCACTTTACACTCCTCACTCTACACTCTACACTCCACACTCTACACTCCACACTCTACACTTTACACTCCTTACTCCACACTCTACACTTTACACTCCGCATTCTACACTTTACACACTCTACAGTCCCCACTCCACACTTTACACTCCACACTCCTTACTTCACACTCCACACTCCACACTCTACACTTTCGACTCCACACTGCAGACTGGTAACAAGGGAAACATGTACATGACAAGACTGTTCAAATAAACTATTGCAGAAATGTATTGTGCGTGACTGCAAAACCATGTGTTTTGACATCTGTACCATTAACATACGTGTGAGCATTCGGGTTCGTGGGCTTCATCTTGTTTTAAATGGAGATTTTGAATGGGAAAAGCATCGAATTAAATGGCTCGTTTTCCATTGCTATGTTTTCATTGCCAGAGGCTACTGTAAAAGAAAAACTGACACCAAACCGATGAGTTTTTCATGTTCTATGAGTGAAAAAAAGGTCTGGAACCATGACGGGAATGGGTCACCCATGGAAAACCACGGCAGTTTTGAACCTTTTGGACCTCCATCCAAAGGTTGGCATCAAACTGGTGCTGAAGCACAAACACACCTTAGCTGGTTTATCTCTATGGTTTGTCTGAAAATAGAAGACCCAAAGGTCATTATTTTGGGAAATAACTTGGGGTATCCCTGTCATTTTCGGAGAAACCTATCTGTGCCCTGGTCATCCCACCATTATTAACGTGCCAAGGGGCTGCTGGGAGGTTGCAGGCCATGGTGTTGCAGTCTTGTGTGTCCACGTTGGACGTCAAAGCTGAGCCCCGAAGGCCAGCTTTAGGCCGGGAGGAAGACATGGGATGGGAAACGGAGCTTTTGTTAGAGGGATAAGTTACAGAAAAATATGGCTGTTTAAACTTGTTTACCATTATATAAATATGGGGCTTGCCGTGACTTGTCTCTGAAACCAAGTCTGGGAGAAACAGAAACCAATTACCCTGTTAAAAGATGTAAGGCGCTTGGGCGATCATTCAGATGTTAATCTGACGAAACAGCATCCTGCCCCTAGTCCATTTCTATCTATTCTGGCCCGTTTGTATCTATTCGAATCCATTGCAAGTTCGCTTTGTTGGGTTTGTTGGTATGGTGGATGTTCTCTCCACCCACAGCCAAGTTGCTTGGACATAGGTACCTTGGAGCATTGGACACTGCCGGTCCCAGTGAACCCCGAACGAACTGTGCATCGCTGTGCATCGTTAGAGTTTCCCACTGCAGCTGGATGGCGCTGGATACTTGAGGCCGTCAGATCCCAGGCAGACCTTGTCGCGTGTTTGCTGTCCTCCACCACAGGGCTTGTCACAACCTGCGTGGAAAACAACAATCCAAGGCGCTATTGGGATCTATTGGGAACATGGGGAAAGGATGGGAAAGGTATTCACACCAATGGTTTTAGAATGTTTTAGATGTCAAAAGGTGGTTTTTGTATGGTCCCAACTTTGGACATACAAAGCAAAACACCCTCAATAACAACTGACAGGTGACAGCACCCGAAACTACAGTGGTCACGGGTTTCAGCCCAAAGAAAGGATGCCAGCGTTTTCACACATGTTCAATGATCTTTAAAACCACCAACCAGCTAGTAAACCAGCTACTGTTGGCTCAAATTGTGAACAATCCCATTCCTTGTTGTTGCATCAGTTCTCAAATCATGTTGAATCCCAACGTTTCTTTCTTAAACAACAACCTATTTTTCTTGTGTTTTAAGTTTCTTTTCTCTTAAAATATGTATGTATATACGTATATACGTATATACGTATATATATATATTTATTATACACCCAACGTTGCGCCAAGGGACTGGTCCAGTTTCCATAGACCACATCAAAGGTGACCTGCAGTGATCATCCAACTATGGTGGATCATGGTTTAAGATGGTTGAACTATAGTATGTACGCACACACACATATCTATCTATCATTATCCATCTATCGATCTATCCATCCATCCATCGATCCATCCATCCATCCATGTACCTCTATCTATGTATCTCTATCTACGTATCTCTATCTATGTATCTCTATCTATGTATCTCTATCTATGTATCTCTATCTATGTATCTATGTATCTCTATCCATGTACATCTATCTATGTATCTCTATCTACCTACCTACCTACCTATCTATCTATCTACCTATCTATCTATCTACCTATCTATCTATCTATCTATCCATCCATCCATCCATTTTTCCATCTATCCATCTAACTATCTATCTAATATAATATACTTAGATTTCTGTTATTTGTTGAGTCAAACTGGGACATGTGAAACACACCACTGCACGCCGAGGGACAGAGGGATGCGGTGCACAAGTGTTGGTGCTATTGTCGCAATAGCCGGTCCTTCTCATTTTGAACACAGTTGAAGCACCCAAACTCAGAATCTTGACTGTGAAAATTTGGTAAGCTTAATCATCTTATTTCAGGTTGAGGCAAGGAAGCCACCTTATGATCACGGACTGTTCTGGGAATCAAAAGCATCAAAGAAGATTGCGGGATGCTTTACTGTATACTGATCTTCCTGAATTGTATGGGATCTTGGGGTGTTCTCCCACTTGCGTGCAAGTCAAATCTGAATACCTTTAGACTTTTTGATCTATATGATCCTATATGTATGTATATGTATCTATATATACACCCGTGGTTCCCTTTCCTTAATTTGCAGCCACACCTGCATTTCCTGCAATCCTCTTCGGCAAGCTTCTCTGATTGTGAATTCTACATGATTCCGCCTCATGATAATCTACCACTTCCTATCACAAAAAATAACAACAGAATCTGACCCAATTCCCCGCGGTCGTGCATTGAGCATGCCGGACGCAGGACGCAAAACTTGGAGGACTTGGGGCTGTCGCGTCTCCAGCCCATGGTACCAGGGATGGCCAGCCCTCTACTGAACGTACCCGGTCTTGGTGGGCGGTTGGCAAGGGAAAGCTCCGTCCTTTTTGAAGGGTCTTCCATGGTCTTCCTGATTTCTGGATATTTCCGGGACCTAAAGTCTGGGATATACTGACACTGCCAGATCCCAGCTGCTATACTTCTTGTCAGCTCAGCGTCTGACATGGAATGTCACCAAGTAAATACACTTGGAGAGTAGGTGAAACAACAGTAGATGCAAATTGGCTGCTATGCCACAGGTTGACTGGCTTCAAAGGAAAGGACTGCTTCAGGTACTCCTTCCTTGTGAGATACAGTAAATCAACATTCTAGACCAAAGAAGTAAAACACAAATATGGTGGGTATATAAACGATGGTAAGAAATGGATATACATAATATACATGTATATATATATACATCATTGTTTATTTATAATATAAGACAAAGTACATATGCAAAACATGAAAAAAATATGTAAAATGTGAACCTCCACTTCTAGTCGGGATCCTTGATGAATATCATTGAATTGATTTCTCGTCGTGCTCGACTGAGGCGCCCATGGGCTGCATCAATTTCGCTTCTCGGAAGCAGTAGGGGATCATCCCTGCCCAGCCTGGCCATGGAGATCGAGGTCGCTGTGGTTATTAGGTGCCATGAAAGGCATGGCAAAGGCATGGCAAAGGCATGGCAAATTCGATGCTTTTGTGACATTTGTGGCCTAATTCCTTGAGCTTGTCGAAGACTGTATTCGCACTGAGAACCTCTGCCCGATTGGCAAAGGAGGCTCCAGTGGAGTCCGCGCTTCCAAAATCGAAGACCTTGTAGAGGGTGCCATCGCACCAGGAGGAGTGCGGGCATGAGCCTGTGTCGTGGGAAGAACATGGCCCATGGCCCATCCCCGAAAACCTCCACATAATTTTCCAGGGTATTCCCAAAAAATGTCTGCTTGTGGTACTAACCAGGTAACAGGCAACCGGACCAGGATGGATTACAAGTACATAAACATCACATAAATGAGCCATGAAAATACCCCTGGTTGGTAAATAGCCTTCCTTATTGTGGATTGTGATTGCTAATCCCCAACAAACCAGGTAATCCCATCCCCCTAATATTGTACACCTTGATTTTATGGTCCCCAAATTCAAAATGTGTAAATCCCCTACAGCCACCATAGCTTCTGGAGGGTGTTTGATATGACCGGGGGAAGGGATTGGCACAACCATTACTAATATCATTATAAACTATATATATATAATAATCATAGAACTAAATTAGTTAGTTATTAAGTACATTACATGGTTTTGTTACCGTCTCTCACTCTCTCTCTCTCTATATATATATACACATACACATACACATACATGAATATATATATATATACACATACACATACATGAATATATATATATAATATAATATATTATATTATATTATAATGTATAACATGCAATCAACATGGCTATTTTAGTTGCACCAAAACCAGCACCTCCACAGCAGTAGGGCATGGTCACCAAGGCTGCGCCGAATTCCGCGCGGTCCAAGAAAAAGTCTTTGCCTTTTGGAAGTGGCTACTTGGAATTTGGATCATGGTCATTGGTCATGGCTTATTTTTTTCTTCATGGGGAATTCTCTATGATCGAATTTGAATCGGATTGTGGGGGCAATTTTTCCATGGGATTCATTGAGCGATTCATTGAGTCCCTGGGATTCTCTGGGATTCTACTTGAATGGACCATTGGGGTCTGGAGTTTTGGCTTGTAAAACACCCCTCATGGCATATCTTGTGGCACCAGGCCGCTGCCGCTGATTCCGTCGATTCCTTGCCGCGGTGCTGGTGTCGTAGAAGGTCTGGAAGTTACTCTTGTGGTACAAGGAATCACAGAGTGAAAAGGCACCTTTCCTGAGCACTGCGAACACTGCTGATCTTCTGGCTTTTGACCGGTCTAGTTGAAGTCACGATTCAGTCAGCTTTCTATTGTTTTCTATTTTATTATTTGAGCACTTATTTATATGCAATATTGTCCTGTCCAGTGATACAGTAGAGGAGAATATGAGAATATGATTGTGATCACCAAGCTAGCAAATCGAGGGATATCCAGGTCAGAAGGAGCCCTGTCCCTTCGAATCAATTCAAGGTCAGCCATTGTGATGGCAAACATCTTTGGTTCCAGCGCTTCTACTCCAGCTTGAACCAGGCTGCTCGTCAGGAAGCACCAATTCATTGGGCTCCGCCACAAAACATGCCTGTGCGGAAGAAAGGGTTGCAACTTGCTTGTTGGGGTGTCTTATGCAACGTTGTACCCTTTCTCTGAGGGTTGCTTGTGGTCAAACATCTGAGTCGCTTGGAGACAGATTCCTTGCATTTGCCTTGTGCAACATTTATCATCACACTAGGATTCATCTTGACAGCCTTGTTGTCTGCAAGCCAAACCGACAAGACTTTCTGTCAAGCTTCCACAGGTTTCTACAATGTCTTAGAAAGTGTAAATCTGGGTGAATGGTAATCTGCAAGATTTATTCTACGGATTTGTTTGACTTGTGGATGCTTGAAGGGAAACGACATGTTTCCCATAGGATTTCACGCCTGGTTGTTGGGCTGCCTCCAGTTCAGCAAGATGGGCCCCGTGTGGCGAACTCCTCGCATGGTCACGCTGCCATCTGACCTGGCAAGGGGGGTGAATTTGAATGGAGGTGTCTTCAAATGGATCCCCAAAACCATGGGTTTCAATACTAAAATGGTCGTAATTTTGGATGATTTGGGGGGTACCTCCAATGACTTAGGAAACCTCCAAATCAGCAATTTATCTCTCTTGTGGCTATTGCTTACCTTCCCCCTGTCTTGTCCCACACGTTGCCTCACGTCTGCTGTGCCAGAGTGTAGGGTGTTCTGTAACGTCGCCTGGCCTTTGGCCAAGGTGATGTACATCCAACCTGTCGCACGTGTTAAATCGCACGTCACGCCATCGAGCGGTGTGGAAACTCCTGTTGAAAATGTTGGTTTCATGGGATTTTCATGGGTTCTTAATGGGATATTAATGGGAAATCTCCAACTGCATACGTCTTTCGCGGAGCTTTTGACTATCGATACTTGGGCGACCACACGTTTCGCTTTCCCGGACACTATGATTATCAAGCTTCCTTTTGCTGACAAATGCTTAAAAGTTGGTCCAGCATGGTCTAGCAGTCTAGTTCATCTTCATGTTCATACATGCTGAACGGAGAGGTGTAGCTTGGGCATGTAGAAAAAGGGAAACTAAGCAACAACTAAGCAACAAAACCTTGGGATCCACAAAAATGGGACATCTTTTCTGATCTCCATTGATCTCCCGACATGAATTTTCGACAGCCATTCGGAGATCCCTTGCAGCGCCCCACCTGTCGTTGTGCTGTTGCGCATGAAGACCTCTAAGCTGGGCCCTGCCTTGTCCCACCAGTTGCCTCCACCACCTGGCGCCGTGACGCCGTGGGCCTTGGGGATTTGGTTAGTAGAAGAACATCGAAAGCCATGGAAAGCCAATCAAATTAGGTTATCTATAGTTGTTATCTATAGCAATTATATGTAATTGTATAATATTATATAATATTATATACATTTTATTCTTTGTTTTTTCGTGTTTCTTATGTTTATGTGATGATCAATTCGAGTTTTCTTGCCAAAGTGCTCTTTGACGGTCCGGGCTTGTTGTATAGACCATGTGTCCATGTGCATCTAACAAGAGGTACATATACAAGACAAATAGTCATAGACTAGATAAGAGTATTTGATTTTCCAAACCAATGTCGGAACAGTAATGTCAGAACCCTCTGAAATATTCTGAAATCACATCAGAATCACATTGCATAGCATATATTACCACATCATCTTTCTCGCACGACGCAGGGATCTTTCTCGCGGGGATCCTACAGGTCCTATGGTCGTGTACGGAGTTGACCAGGGAAATGGCACCTCGGATCATCAGATTGTTGAGGATGACCCCATCGATGTTCACATCCACATGATCAGCCTGGCTGTCGCATCCGCAGTCACAATCACAGTGCTGCAACAAGACTCTTGAGCCAAAGTGACACTAGTGCACTCAATTCAGTATTCCAAAATCAAACATGAAGAGGAAAAAACACCAGCAAATCTTCGAATATTGAACGTGATGTCAAATATTTATCCATTTTTGGTCTAACGCTCTGCCGGCCAAGTTGGCCAAGTTGGCCTGGTCATTGTTGACTTGCTGAATCCACACCGTGTCGGGCGGATTGTCACTGGGCACTGTAGCCACCACATTGCAAAGTCGCTTGCAATCCTGCAGCGACTGGACCAGTCACCAACGGAGAAACCACCCAACCTATCAAAACTACAAACATCATACTATAGTACAGTATCCTTTGTCCTATAGTATTTTCCATGTATTTTCCTATGTAAATAAAAAATAAAAATATTATATACTATTAAAGCCTACAAGTATTAACATTATTGACATTTTCCTGATCGACGACATTATCATTTCAAGAATTTCCATTTGGTCGATTTTCCAGTTGGTGAATATCCCGTCCTTCCGTGGCTGATCATCGCAGCCCCGGAAATTCTGGGCGTTGGTGATCCGGACCACGTCCAACCTTGGACAGAGACAGGACCTGACCATCACCACACAACGGGGTAGAAGAATTTGTAAGATACCCAATGGGTAATGATCATTATCCCTATTAAATGGCTATAATTGGCTATTTCATTGGGAAGATTAACCCTATTTTCAGACAAACCCAGATGTTTCAATATGTTTCACGATCTTTCACAACATTGTCAATGGATTGGTTTAAGGGAAAATCTACAGGAAACCCATGGGTTTTAACCATCAAATATAGGGGTTTCCTGTAAAATTTCCCATCATCCAGTTCTATGACATTGGGGATGATGTAAATCAATGTTGTACAATGAGGATGTTGACCCGACATGAAAAAGACACACTGAACAGGGGTATGTTAGTGGGTGCACATGACACATGGGGATATGATCATCATGGAGATTTTCACCACCACCACCATAGCAATCATAACGGCAACTCAATGGGTTCAACTGGATGGACATCGAATCGCCGAGCATCGATTCCATGGTACGCTCAATCTTCAGATCCATCAGCAGGCCCTGCGACAGCGAGAGATCTTGGTTGGGGGGGTGCTACAAGCCACAGACCTGCGAAAATCGATGAAGACCGGGTTTGTTGGAACCTTTCAGGTGTGATATGGTTTGATAGGCAGTGTGGCAAACCCAGACTAACCCCACTTTTCATGTCCGAAAAACGGTCCGTGTTGTTTTTTGGGCCATTGAGTCATTACATGTCATTACTACCATCCAAAGCTGACGGAGGTGATTTCTTCGGGCACCTCAATGGCAATCGTTCTCTTCGGTCCGGACTCCAGAACCACATCACAGGATGCCACGGTAATTTCGAGCCTGGACACGGTGTTTGGGACACAGAATCAACGTGCCAAAGGAGGTCTCTGCATCCCACTTCCAGAATGCTTCGAAGCTTCACAAAGTCAAAACACCCAAAATTCATCAAAATTCCATAAAAATCCTATCAGCTTTCCAAATCAGCCAACGATGTGACACCAGTTTTGTCCATACCCTCGAAGGCCGTCCGAACCGCTCCTGTCTCCATAGGTATACTGCACTGGCACCCGTCGTACGAAGTGGAGATTGAAGGCCACCTGGGCTAAAACTGATCCAGAGGGCGTGACCCAGAAACAGCGTACCAAAGCGATCACAAATTTGGAAGAATTTGGCAATCTTTGCTACTTACAGTAACCATCCATTTATTTTGGTTTCGGATCAACAAATGTATTTTGGCTCATCTTGAGGGATTCGGCCGGATTCGGCGATAACAAAGATTCTCCGATTTCTCCATAACCTCGGTGGCCTCGGTAATGCCAAGCCACCAAGAAGAAGTAGAACAACAAGAGGACCACGAGAAAGGAGCACCTCGGCTGGCCACGAGAATGCGCAGTTTTTTGCCGTCGCTGTCGTCCAGGTACCCCCTTTGGATCCATATGGATCCATGTCTTGCGGTTCGTTCATGTGTCTGCAAGATCCGCAAGTACTGCAAAGGTTTCTCTAACTACTTTAGGGTCTGCAAAAATGCGCAAGGACTGAAGTCTAAAAACAGGACAAACAAAGGAGACCCCGACACTAGTGATAATTCATGATAATTCCCACTAAATTAACAGTCTCAGCTGCACAGCTTGTTCCTTCTTGGAAATTCTCCCCCCAGCAGCCCATAGCCAATTTTGGACAAGCATCAGTCTGAAACAACGCCGTGCATGTGTGTTCCTTGGCACAACGATCCAGAGCTTCCGTGAATTTGAAGGTGCTCAAGTAGCAAAGAGTGGGTTAAGCTCCACTCCTTGACGTTCTTTCCCAACCCTACCGTAATCCGTTTCAAAACATTTACAGTATGCAAAACATTGCAAAACTCGAAATGCCCAGCTTCTGTTCAAAGCTGCCAAAGGTTTTGGATAGCGCAGCTTTCACGCCCGGCATGACCGACAAGCCTGGCACCCACTCAGCTTTCTTCACTGCGTGGGGTGCTGGCACCGGCACAATGCTGCGATCTGCGCGCGAAGCCACTCTGCCGAAGCAACAAACACAGGGTGTTCACTGGGGAACCTGAAACGACCCAAACGAATAGGGGGGGTTCGGGGGTTGCAGCTTCGGGTCATTGAGTCATCACAAATCTTGACAATCGTTGACTATGAATGACCATGATACTTCATGCAATATCCATGTCAATATGCAATAATTCTCTATTCAACCAACCTTAGCGAGGCCCCGGGCTTCTTCACGCAACCTTCATTTCTTTGAGCCAAAATATCACAAATCGCATCAACATGCCCACATGTGAAAACTTGTGTAGCAAATGCAGATGTCCTAACATCAGCAAACAACAATCACAGGCTGGCTCTCTCTGTCCCCTTTCGAGGATCTCTTGTCGCTCAACTTTTGCTCTCCAACTCTCCAACTTTGGGAGATGCAATCCGGGAAAACAATGACTGGGAAAACAATGGCTTTCAAATGGCTTCCCCATTGACGTTGGTGAGTTTTCATCTGGTCGTTGCCTTCAACACAACGGTGAACCCAATAACCTCCAAGTCAGGGGAGCGATCACCAGATCTCCAAGGGTCGTCCAGCGCTTGGAGTGCCTCGAATGGCTTCGGCATAGGTGGCCTGCAGTGCGGCCACATACCTCGCGCCCAGTGACCGGTGGAATATCTGGAATATGAAGTTATGCACACATAAGACAAAAAGAATGAACAGTATGTATATATAAAGATTAATTATATGTCAAGGTACACATATGCACATATTAACATGTATGTATTAATATATGTACATGATTATTAAAATCAACATTACATAAACATAATTCTGTAATTATATAGCTATGGATATATATATAATACACGTATATATTATATTGATAATACAATCTGTGCTACGTGTGCTACATGCAAACACCCAGTAGTTCACGAGTCCATCCACGAGTCTATCTACTTCTCCGTCCCAGAAGCCGTCCTTCTTATGTCAAGAAAAAGCGAAACGTCCAAGGTCAGCACTCGTCTTTCTCCGACCCTGGTGAAAACGAACCTGGAACCTGCAAAATATGCATGGATTGGATTTTGGAAAACACCCTTACGAGTTTTTGCCCTCCGCAGTCTGCAATGCCATACCACCAAGCCGCAACCTTAAATAATCTCAAACCATCTCAAGCCCGCCTCTTTCGGTGCTTCTCCACTTCTTCCCGTGTTGGATTCTCGATGTGTGGCATGTGCAACGGCGGACCAATGGCCAGCTTCACGTGCACACGCTTGGGCAGCAAGGGTAGAACTGGAAAGCCCCAAGGTAATACAGCTGGGATCGAGAGCCCATTCAGCCACCAGCGGAATTTCCAGGCACCTTGAGGATTGCTGAACCTTGGATGCTTCTAACAGTTCTAACATGTTCCAACATGTTCTAGAAGCTTCCAGTGCATTCCGACATTCTGATACTATCTGATACTATCTGAAACTATCTCAGTGCAATCAATTTGGGCAGAAAACCACCGGTGGAAATTGGGAATCCATCTAACTTTTCAACACAAACTGCGGGTGGCAAATAGACACTTGAAAGAACAAACGCTCCTTCCAGCCCTGGAACATGTCGGAGTCTCCAACGGTGAAGCACGGAACCAAATCGTAGCCATGTCGCAAGGCATACTTGATGAATCCAGCGCGTGTCTTCAAGAACACGCGCTCCGTGAATCTGCAGGTCACTGTTGCCTCTTCAAAGCCACCTGTGACGACAGCACGACTTGGTCACAGCGGTAGCCGTTCCGTAGGAACCGTAGGACACAAAGGACGAAGGTTCACACAGAATTGAAGAATGACATGCGATGACATGCGAAGGTTGAGCGGTTCGACCTTCTCTGACCTTTCCACATGGGGTTATTTTTCCAGGCCAACCCAATCCACTTGGAAGCAGCTATGCCCAGTTCAAACGCTGGTGTCATTCCCGCAAATACATGCAAATACTGGTTGATTAGGAGGACTTCCTGTGTCATCCATTACTTCCATCCCTTCTCCATCCCTTGAGCATCATAAGCCCAGTATTAGTGTTGTTATCATTCATCACCGTCATTGTCACTGGCCGCCATAGCCATAACCGGCAGCCATGGGCCTGGTACGATGGCCATGGGACTGTTCTCCTTCTCCATCAAGCGCTTCAAATCCCTGGGCCCAGTGGAGCCCAACTTCACACCCAGCAACTCTGCGACCACTCGGAAAACTGGAGCAAAGTGGTAAAGGTATGGCGCAATACCTTCGCTGAATGCCACGAATATTTTAAGCCCGATTTTTTAGAGACAAAACAGGAGACCACAATTTTTTGGGGGGATGGGATGGGATGGGCAAAACAGAATCGAAACATATTATATTGAAACCACCTGGAAAAGTTTGGAAGCTTGAAAGGAAAGGTGTCAACGGAATCGGATGTGAGCACCCATTTTCAGACTTGAGAGCGCAAAAGTGCCAAAGAGTGATGCAACATCCACAGGGTCAGCGGATTATCACACAAAACGCCCTGGGGACATTCCGTGCAGCTAGGAGGCACAATCGAACTTCAGGCACGTGATCGGGCAGTGCCAGTGCACCGAGGGTATAAATTCCATGCGGATGGATGCAGAAGAGGCGCTTCCTCTTCTCTCCTGGGATAAGGAAATGTCAATCACCATCAAATCAGAAAAGGTTCATCTATATAATGATTCTTTTGGGGAAAAGAAGGATGAAACTGGAATTGAGGAAGAATGTTTGGAATTGTTTGGAGCTGTTTAAGAGCTTCAGAGGTGTGCATTTCCAGCTTTCGACCCAACCTGTATCAACAGGTTTTAAGACTTGGTCCCTAGCCTCGCTGTTTTTTGGCTCAAATCCTTTCCTGCTGAGCTCCACCAATCATTTTTCAGCTTCAGGATTTGAGCCATCCAAAAAAGCGCTGTTTTTTACCCAAGGTTCCCTTACTTGGCGGCTCGGGTTCTGGCTCTGGCGTAGTACCCACATACAGCACCTCCATACCTTCTGGAAACCAACCTTGGAGGCCGCCCCAGAACGCATGAGTGGCCTTGGTCCAGCAAGGCATCTGGGCTGGATCAAAGTGGTCAACTTTTCCAAAACTTGGCTTGCAGTGGGGGTTTCAACTCATCCTGACATTTGGATTCCTCCATTTCGGACATCCTCAAAATCGAAAAAAATCACACCATCCAGTCTCAGTGACGCTGCGTGGAAGAGCTGGCACTGTGATCACATGAGGGAAGCAATAGGCTGCCAGTAGAGCTGACATCAGCTTCCATTTGGCTGTTGCCAGGGACCATACCAGCGCAGCTGGCATGGTGATGGATACGAACCAAAGGCTGGCCTTAGCTGATTATGAAAGAAAAACTGCTGGAGACTGCGATGAGACTGCGGGCTAACTATGGTAAATTGATCAATCAAGTTGAGATCTGACACCAGCAGAAAGCGAGCAAACCATGAGAGGTTTTTGTCCTTGAAAGTAGATTGATGCTGCAAATATGGAGTGCAATTCTCTTGCTACCTGCTTTGCGGTTTGTAGAATAGCTTTATTCAGCACCTTCTTTCATTGTATTTCAGCGTCATCTAGAATGATGAGCCCCACCATGATCTGGTATCACCAGCATCGCCAAGAGACAAAGACACTCCAGCAAACCATTGCCACAGCAATGCGCCCAATGCCAACGCCTCGTGTAGCCTTGACATCTTTCGGCGGCTGTGTAGGCTTCGAGGTTACCTGATGGCCAGGCATTCGAGGGGTTCACAGTGGTTCACAGTCCCAAGGGAAAAAAGGGACTGGAATCATGATGCTGTTTGGCAATTCCTTTGCAAATGTAGTAACCAACGACATGGATTGCAAAGTCATTGCAACCTCATCCGCTTTATCCCATTTACATCCATTTACAACTATGCAAACTAACATAAACTGACCGTGGTTACCGCATACCCACCTCCCAACACTCTGCCAATCCAGGATTTGCCGGCCTTTCCTCCATCGTTCGCCAGGGCCAGCGCCAGCCCAGTGTCCTGCAGAGCGGAGAGGGAGTGATTGGTAGAGAATCTCCATGGCTTGAGATTGTTGGAGACCCAACTCAATCTACTTTTTGAATCAAACATATCCAACATATATCCAACATATTCCAAAATCCATCCACTACAGTCACTACAGCTGGAGTACGAGTAGCATGATTTAGCACGGAAGTCTTCTTCTGTCGTGAAATCGAGGCACTGTAGCAAACAGCAGATCTCCGAGCGACTGGCGACTTTTGGGGAGCTATGGGGCGATGTTCTCCGTTTCAATGGGCCTATGATACGTATATATGATCTGTTTAGAATCTGATGGAGGCAATCGATTCCGCGATCTGCAACCAAACACATGAGACAATTAAATTCGAGACATTAATGGTCATGAATGTAAGGTCCTTTTGATACATCATAAACGATCATGAACGCATTAGACAACACCACCTTCCTTTCAGCGTCATGTCCTGAGACGTGGCGGGGGCACATCTCACCGATGTTTCAAGGGATGCCAGGGACGCCGCCACAGCACCGCCCAGTAGCAGGGTACGACTGAAGCGGCCAAGGCTTGGGATGCGAAGCGGGGTAGTCCTGGGGCTCAACATGGCCCAGGTGGACTTTGGGATGTTTCATGCTGTTTCATGATGTGGCAGTGTGTCAAAACCTTGTACCCCTGGTGAACATCAAAATAGCTGGTAAATGGATGTTCATCCCCCTAAAAATGGTATTAATAGGTATTGATCCATACCCATGTTTCATGATGTTTCCTTAAGGGATCATTAAGGGATCTCTGGGGGAGTCTTGACTGTCTTGATTCATTTTTTTCTGAAAGCTTTGGCAAGCAACATGGAAAGCTACCAGTATAACAACATCTCTGTGACTTGATAGATGGAAACACATTTCATAAGCAGTTTTGAAAAAGCCTATGGTGTCATGCAGATCATGCAGATTGGCTCAGCTCAACTCTTGCGATCCATATACACCGAACTATCGTATTTAATATGTTTTAATATCTTATGTCATACCATTTCACTTTTTTTTTAAAATGGTGTCTTGAAGTTTGAAACTCTTTGTCCGATTTTACTGCTTTGTAGCACCAGGGTGCAGGGGCATTGTGGGCGATGGGTGAAGATGGGTGAAGGGCGTTTCTTCTCCAGTTTAGGGATGATGGGGGGATGATGGGGGGATGATGGGGGATGGGTTGATGGGTCACAACCTATTCCGCAATCTGGATGAAGCACCCATCCCAACGACCAAGATTTTGACCCCCTCGGATCTCGGAGGAAAATTCGCCAGGAGATCCTTGTCAACCCAGCTGTCGGTTTCAGTGGTGCCAACCGCAGCAGTGGCCGTGAGAGTTGTGGTCTCCACAAACGCGGCAGTAGGCCCCACGACATGCTTCAGCACAGAGGGCTTGAGGGACCAATTGAGGCAATAATTGAGGTGACAACTTTGATGCAACATGATGCAACTGTGACACGCCCTGACACGCCCACTTCAGGCTGGTAGTGTGCGGTGTCAATCCTGCTTTCTGAACATAAAAAGCGGAGCGCCGAGCCAAAAGCCCTGCGGTGGTAGCCGAAGTGGCAGAGACGAATCGTTTTTATCCAGATGCGAGGTTTATCAACCTAAACGCGCCAAAACCCTCAATCATTTTGTAGTCTTCCTGGTTGTCACTTTCAGGGGCTGGCAGCCAGTGGGACTTTGCGCTCAGCCCAGGTTCATGCTTCTCTGGGATCAGCGCCAAGTCTTTACTAACGAATCGACAAAATGTTCGAGTCAATATCGTCAATCAAGCCACAGTACACTCTGGCAAACGAACTTGACATTTCTGACAATTTTTACAACCAGAAAATCATCTACAAAGCATTAGAAAGCGGTGATTTTTGATTGCAACGTTTGATTGCTGAAGGGCACAAACTACGAGTACTTTCCTGTATGCGACAAAGCATCCGACAGCATCCGACTACAGGTGAGACTTCAAACCAACCAGCGATGTGCTGCTGCCCATCATTTGACGAAATCATACAGCAGAAACCAAGCTTTGGCGGAATGCCTGGAAGCTCTAGATTCTTAGATGCTTCAGCTGTCAGCCCCTTGCAAGTGGTCCTGCTAGCAACTGATCAAATGCTTCGGAAGCCTTCTGCTCATACGCCTTGAGCTTCGCTTGTCGGTCCCCAGGAGGTCCAGCTCCAGCATCACCACAGCCAGAGGGACCACAACCACAGCCGCATCCGCCATCGCAGCCACCACATCCACCACAGCTGCAGCTATAGCCTTGGGGGCAACCTCCGCATCCTCCACATCCGCAGCCACAACCACCGCAAGCACCTCCACAGTTGCCACAACCGCAGCTGCCGCAAGGGTTGCCACAACAACCTGCGCAACCGCCACAGCCACCACACCCGCTGCAACCCCCACAACCACTGCAGCCTCCACAACCACCACAACCACCACAGCCGCAGCCTCCACAACCACCACAACCACCACAACCGCAGCCGCCGCAGCCGCAGCCTCCGCAGCCTCCGCAGCCTCCGCAGCCACAGCCTCCGCAGCAATTGCCGCAGCCTCCGCAACCGCCACAGTTTCCACAACACCCTCCGCAACACCCGCCACAACTCCCACAGCCGCCACAGCTGCCACAACCACCGCAGGTGCCACAACCTCCACAGCCGCTGCAAGCTCCGCAGCTGCCACAGCCACCACAGCTACACCCGCAACCACCAGCATCAGAACTCCCGCAAGCTCCCATGTTTCCATAAGCCTCGCCACATCCTCCACAACCGCAAGCCCCGCAGCCACTTGGGTTGCTGGGCATACTGGTCCCAGTGCCGGTGTAGCTGCCACAAGCATTGGATTGACTCAAACAACCTCAGCAACGTCTTGACCGTTTCCTGGGGAGTGACCTGACACATGATACATGGCGCGATGAAACTTCACTCGCATCTGATAGTCAACTGAATGCAAAGGATACTACCTTCGTCAAACACCCATGCTCCCGGGGAAATTGTAACTGATCCATGGCTCAATCTTCTTCCATCAACGCTTCAGAAAAATTGCAGGCACTAGCAGGATGTCTCTCTTTTGACGTCGACGCTGAGCAAACAGAAGGATCATCACAACTGGTCAGGGCCTTCACATAAATCAACTGGGACCATGACGGAACACACACACACACACACATATATATATATAAGACACAAATGGCCACAGTACAAAAATATACAGTACACACCTTTATGTCATTTTATGTCATGAATACGGAGATGAACAACGATAGAACTCACCAGGTCTCCCCGGATTCGCCAAGCCACTGGGATTGGGCGGCCTCAGCTGATTATGGATCAGAGTTTTGAGATTTTCGGATCACCTGCCATAATCAGATCCAGTGATTATGGGATTCCCCCAATGATTATGGGATTTTCCTGGCGTTTTTGGATGATTTTGGATGATTTTGGGGTTCCCCCAATCCAAATGGAATCCAAATCCCATCATTCCAGTGACGCAAGCGCGACGCTCGCGTTGCGACTCGTTGGACATCTGGGCAGCTGGCCATGGTGGGCTGGCCTGAGCCGCCTGCGCCGCGGAATGATTGGGATGGGACCATCTTTGGGATTTGTGAGCACCAAACATATCAAACATGGCAACGGGGAAATCCCCTTAATGACGATCAATGGATAACCATGGATAACCTGATTTTAACGATAAATGGAGAATTATAGAATTATAACACCTGATCACCTGAAATTCACCTGAAACCTGACACGCTCTTTATCAACCTCCCTTCAGAAACATGGCCTGTGCGGCACCTGGATCCAGCTGGAGAAGGTCCTGCCGTTGGTGAAGATTGGATCATGAATGGAGGTACCAAATGGAAGCTTTATAATGGAACATCCCATTCAAATGGATTTGGGGTACCCCCCATTTTAGAAAACCCTCCAAATATGGGTGAAGCGAAGAGGACGTTGCTTCTTTGTTCTTGGACTCTCCCAAAGAATTTCGATAAATTTCCTGGAGAAGTCTCCTGTTGTCACAAAATGGAAAACCTGCCTATCATCCGCACTTTTTAAAGCGTGCCACACATTTTCAGACTCAGAATCTTCGAAACCCAGGGCTCCAGAGCGCCAGAAGAGGTAGGACCGGTAGGACCTCTAGCCTCAGCAAGTTACCCAAATAAAAAACCATATGAGCCATTGACAATCAGATGTTACCAGTGCAATCTGGGTAATGTGTGATAATTTGATATAATTTGGACATCCCAAAGCTATTCCAAAGCTGGTGTGAGATCATTTGAGAGACTCAGCTCCGCTTGTTTTTGGCCAAAGTTGTCTTCATGGGAAAACGACGAAAAACCGAGGCCATGTTCCGAGGCCATTTTTCCCGCAGCTCAGAGTTCGGAAGCACCACAGGAGCACTCGCTTCCTATGGCAGCAAGCTCCCAGCAGATCCATCGCCTGCGGGAAAGATCACTTTGTTCCAGGCGATAGGCAGCAGTGAAGTGGATTGCCAGCAAACAAAGGTCGACCTCCAATGCAGCTTCCAACTTTCCCAGGGTGTTATCCACTAGGGCAGCTTTTGAAATTTCGGAAACTGGATTTCGAAGCACATCTTTGATGATGCTACCCTTGTTCACCTCCTCCCCTTGAGCGAAAATGATGCCACCAATGGCTGTGTCATTTCCGGCTCCAAAAGGTACCCCTGATAGCCGCACCCCAGCAGCTGCCAGAAAATCGATGACCTGAAGGTTCTGTACTTCGCCAGAAAACGTCGGGAAGTTTCTCGGCCATCACCCGCATGGTTTTCCTCATCTCAGCGATGATTTCTGGGAAGGTGGAGTCCACCAGTTGTAAGGCTGCCGCATAGTAGCTGGCCTCCATTCACTGCTAGGAAAGTATCGGGGCCTATTAATTCACCTTGGCTTAGATTCGTGCTGCAAGTTCTGGCATGGCAGCCCTCAAGCATGGATCCAGATGTGCTATGAAGCTGTCAGTACCAGGCAGGCCGAAAATAAAAGGGGTGTCAGGCATCAGGAGGGTCTCGTCCAAGTCCAAAAACACATCAGTCACCTGGTTTTCTCTTAGAAGTTTGGGAAGCTGCTCTGCTGCCGTAGCGTTGATGAGCTTGCGGCAGGAGCTGGCAATCTGCAGGGTCAAAAATGTCCATATCCAAATGTACAAAGTCATGAATGAGCACTCGCTTGTCGCTATTCAATCAACTTGTTTCATTAGACATCCTTCTCCCATGCATAAATGAATTTGCACTGCACGCAGTTGGTCGTGGTTCTCTTGACTTCCAAATGGCAAGGATTGCAGTCTCCGGACATTTCTATTTCTACAAGATCGACAATACGCACTTGAGGATGCCATCCTAGAATCCCCAGAATTTTCAGAATCAGAGTGTCTAAGAAACAAGAAGCAAAACTAATCTTTCCGATTTTGGGGATATTTAATGGATATTTGATGTCCACTCTGTCACTTTGTCAAAGCCCCAAAACACCTGGGCCCTGCGACTGAGGAGTCCTGGCCGCTGCAAAAAAGCTGGCGAAAATTGGGAAGTCGCTTGAACTCGTCATCCATTCTTCTGCTTAATCTTGGTGAACATCTCATGCAAACATTTGATGTATATATATATATACAGTCATATATATACAATTATATATAGTATATTATCTATAACTTGAACACGACTTTTCGGAGTCACTACTTTTCGCATCGGCATCGACTGCCTCCGCCAGCAGGTCGCAGAGGTTCACCCCCGGATTGCTGGGTGCCATCTGCGGGAGATGAAGCGCAGGCGCAGGGGACAGCGGACAGCGGACAGCGCGCATCAAACCCCGGCAAAACATGGCACTGAGACACCGACCGTAGGTTTGGAAGGGAGGTGAAGAGTTTCTGCAGAGGGGCATGTTGAGGATTTGTTTAAAGGACTTCTCCGTAAATTTGCAGTGGACTATATTTAGTCAATGAGAATGGACAACAACTGCTTGTCAGGTTGTGAGTCCTGGTTGCAGCTCTGACCATCAGAAAGTCCGTGACTTCTCACAGGGATTGCTATGTGCTGAGGATGAAACCACTGGCCGCATTGAGCTTCTCCGTTCTCACCCTTGGAAACGTAGGAGTCTGTGACAGATGAAGATTGAACAGCATGGTGTTTATAGTCTTTGGATGTCTTTGATGCAACCTCTCAACAGTGGCTTCAACGATCAACCAACCGTCACTTAAATCCTGAGGTTGGAGCCGTTCTGCTTCTGTTGTGATCCTGTAGCTGGCCACTAGTCTAATGACTTCAGAATTGACAACCCTCAGAATAATCCTGGAAATCCTGGAAGTTGATACTCAAATCTTACTCAATCCTTAATTCCTGTTGGGAACTCACCACAACCATCTGTGGGTTTCTCAATAGCCTCACTGATCCCCAGGAGTCTGCCAAACTAGGCCCCCGACTCGCACATTTTCCGTGCAGTCTCCTGTCAGCAGAGTGGTAGAGTCTGGCATAGTCTATTTGGAGGTTTCCATTTTATTATTGAAACCTATAGTTTTGGGATCCCCCATGTTAGAAAACACATCCATTTGTTGGATCCCAGCTTCTCCCAGCTGGATTGGTTCAGTCATCCGTGGACTAGCTGGAGCCTCTTTCTTCTTCTCCAAGTCTTTGATCTCCTCATTGCAATGGTCCAGTTCCTGGCTGGAAATGGTGGACAAACGGACAAACATTATTGATGATGGATGGAACGGATGAAGAAATGATAGAAATTCATAGAACTTGATTCAACCTGTCTTGCGTCCGAGACTGAAAGGCATTTGTTGGGGGTGGACACAAGCATGGGTGCAAGTGGGCTTTCCAGCTTTGGAGTTCCCTGTGCTCAAGTTCAAACTCGTTCAAGCCAAAAGGATGTCATTTGATATCAGTGGAAGAAACCTTTCAAAATGATGGGGCATGCACTCCTGGATCCATTGCTGCAGGTATTGGCTTTGGATTGAAAACACAGGCACTCCCAATTCAAAATTCGCTTTGCGGTGCCTTCAAGATCTTCTGTCTTCGGGTCTGAGCATGTCCTTTGCACAGCCAAAGATCGCGGATCGCTGATCGCTGCTTCAACGACTGGGGCAGTGACCTATTTGCCGTGCGATGGTTTCCAAGTCCTTCTGATAGCCTGGAGCAACTGGTTTTAACTGGATTGCAGGCACCACAGTGGAAACAAAATGAAACAAACATCCCCCTGACCACAAAAAAAGTTCCAATCTCTCGAACGTGTCCGAGACTTTGTGGAAGCTTTGTTGGCTCCCCGTGGACATTGAACCGGTACCGGATGCTATCTATTCCATCTATTCCTACTGCATGAAAGGCTTGCAGGACTTGCCTTGAACTGCTTTGAGATACCTGGCTTCTTGTCCCTTCAACTCGTTTTGCACTTTCTGCATCTGCTCCAATTCAGCCTGAACCTGGAGTGGCAGGGCTACTCGATGGTCACAATTGCTTCCCGGAACCTCATCTTGGTTGCTAGTTCCCTGGAAGGAGAAATCAAGATGAATCAAGATGAATCAAGATGAATCAATGTCCCAAATGCCAAACAACATGGATTTGCTTGGAATCAGGCATCAAAACCTGGAAACAACACCGTCCCAAAACAGGTTTCACTGCCTGCGCCATTCGTTTGGCAAAGGCATCGTTGACCTCGATATTGGACATTCGACCCACCGCTTCCTGCCGGGTGCCATCTATGCCATGCTGGGAAATTCCAGGTGGAACCAATTGCAACCCTCCAAGTTTGTGGTCACTGATGTCACTGAACTGGGGTGAAGTTTGCAAATCGTTTTTTATACACGTTTGCCCACTATCCTCCATTGCGACGACAACGCGATGCGGGCGCTGCGTCTGGTTTCCACGTTCAAATCCAGTTGGTTCCGAAGCTTCTCTAGCAAGAGGTGATTGGATTCAGCACAGCTCGACCTTGTTGAACATGACGTGTTTCTCCCTCTCTTTCTCTCTATTTATAATGTGATAATATGTAATTGCATAATATTGTATATATATAATTATATATATACACTGTCTGTATAGATGCACGTTCATTTTGAATCATTTTGAGTTTGTTGATATTAATTTTGAATCAGCTTCCAAGCTTGTTGCATCTGCCAGCTCCATCTGCCATAGTCTTTGAGCAGAAAAGAGGCACGAATTTGTAGAGGGACCCTGGGGCAACAGTAGCACCCAAGTTTCACGAATGGGCACAGCAGTTTTGAACACTTTTTCGTGACTAGCCTGGAGCCTCCCCAGCCTGGGTGTGGTTTTCCACTCCGCAACACATTGCACCCTTGATGTCCTAAGGATGGCCACTGAAGATTCAGTCCCGACATTTTTGCCGCCAGTGATTGCGAGTGGGGCCAGGCTATGGTGACTGACCTTGTTTGAATCTCGGTTCAGTACACGCCAGGATATGCCAGGCATGTTCTCCTCGGATCCAATCTCAATGATTGGCTGAAGTGATGCCCACCGGTTCAACACCACAGGCGGTACTTTGTAGGAGGAATGTACTCATGATTGAAGATGCGGTGCCTAAACACACACACATGAATTATGATGAATTATGCATCATGAGTTATGAATGTCGAATGATGAGCTTGATGTTTGATGACTGATTGAATCTGATTGATGCCCTGGCAGGAAATCAAACTTCCCACCCTTCCATCACTTCTTTTCCTCGTCCGCTGACTCGTTGCAGGCGAAGCACGGACGAGTTTTCCGTGACAACACCCCAGGCATCGTCACGTACACAGGTCTCGTCTGGAATCTGCTGCAATAGTCATGTTGCAGATCTGTCTACCATCCTTTGACATGTGTGGATTTTTGTGGTACCCTCTGGTAAACTAACATAACTATGGAAAATCAACATTTTTTTTGGGAAAATCCACTATAAATGGAGGTAGATGGAGCTTTTGTGGAGTCCTTTTGGAACCAATCCTGATGGAGGAGTGCTGAAGAGATTTCTGTGGCGAACGGTCAACACACACCAGCGACAGAGTGCCAGGAGACTCCATGTTCACGCACACCTTTTCCTCAGCTGCGCAAGGTGATTCACGCACACCTTTTTTTGACGGAATATACACATACATAATATATATATATATATATAATAATAATTACATATATGTATATTTATTCTCATATATTATATGTATGTATATATAGATAGATAGATATGTATGTGTAGACTTATCCAGACATGTACAAGTCTCTGCAATCCAGCTACAAAAATGATCCTGACTTTTCATCGCACTATGGCGTCTTGCTGCGATAAGCAAGAAACAACGCGAAGGCCAAAATTGGTAGCAATGTGCAAAGGTCCTTATCCCCATGTTCTTCCCTGTATATCCCCATTCTATCCGATTTTCCCAGTCTATTCTTGTGATCTCCACATTTCCTGTCGGCTCTCCTTCCGGGACGCCATTGCATCTGGGGTCCCAACAGTCATCTAGGGCAACCGTGTTGGCATCCAACTGTGCCTTCTTGGCTGCTGTGGCCTGATTTCACATGCTTTGGATGGTTTTTTGTCACACTTGTGCTCCAACTGACTGTTTTTTTTGCATGAGTAAGCCAAAGTTTCGAGACATGTACCCATCCAAATTGAAGCAAACACACGAAGATTAACTCCAACATACTCCAACTTCCCTGCTTTTGCCACTTGTTTTCGGTTAAAGCAGGAGCAACATGGAGCAACTCTCGAGAAATTTCACGACGACTGCTGGCTACGTTCGAGTTCTTTTCTAGTCAAACAATCCTTTTCCCACATGTACATGCTTTTCCTTGCTGTCATCCTCTTTTCTTGTCGGCATTGCTATCATAATTCAAAACACACTCCTGGGTCAAACCCAGAATCTTTTTGGCGAGAGCTTGGCCCGGTGAAATCCAAACTTAATTCTTGTGGATTCCATCCCAAGTTTTTGTTCGTTATATAAATATTCAGTTTTTACATGTTTCGCCTTTGTGGCACCGCATCAACTGATATGACAACCACATTTTCCGTGCCTCCGCTGCATCAGCCTCCGCCTTTCGCTTCTTCTCGGCCATGTCCTTGGGTGGTGGTTATTGGTTTACCACGTATTTTAATGTATGTGTATGTCGGAGTACTTTACTAAAGTAGAGGGGGCGTATATGATACAAAAATAATCATGGAAATTGTATGATATGTATATATATATATATACATATACACATAATTGCATATATATATATATAAACACGTGATACTATATATATATATATCAATATGTATATGTGCGTGATCATGATAATGTATGAATAGATCTGTGATGATTCAATGCATCTGTGTTGTTTCCACCCCTTCTCTGACCCTTTTCGTCCTTGGCTGCTTCTTCGCCGGCACCAGCCCCTGCTTCCACCTGTGCTGTCGGGGTCTTTGATTCTTCCCACCAAACATATGGGTCTCTCTGAAAAAAAATGGGACCCGAAATCATGGTTCATCAATTTATATCCTGTATGTATATACGACTATATACGTACCCTCCGGTAATTTAACGTAACTCTGCGTTTTCGAATTTTACAGCACTAACGTGACTATCACTTGGGTCTCCCAGACCAGCATGTTCCCCAGAGACCCTGGCCAAGGAAAACCAACTAACGTGGCTATCATTTTACAGCTCAAAGGTTACAACATGGAAGGAAGCCCACTAACGTGGCTATCAGTTTACACCATTCAAGGTTTCCAACATGGCAGGAAGCCCACTAACGTGGCTATCATTTTACAGCACTCAGGGTTTTCAGCATGGAAGGAAGCCCACTAACGTGGCTATCATTTTACACCATTCAAGGTTTCCAACAAGGAAGGAAGCCCACTAACGTGGCTATCATTTTACACCATTAAAGGTTTCCAACATGGAAGGAAGCCCACTAACGTGGCTATCATTTTACAGCACTCAAGGTTTTCAACTTTAAAAAACAACTAACGTGGCTATTGGCAAAATTAGCTATACCTAACATAGCTAGTGTAAAGAGTTCCACATTGTTTCAGCTCAACCCATAAAGTGACTTGTTTTTTCCCTTTTGTTCTCTCTTGAATCTTAGGTAGCTAACGTGGCCCTTGCAGCCAGCATGGCACCAATGTGTGCCAATGCCTTAAGGTTTTAATCAAACAAGTAAGCTTAAATATGACATAGCTAGGGTCCCTGAAAAAACGGGGTACGGGCTGCATCCCCATAGCTAGGTTAGCCAGTGGCGTATCCAATGGTGGCTGCAGGCCGTAAGCCCCTGCCCCCAGGGACCACAGTGGAGCATTTTACCAGGAACCTGACCTAGCAATTTTTGGGTGCCTGGTGGCTGCAGGCCGTAATCCCTTCCCCTAGGGACCACAGTGGAGCATTTTACCAAGCACTCAAAAATGGATTTTCATAGCTTTTTTTCCGATCAATTTCAATAGCACAGCTCTATTCAAAAATGCATTTTTGGGGCTGGATCTGGGTGGGAAGCCATTTGGTGGTGATGCTGAGCAGTATTGTAAAATGAAAAAAAAAATGTTCCCCATAGCTAGGTTAGCCAGTGGCGTATCCACTGGTGGCTGCAGGCCGTAACCCCCTGCCCCCAGGGACCACAGTGGAGCATTTTACCAGGAACCTAACCTAGCAATTTTTCGGCGCCTGGTGGCTGCAGGCCGTAATCCCTTCCCCTAGGGAACACAGTGGAGCATTTTACCAGGCACCCAAAAATTGATTTTCATTGGTTTTTTTCCGATCAATTTCACTAGGACAGATCTATTCAAAAATGCATTTTTGGTGCTCGATCTGGCCGGGAAGCCATTTGGTGGTGATTTTGAGCAACTGAGTCTCTGTAAAATGAAAAAAATGTTCCCCATAGCTAGGTTAGCCAGTGGCGTATCCACTGGTGGCTGCAGGCCGTAACCCCCTGCCCCCAGGGACCAGAGTGGAGCATTTTACCACGAACCTAACCTAGCAATTTTTGGGTGCCTGGCGGCTGCAGGTAATCCCTTCCCCTAGGGACCACAGTGGAGCATTTTACCAGGCACCCAAAAAGTTATTTTCTTAGCTTTTTTTCCGATCAATTTCAATAGCACAGCTCTATTCAAAAATGCATTTTTGGGGCTCGATCTGGCCGGGAAGCCATTTGGTGGTGATTTTGAACAACTTAGTCCCTGTAAAATGAAAAAATGCTCCCCATAGCTAGGTTAGCCAGTGGCGTATCCACTGGTGGCTGCAGGCCGCAACCCCCTGCCCCCAGGGACCACAGTGGAGCATTTTACCAGGAACCTAACCTAGCAATTTTTGGGTGCCTGGTGGCTGCAAGCCGTACAGTGGAGCATTTTACAAAGCACCCAACAATTGATTTTCATTAGCTTTTTTTTCCAGTCAATTTCAATAGCACAGATCTATGCAAAAATGCATTTTTGGGGCTCGATTTGGCCGGGAGGCCATTTGGTGGTGATTTTGAGCAACTTAGTCCCTGCAAAATGAAAAAAATGTTCCCCATAGCTAGGTTAGCCAGTGGCGTATCCACTGCAGAGCATTTTACCAGGAACCTAACCTAGCAATTTTTGGGTGCCTGGCGGCTGCAGGCGGAAAATCCCTCCCCCGAGGTATCACAGTGGAGCATTTTACCAGGAACCTAACCTAGCTATGAAAATCGATTCATGGGTGCCTTGTAAAATGCTCCATTGTGGTCTCTGGGGGAAGGGGGATACGGCCTGTAGCCACGACTGGGTAGGCCACTGGCTAACCTAGCCATGGGGAACATGCAGCCCGTACCCCCTTTTTTCAGGGGCCAGTCACATGTGTTTGGTGGCCCCCCCCAAAGTTGTACTTGACTCTGCCTGGGTTCTCCCAAGGACGATGTATCATACAAAAGTCATATGTTGAGAACCCCCACTAACGTAGCTATCATTTTACACCATTCAAGGTTTCCAACATGGAAGGAAGCCCACGAACGTGGCTATCATTTTACAGCACTCAAGGTTTTCAACTTTAAAAAACAACTAACGTGGCTATTGGCAAAATTAGCTATACCTAACATAGCCATTGTAAAGTGTTCCACATTGTTTCAGCTCAACCCATAAAGTGACTTGTTTTTTCCCTTTTGTTCTCTCTTGAATCTTAGGTAGCTAACGTGGCCCTTGCAGCCTGCATGGCACACATTGGTGCCAATGCCTTAAGGTTTTAATCAAACAAGTAAGCTTAAATATGACATAGCTAGGATCCCTAAAAAACGGGGTACGGGCTGCATGTTCCCCATAGCTAGGTTAGCCAGTGGCGTATCCACTGGTGGCTGCAGGCCGTAATCCCCTGCCCCCAGGGACCAGAGTGGAGCATTTTACCACGAACCTAACCTAGCAATTTTTGGGTGCCTGGTGGCTGCAGGCCGTAATCCCTTCCCCTAGGGACCACAGTGGAGCATTTTACCAGGCACCCAAAAATTGATTTTCTTCTTTTCCGATCAATTTCAATAGCACAGCTCTATTCAAAAATGCATTTTTGGGGCTCGATCTGGGTGGGAGGCCATTTGGTGGTGATTTTGAGCAACTTAGTCCCTGTAAAATGAAAAAAATGTTCCCCATAGCTAGGTTAGCCAGTGGCGTATCCACTGCAGAGCATTTTACCAGGAACCTAACCTAGCAATTTTTGGGTGCTTGGTGGCTGCAGGTAATCCCTTCCCCTAGGGACCACAGTGGAGCATTTTACCAGGCACCCAAAAATTGATTTTCTTAGCTTTTTTTCCGATCGATTTCAATAGCACAGCTCTATTCAAAAATGCATTTTTGGGGCTCGATCTGGCCGGGAAGCCATTTGGTGGTGATTTTGAGCAACTTAGTCCCTGTAAAATGAAAAAATGTTCCCCATAGCTAGGTTAGCCAATGGCGTATCCACTGCAGAACATTTTACCAGGAACCTAACCTAGCAATTTTTGGGTGCCTGGCGGCTGCAGGTAATCCCTTCCCCGAGGCATCACAATGGAGCATTTTACCAGGAACCTAATCTAGCTATGAAAATCGATTCATGGGTGCCTGGTAAAATGCTCCATTGTGGTCTCTGGGGGAAGGGGGATACGGCCTGTAGCCACCACTGGGTAGGCCACTGGCTGACCTGGCTATGGGGAACATGCAGCCCGTACCCCCTTTTTTCAGGGACCAGTCACATGTGTTTGGTGGGCCCCCCCCAGGGTTGTACTTGACTCTGCCTGGGTTCTCCCAGGGACGATGTATCACACAAAAGTCATATGTTGAGAACCCCCACTAACGTGGCTATCATTTTACACCATTCAAGGTTTCCAACATGGAAGGAAGCCCACTAACGTGGCTATCATTTTACAGCACTCAAGGTTTTCAACTTTAAAAAACAACTAACGTGGCTATTGGCAAAATTAGCTATACCTAACATAGCCATTGTAAAGTGTTCCACATTGTTTCAGCTCAACCCATAAAGTGACTTGTTTTTTCCCTTTTGTTCTCTCTTGAATCTTAGGTAGCTAACGTGGCCCTTGCAGCCTGCATGGCACCAATGTGTGCCAATGCCTTAAGGTTTTAATCAAACAAGTAAGCTTAAATATGACATAGCTAGGGTCCCTAAAAAACGGGGTACGGGCTGCATCCCCATAGCTAGGTTAGCCAGTGGCGTATCCACTAGTGGCTGCAGGCCGTAACCCCTTGCCCCCAGGGACTTTTACCACGAACCTAACCTAGCAATTTTTGGGCGCCTGGTGGCTGCAGGCCGTAATCCCTTCCCCTAGGGACCACAGTGGAGCATTTTACCAGGCACCCAAAAATTGATTTTCATTGGTTTTTTCCCGATCAATTTCAATAGCACAGCTCTATTCAAAAATGCATTTTTGGGGCTCGATTTGGCTGGGAGGCCATTTGGTGGTGATTTTGAGTAACTTAGTCCTTGTAAAATGAAAAAAATGTTCCTCATAGCTAGGTTTAGCCAGTGGCGTATCCACTGCAGAGCATTTTACCAGGAACCTGACCTAGCAATTTTTGGGTGCCTGGCGGCTGCAGGTAATCCCTTCCCCTAGGGACCACAGTGGAGCATTTTACCAAGCACTCAAAAATGGATTTTCATAGCTTTTTTTCCGATCAATTTCAATAGCACAGCTCTATTCAAAATTGCATTTTTGGGGCTCGATCTGGGTGGGAGGCCATTTGGTGGTGATTTTGAGCAACTTAGTCCCTGTAAAATGAAAAAAATGTTCCCCATAGCTAGGTTAGCCAGTGGCGTATCCAGTGCAGAGCATTTTACCAGGAACCTAACCTAGCAATTTTTGGGTGCCTGGCGGCTGCAGGTAATCCCTCCCCCAAGGTATCACAATGGAGGATTTTACCAGGAACCTAACCTAGCTATGAAAATCGATTCATGGGTGCCTGGTAAAATGCTCCATTGTGGTCTCTGGGGGAAGGGGGATACGGCCTGTAGCCACCACTGGGTAGGCCACTGGCTAACCTAGCTATGGGGAACATGCAGCCCGTACCCCCTTTTTTCAGGGACCAGTCGCATGTGTTTGGTGGGCCCCCCCCAGGGTTGTACTTGACTCTGCCTGGGTTCTCCCAAGGACGATGTATCATACAAAAGTCATATGTTGAAAACCCCCACTAACGTGGCTATCATTTTGCACCATTCAAGGTTTCCAACAAGGAAGGAAGCCCACTAACGTGGCTATCATTTTACAGCACTCAGGGTTTTCAACATGGAAGGAAGCCCACTAACGTGGCTATCATTTTACACCATTCAAACTTTCCAACAAGGAAGGAAGCCCACTAACGTGGCTATCATTTTACACCATTCAAGGTTTCCAACATGGAAGGAATCCCACTAACGTGGCTATCATCCTGTTCTCCACCGCACGTATAACATAGATTTATCAAAAGGAGGACGCAACTAACGTGGCTATCATCGGGATATGGCCATTTTACACATACCTAACGTGGAAAAACCTATCGTTATACGCGGAAAAAGTACATCACGTTAGTTTACCAGAGTGTATATCATCCTATATCATATATATTTCCACATGTATTCACACATCTTCATTAATAGTCACATAATGTCACACATATGATATAACATATGTGATATAACATATATGATATAACATACATGAATATATCATGAATTATCATGATATATCTATCATTATCTATCATTCTATTGTTCCACTGAAATGGTCAGGCGCCGACTCGGCCTTGAAGCCCCCTGGATAGAGCTGCTCATCCAGATCTGGCTCCTCCAAAATGGGGTTGAGACTCCCATCGCCCAAAAAACCGAAAACCAGGTGGGCTTTTCGTTGATTTGTATTAACCAGGGTTAATAACCATTAAATACCCATGGTTGATTAATGTTAATATATGTTAATTAAATGTAATTAAGCATCCCGTTTTGTGGCTTTAGTTTAAACATGAAACCTATCTGAAGCCAGTGCAGAGGTTGCGTTTTTACAACACCGATGCGTTTCTTTTTTGGCAAAATTGTGCGCAGTTGATAGATGTTCTGGTATAGGTATAGGTACTTGTAGATCTTAATCTTCCCATATTTTCCCATCAGAATAGACCTTGGAGGTTGAAGAAATGAAGTCCTGACAGTGGTGCATTTCAGGCGGACCTTGCTTAGGGTGATGTTTGATGCACCGGGACCTTTCAATCATCCCATGATTCTTTGGTACTCCTCGCGGATCACCAAGTTGATTGACCAACCTTGACCTTCATCTTCGACCTTCACAGCAACTGGGCCCGTGGCTCTGAAGGATCACTTTGAAAGACGATAAGTTTGGTCACTTGTGGTCACTAAACCTTGTCATTTTGGTGGAACTGTTCGCGTGCTAAACAACACTAAAAGCATTACTTTTGCAGCAAAACACTGAAGTCTAAAGGCCACCATGGCCACCACAGCATGACATCCTCATCCTATGTCCATCACTCGCAGTCCCACAGCTGCGATTCGCCTGCAGTAACGAGCCGCTGGTCAAACCCCACTGGCTGAGCGACCACTCTGGATGCAAACCTTCCTGACGTCGAGGGGAAAAAGTCGGCCTTGGTATCCCCAAGACCTGAACAAATTGCATAGTCTAAGCAACGTTCATCAAAATGTACATATGTGATCATATGTGTCTACTGTGTAGATTGATATGACATGATATGAATTGATATGATATGAAATATGTCACAACTCCCAACAGGAGACAGTTGTTGGGTTTCAATCTCTAGGAGCAGGGGGGTGGTATCTCGACTTCCTTGTTTCCCACTTTGTCTCCGAGCTTGTGTCCCAGCTTGTCTCCCACTATGTCTCCCACTGTGTTTGCCTTGTCTCCCGCTTTGTCTCCCACTTTGTCTTCCGCCTGCCCTCCCACTTGTCTCTCACCTTGCCTCCCGCTGTCTGTGCTTCCACAGTGTTTCCATCTTGTCTCCCACGGTCTCCATTGTCACCCACAGTGTCTTCCACGTTATAAAAGTCGCAAGTGAACAGTCAAAGACAATCCAAATAAGCATGTGCCCAATGGCACCACCAATATTTCTCAAAGCGTTGCTTCATGTGCTGCATGCCAAGTCCTGCTCCACGTCGGTGTGCCTGTCCCAAATTCAAAATTTCGAAAGTTACATTTCCTTTCAGAATTGGATAGCGAAACTGGACGGTGCAGGTCCATAAGATCAGACAGATCCCTCTCCACTCTAGATGACAAGGATACTAGAGAGGAGCGAACTAGGATGTCTCGCACTTTGTCTTCCACCCTTTTGCAACCGGACTTCTCCCTCCTTCCCCATGTATGCGCAGGGTTCCAAGAAGCTTGGAACTTTGTCTCCCACTGTGTCTCCCAGCTTGTGTCCCAGCTTGTCTCCCACTATGTCTCCCACTGTGTTTGCCTTGTCCCCCACTGTGTCTCCAACTTTGTCTTCCACCTTGTCTCCCACTTGTCTCCCACCTTGCCTCCTGCTGTCTGTGCTTCCACTGTGTTTCCATTCTCAAACTTGTCTCGCACTGTGTCTCCCATTCTGTCTCCCATTTTTGTTTTCCACGTTGTCTCCCAGATGTTTTCCACTTGTCTCCCACTTTGTCTCCAAGATGTGGTATCCCAGCTGTCTCCCAGATATTCTCTCCCAATCGCGGAACATTTTTTCGATAAAGAGGACGGTTTCTTGAAATTCTCGACAAGGCCTACGCCGAAATCCATGTGCACCAGTTGTTTCCCAGTTGTTTCCCAGATGTGGTCTTCGAATTGTCTTCCACAATTCCGAGCTGTCTCCAGAATTGGTCTTCCAATAGGCTACTTGTGTTGTCTTTCAGATTTTTTCTCCCACTTCTCACGCAGTTGTCTCGCGTATGTCTTGCAGATGTGGTTTTCCAATTGTCTCCAAATTGTCCCCCAGTTTGTTCCAAATGTGGTGTCCCGATTCTCTCCCAATTGTCTTCCACTTGTCCCTGCGGTTCGCAACGCCCAATTGTCTGCCAGATGCGGCCCTCAATAATTTCCCACATGCCTTCCACTTGTTTCCCAGTTGCCTCCCAGATGTAGTCTCCCAATTGTCTCTCAATTGTGCCCCTTAGCCTTAGCCTTAACTGTGAAACCGTCACTGCTGTTGGGTTGCAAAGTTGGGTAAACACATGTACATACTGATATAACATATATAATCAATTTTACATGCCATATGTATACACTTAACAAAAAATAATAAAACCTACTTATATACATAGTTATACAACGCATGTATAATATAAACACATAACATAATCATGCATAGTCTATATATTTACATTAATATACATACACTACATATCTGTACATTTGTTGTCTAATTCCCCAAAGCAAAGTGCTCACCCGGCCCCAGCATCCCTGGAGTAGCGTCCTCTTCGGCCTCTTCTCCGGGCTCAGGATACCTCACAGGTCAAGTCCGACAACCCCACGAAACCTGGGGAACATATTCAGGATATCATTTTATCAAATTTATCAAGCACCATAGGGAGATTCCAATGATGATAGTTATCACCAAAAAGTTTAAAATAGTGAGAATAAACACCAAATAACGATGATTATGATGGCAATGGCGATGGCGATGACCATGGGATGATGATGATGATGATGATGGTGGTGGTGGTGGTGGTGGCGGCGATGACGACGATTGTATGTGATGATTATGACAGGGGATGGACATTGGCATATTAGAAAACAACAACTTAGTCTTTACTTCGAGTGATCACCACCGTGGCATTTTAGTCCACTGTCCAGATTTCAAGTATGCGTCCAGACAACAAAAAACGCAATTCCATGGAATGACAATCGCATCCACAACCCATTTCTTTCGTGTTAATTGCCTCATCTGGCATTATATCTGAAGAGTATAACCACATTCTATCTGACATTCTATCTGGCATTCTAGCTGATATTTCATCTGGCATTCTGTCCGACAGTTTTTCTTACATTATCTCTAGCATTCTATTTGACATATATTCCGAAATTCCATCTGACATATGTTCTGACGTGTGTTCTGGTGTTCTCTCTGGCATTTTATCTGACGCTTCCTCTGGTATGCGACCTGACATTCTATCTGGCATCTTTTCTGGCATCCTGTCTGCCATATATTCTGACAATTATATCTGAAAACATCTTGCATTCTATCTGGCATTCTACTTTCTGCTCTCTGTTCGGGTCCATGCGTGCCCAGACTGCCGCGGGGCTCGCCATGGCCTTCGGTAATCCAGGTCCATTGAAGCCCACAGTGATGACAAACTCGCAAAAGACGCGCCCAGCGCAAGAAGAAGGACGAAGAGGAGGACGTGAGGAGTGAGGAAGCGCAGGAAGTGGAGGAAGTGGAGGAAGCGGAGGAAGTGCAGGAAGTGGGGAGGAGTGCAGATCACCTTTGTTAAAAAACTAGAGACCCCCACTTGGCAGGTGGGGAAACATAACTTGTTGAGCACCGGACGCATTAGTTTGACTGAGCCCACTTGAAACTTTTTGGAACATACTTTCTCCGGTCTGCAAAATTCATTCTTGGGATTGCTTTCCGCGCTCATCCCTTTCAGGCAGTCCAAGTCTTGATGTGGACAAGCATCTTTCATGAACTTTCAAATACTTGAAATGTGAGCTGAAATTACCACCCTGAAGCGACGGAAATCTGGGACTAAAACGCATTATAGGGCAGATTTCAATTGATGCTTGAACAGTTGCAAATCACCCCAAGTGTAGAATCAGTCAGAAATGGTTCACAAGTGTTCCCAGGATTGGTTCCCTCCGTCCAAGCCGCTCAGGGTCAAAAATGCACGAGCCATTGGCGTAAAGCGCTGGCTTGTGGGCACCCAGCTGACCCTGGATGCAGCCCTGCCCAAGTCAGGTGAATCGGTTGTGGGACTTGTTGACAACTGGTAGAAATGGACAAGAATGGGGTTGTCTCAAAATTTGGAGACGCTTTCCATCTGACATCTGTGAAAAACACCATTTCCCCCTATTTGTTTAATCATGTTTTTTTTTTTTTTTTCGATATTTTGATGTAGCATCCGTGAACTCTATAAAGGTGGCAGCCATGGCCTTGGCCAAAGCCATGATCTTGCACTCCTCCAGGCTCCTCAAAGCCACCCGAGCTGTTCTCGAGCCACACACCTGGGCCCATTTGGAAACTTCAGGGTGCCAGGTGTTCGCCCAAATAAACAAACCTGGCAAGTTTTGGATAGGGATCATCAATGATAATCATCTGGAAATACATTCCATATAGATCTATATAGTTGTAGCATATTATAAACATCTGCAAATGAAGTTTGAAAGGATCACCAGATCATCATCTGCAAATGGGATTTGCTGGTCATTTTCCGTTGCCAGGTTGGATTCTCTGCTGCGTCAGTTGTGCTCCCCGGACCAGTTCGGCCAAGGCACGAAGCAATCGGGATTCGGCGTGTGGAGAGAACCTTTCCACGAGGCCAGCTTTGCAAATCCTATCCGTTCCCTTACCAATTAAAATAGTTCAGGCATATTTCAGGCATAATTTCTAGGGTTTGTTTTTTACGTGTCCATTTTCGGGAAGCCTGCTGACAGTGGACAAAAGTTCCAAGACCTCTGAGCCGCTTGCTCCATCGGTCTGGTCTGGAAGACTCAAACAGCAACATCTCTGAAACAAGAAAGAATGTACAGATTTGACCCGAAGAAAAAACACATGAGAACCGGAGCTGAAGATAGACCATCCAAGTCTGAACCCCTTGAAGAGAAGCGATCCAAAAGTATCCAAAAGGAACATTCAACATCCAATAGTATCCCTCAGGCATGACGCAACTGGATGATTCTGTGGTATCCCACTGGGTTGCAGGATCTTCTTTCGGGAGGGCTCCGGAAAGCGCACCCACACAGTGCGCGCCTAGGCGCCAAGTAGTTCTGCATGGGGGTGTCAAATTGGGACCATGGTGGTGTCAAATTGGGACAAGGGAACATCATGAATATCCTAAATATACTGGAGTACCAAACAAATGGTTTCATCTCCCAAAGAAACTATATGACATGCTGGATTTTGGAAGCCATAGATTTAAATAGATTTTGAGACATGCCCAATTTGGTGCTTGGAAATCATTTGCAGGAGCAGGCGCCCTCGCATGAAACAAGCTGCAGCTGCAGCAACATTGAGGTTTCACACTTTGCTGTCCTTCATGTTTTTGCCCACACTTTGGAGCCTCGATGCAGCCACTGCGCGCGTGAAGGCAATCTGAGAAACTGGGGTGCTGGTGTCCAGGAATGACTTAGGAGATGCCCTGTGCAGGCACCAGCAAGTGCATTTTCTCAAGTAACAGGTACATACTTGGATCTTTGGGCCAATTTGGAGGCTTGATCTTGAGTTTCATCCATTTTCATATCTGGGCTTGCATCAAAAGTGAGTACCGGACACATGGAGAAGCTGAACGACTTCCAGCCCTGACCATCAGCCGCGGTTGATGCATCCATTGTGTGTCTGAAGATCCCAAAGAATCTATCAGTCGATGACAAATTTCAAACATTCTTTGTTTCTACAAATCAGTGGGTTTGGCGCCATTTGGCGCTTCCCCCATTTTTGAACATTCTTGAACATACATATGATTCATATGATGACATATGTGAATGTGCATTCTTTCCCTTCTCCTGTTTCACTCCTGATCCCGCCATGGCCCCGCCTGCCACAATGGCATTGGTACTTGCCTGGCGGAGGTGAACCCCCAAGGGGCAATGGCCTTCACCGAATTGCTTCTTTCCCCGGTATTCAAAATGATCTACAGTACATAATTCATTTATAATCATATATAATTCATTGTATATAATTCTATATAAAACGATTCCCACTTGGAAAGTTGGGAGCCTAGAGAAGGAAACATCTTCTGACTTGTTTGATGTTCTCCATCAGCTCTCAATCACAAAATGGCCAGTTGTTTCCCAGAATCAATATATACAATGGTGGCGACCCACTGAGCCGCAGACAACCGCAGGAATGATGGACCCTGCAATGGACTGCGCATCCTCAGCAGCCAAGGCATTGAGAGCCTAGGAGAAATTTCGTCAAATTCAGGCCCGCACCCAGCGAGAAAGCCTGCCAATGCCTCGGCTTCCCAAGTCTGAAATGTGGATAAATAGTATAAATGATCGAATATATGAATAAATCATAAAATAAATAAGTTCAAAATAATATTGATCTGGATAGATATAGATTGGCCCCTCACTTTTTTTGAAGGGGAATGGGGGTGCGACCTGTGAAAAATCTTGGGTCAACCCAGACATTGTGGTTACAACTAGACAACAATGACTGGAGAGGCCAAGCTGCGATAGTTCTGCATTCTCAGATTGGCGGCGCAATGAACGAAATCCATTGCCACTGGATCGTCCTGGTGTGAGAGCACAGCCGCTTCAACTTTGAGTTTGCCTGACATACACCAAAATGAACCGCTACCAGCTACCATCCACCAAAACAGATCATGCCACCACTTCCAAACACCTCTCTGCTGCGAAAGCTTGACAGCCTCCCACTTCCCCTTCAAACTTGTCCTTGCTGAATGAGCTTTGCCCAATAAGCTCACGCCTCTCGCCATACATCTTGGCCACCTAGGGAGCTGGCCAATGTCGTTGGAACAAGTTTTGTACATAGCTTTCCAAAAGTACTATATATATGGTTAAAAAAACTGTGGATTCTTTGGGTCGAACCGGCAGCCTTTCTTGGGGGTTCATCTGTGATGCTTATTTCTTCTCGCCAAGATATACAGTATATGCAACAGTTGTTAAATCGCAGTCAACCTCAGTTGGGTACTCCTCCATAACCAATATCTGGTACTGAGTGAAAATCTGGTGGTAGCCCATCACAGTATCTCTTATTGTCCGATACTCAAACACGGCACATTCAACGATTTTCCCAGCCACAAACCTCCACATACTCGTGGGCTATGCGTCGTACATGGCCTGGCCGCCGGTTTTTGACAAGGAGCTGCCGCGACAAAGCCTTGGGCATCGCCCGCGACACTGGGCACTTTCTGAGTCTCCAATTTGTCCTGCCCAAATGGGATTTGGAATCTGTTTTTTTTTGTTGGCCGCAATCGCAGTCCCAATTGCTTGTTGCTCAATGTGGTTTGTAGAAATTGTAGATGGCAATTAATCTTAATTACCGAGGATGGACCCATCGAGGATTCAATATGGTTCAGTTTCAGCCAAGCCGACGCACCAGGAAAAACTCTTAGATTGCAGTGACACTATCAACATCCATCAACCATGCGGCGTCTTTGATGCTGTTTGGTGCACACAGTCGTTAATTCCACCCGATAAAATTGATTTCTGGGAATGTTCTGAACCAGGATCTTGCGGATAGCAACAGCTCATATCAGTCCTTGTCAGCATCTGTTGAAGGGCGTTCCGTGTTCCTTAGCAATGATTCACGTTTGAAAACGAACAAATGCATTCAAACAAACTGTCTGTTGCAATTGTTTTCTCGAACTCAATATTCTCAATGGCGCTGCAAACATGCGGATTTAACGCCTTCAATGGTTTTCCGATCTGTTGGAATTGATGACAAACACATATTCTTGAAACCGAACTGCCATGTTTAGTCCATCTCCGGGCATCCTAACTTCAAGGCATCTTCATAACACAAAGGCCCTGGTGGAGGACGTTGATCCGACCAGAGATCTTCCAACTGAGCCTGGTGAGACCACCGTGACGGAATGCTTTGTATTTGCAAAACCGGCGCAACAACATCAAAACCAATCGTGAACAAATTCAAATATTATATCAATTCAAACCACTCAGGAAATCACCATCAGTTCCATGACTTGAAACCAAATATGTACATACGTGAAGTCATTGTGGATTACTTCAACAAAACACATGCATCGGCCTGTCAATGTTGCTCCTACATGTGAAATACAATACCACGTGCATCAACTGGGTTTATTGAGCGGGCCTGTTTTTTGATATCCTCTTCGAACAAGTGAGCAAAAATTCGTCTTCCGGCATCTTCACCATCCACGGACTGGCAAACTCAAGCGATGGTTCTGAGGTGGGGGCAGGCCTGGTAAACATCTACCCGCACAACAAAAACTGGCGCAAAATCATGAAGCAACCAGGAAAACAACTCGGACCATATTTGCCATCATCACCACCAACCCCACGTCGTCATCATCGTAGTCCATCGTCGTCATCGCGATGATGAGCGCCATCACCACGATTGCCATCATCATAGTCATCACCAAGAAGTTTAAAATAGTGAGCATAAACACCAAATAATGATGATTATGATGGCAATCGCAATGGCGATGGCGATGACCATGGGGGGATAATGATGATGATGATGGTGGTGGTGGTGATGATGGTGAGAATGAGGAGGAAGAAGGAGGAGGAGGAGGACGAGGACGAGGACGATGGTGGTGGTGGTGGCGGCGGCGGTGGTTTTTGTGATGACCAGGGCGACCACAGTAAATATTGTTCGTGACATCTAGTGACAATGACACGAGTCTGGCAACAGTAGTAGTGTTCATTACAAAAAAAATCTCCAAGGGAAGTGGGGCTTGAACGCCATTGGCTACCCGGCCATCATGGTCATCATCACCATCATGACCATCAGCACGCTCACGATCACAATTATGATCAAAATCAATTGTGCCGCCCTTACCACCAAAATCATCGCCATCATTTTCGCGCATGTTGTCGCCACAACCATCAACACAGCTGTGGCCTTCATCGCCCCCGAATCATCCGCAGATCCCTGCAGCATTGGGCCCCACCGACCCAGAGCCTCCTGCGCCTGGAATTTGCGCATTTCCGCAGCCAAATCTGCCCTGCAGCGCTGCTCCATGTCGGAAACAAACCCCGCCCCCGTCTCCCCACCTGTTTTCGGGTCTTTGTCGCACGCGCGTGCTTTCTACTCCATAGTTCTGAGCGGTTGTCGGTCATGGCGCGCGCAATTCGCGCCCCAAGGGCGGAGTGGCGCGCCGAAGGGTTGAAGGCGCTGAGCAACTACTGATGGGCATATATGTTGGAATTTGCATGCGCCGGCTGGTGGGAGTCGCCTGCATACATACTTGTTCAATCTGTGACGGCGGCAAAGTTGCACATCATGACATGGACACTTGCGCTGCGCTTGGGTATTTGAAAAGCTACTTTCGCATCCTGTATTGGGTGAATCCTTTTGACAACCTTGGCCCCAACAACATGGGATGCTTTCCTGTCCTGAGATGCTGATGGCACCAATCTGAGTCTTAGGCAAACTTACCTACTTACCCAACACGAAGGAACACAGCAAGTGTTACCTGGACCCACTTCAAGGCAGTAGCCGCACCCTGGCAGCTGCATGGAAGACACACACACACACATATATATATTTATACATACAATTATGTATATATACATAAATAATGATAATGATACACGCATATATATATATATATGTATACATGTATACATGATTGTATATGCATACCTGCATACACATACACAAATACACGTAGAAACATATGCATATAAATGCTTGTCTCAATACTGTGCATGTGTACGGTACATAGCACATGGTATATGTGACATGTTGTGTGCTATGTACTACGTCTTAAACATGAAATGACATGCTATGTGTCACAAGTCTTATGTTATATGAGTATGTTTCATGCTACTGTATATGAGATGGTGTTGTCATTGTTATCATTGTATGTATGCATAGTCTTTGTGTATTGTAGTATATTTGAAAGCCACAGCTACTTGGAAATGGTCCTTGCCATTCAAAGAGGCAGGGATATCGGCCCTTCCAAATTGGCATCTAGGTGCTATTTCCCAAGTAGCCCAATTGGGACCTAGGGAGTCATGAATTTGCAGGCGTCAAGAGCAAGTCAAACCTACTGGACAAAGCCCGTGTCACATGGGCTGTGAAAAAGGGAGACGAACAGTGGATTTGAGGTAGCGCCTTTCTACTACCCTCGACGGAAAGCGAGGAGTGACAGAAAAAAGGATTGTTCCACAGAATCAATCCAGGAGTAATCGTAAACAAAACAAAGCAACATTTCAGATTCCCTGTCATTGATCATAGTATCGACATGTATCAACAACAATACTTGTTGTGAGGCATATGGATATGATAGCCTTGAAAGGATGCAGGCCAAAACCATGACATTTAACATCCTGGGTCCAATCTTTTGCGGCAACGCACAACTGATTTTGGTATTTTTAGCCGTTTGTGATTGCGTGTCCCCACGTTGCAAACCTGTGGCCTGCTCACTTGGAAATTTCATGCGTCTTGTGCTTCTCATCTTGTGACATATCTCCACTTGCCGGATTAGGCGCTGTCAGACAGCAATTGGACAAGAAATTCAAATCACAGAAGGCTCCGAAACGTCAAGCGAATCACAGCATGGCAAAGGCACACATGCACATACAAGCAAGATGTTTTCAATGCACATCGACTCAAAGACCTTCCAAATCAGCAGATGATTCCGGTATCAAGAGTGCGAATATCGCGAGACAAAACGCGCTGTGGACACCTAGTCCCGCGGAATGTTTTCAGATCCTACCAGCCCACCTCCCGAAAGTTGGTTCTGGGGTTCTGGAAATGGAATGTGGTCAGCCATTAGGTCTGCCAAAGTCAAGTGCTGCTGGTATTAACTGCAGAAGGGCATAGCCTCTGTTGCTGGCAAAGCAAAACTGATAATCTGAACAGATTGTACTGATTCCTTTGAATCATTGAACAGCAACGCAGGATTGGTTCCTTCATGTTCCTTCAACTTTCCCTACCCTTGCGGTGCACTTCTCATCTTGTGACATATCTCCAGAGCTTGCCCGATTAGGCGCTGTCAGACAGCAATTGGACAAGACATTCAAATCACAGAAGGCTCCAAAACGTCAAGTGAATCACATAGCAAAGACGCGCAAGTCACAAACTTCCCGATGGGTTCTGTCCACTCGACTCCTACAGGTTCGTAACCGAAATATCGCTAAGACCTGAACCACCTCGTCACCTGTGCCCCCTTCCGCCCCTGTAGGCGTCAAACCCCCACCCCTGACCTCTGACCGCCAAAAAGGAAGGTGCCCTACGCAACTCCATGTGCAATGGTCAAAAATGGAGCATTTACCTCCAAACTCAAAGGGTTCATGAGTCCAGTCATCACAAATCCACCATCAATCACCATCTCACCATCAGCCCACCAGGTGGCCGGGCAGAAGGTTGGACTCATCTTCAGGACCGAAGCACAGATCGAAGAGATTCTTCGCCCATGTCAGGCAGTGCCTCAGCTGATGTTTTAAGCATGTTTTAAACAACTAAAATCAAACGAGTTTTCCCTACTTTTTACATCCTGTTACTTGTTCCATCTTTGGGACCACACACCAAGTCGTCAACAAGCCAATGGGCCGAGGGCAGTTGCAAACTCAGCCACCGGCACAGGCTTCTCTGGAGTGGATCGAATGGTACAATAGGGATACACCTGGCATCTGATGCTCCAATTTGGCTTAGCCATTGCCACATTCACCCATGCATTGATCCATATATCAGTCAACCTCAATGTGTGTATATAAAATATATATGTACATACATACATACATACCATACCATGCCATGCCATGCCATACCATACATTACATTACATTACATTACATTACATTACATTACATTACCATACATACCATACCATACCATACCATACCATACATACATACCTTACCTTACCTTACCTTACATTACATTACATTACCATTGCATACATCCATACATACATCCATACATACATACATACATACATACACACACATATATATTATGTATGTATGTATATATATATACCAGTAGTACCGCACAAGGCGGTGGCGGAAGTTTCAAAAATAGGAAACCTATAGGTGAGGTTGGTTGTTGTGAATCAGGGATGGCAGAGCGAAGCCACTGATGGATTGAAAGGTGCTTGATCTCTCTCACTCTTTCTCTCTCTTTCTCTGACTATCTACCTACCTACCTATCTATTTTCTATGTATCTACCTATCTACCTATCTATCGATCGATCTATCTATCTATCTATCTATCTCTTTCATCTAATTACCTATCTATCTATCTATCTATCTATTTATCTATCTCTCTCTCTCTCTTTCTTTCATCTGTCTATCTGTCTAGCTGTCTGTCTATCTATCCATCTATCTATCTGTCTATCTGTCTATCTATCCATCTATCTGTCTGTCTATCTATCCATCTATCTATCTGTCTATCTGTCTACCTGTCTATCTATCTATCTATCTGTCTATCTATCTATCTGTCTGTCTGTCTGTCTGTCTAGCCATTTGTCTATCTATCTCATCTACCCAGCTGGCCTCTCTCTCTCTCTCTCTCTCTCTCTTTCTTTCATCTAATTACCTATCTATCTATCTATCTATCCATCTACCTGTCTATCTATCTCTCCCTTTCATCTGTCTATCTGTCTAGCTGTCTACCTGTCTATCTGTGTTGCAGTGTCATTCAGTGTAATGTAGTGTGGTGTAGTGTAATTGAATGTAGTGGAGTGTACTGGAGTGTATGTAATGTAGTGTAATGTAGTGTACTGGAGTGTAGTGTAGTGTAATGTTCTGTAGTGTAGTGTCTTGAAGCGAAGCGACATCTGAACCTCCAAAAGTGGTCCGAACCCCTAGTGTTTTGTACATTTTGACGCCACAACGGCGTGCACTTTTTCGACATCTCAACCTCCAAAAGTGGTCCGAACCCCTGGTGTTTTTAACATTTTGACTTCGAAATGCGCCACAACGGTGTGCACTTTTGTGACATCTGAACCTCCAAAAGTGGCGCGAACGTGTAGTGTTTTACATTTTGACTTCCAAATGTGCTTCGTGCCACAACGGCGTGCACTTTTTCGACATCTGAACCTCCAAAAGTGGCGCGAACATGTAGTGTTTTGTACATTTTCACTTCCAAATGTGCTTCGCGCCACAACGACGTGCACTTTTTTGACATCTCAACTTCCAAAAGTGGTCCGGACCTGGTGTGTTTTGTACATTTTGACTTCAAAATGTGCTTCGCGCCACAACGGCGTGCACTTTTTCGACATCTCAACTTCCAAAAGTGGGTCCGGACCTGGTGTGTTTTGTACATTTTGACTTCAAAATGTGTTTCGCGCCACAACGGCGTGCATTTTTTCGACATCGCAACTTCCAAAAGTGGTCCGAACCCCTGGTGTTTTTAACATTTTGACTTCGAAATGTGCTTCGCGCCACAACGGCGTGCAACTTTTCATCTCTCATCTCCCCAGATGTCTCCGCACCCGCCGCTTTAGCGAGCCTACTCTTCAACCCTCCGGAGCCACAAAACCACGAAAAAACAGTGTTTCGCGACTTTCCTACCTTTTCGCGCACCTGCATCTTCTTTCTTCTGATCTTTTCTCTTCTGACTCTTCTCCCTGCTGACAGCTTTTTCATCTCTCCATATTGTCGGAAGTTTGACTTCCAAACTTCCTTCGATTATACACATATTTGCATTAATCCGTATTAACCATCATTAGCCCATATATTAACCCATAAATTCACCATCAACCACCCCAGGCCATCTGATCCGCAGGCCTTTTGGCTGGGTTTGGCCTGGCATTCGAAGCATTCCGTCTCGCCTTTGCGAATCACTGTGACCTGGGGCCGCCGTGGCATCCATTTTGGATGGTCAATGGTCAATGCCGGATTCTTGGCAATAAAGAAAACAAGCTTTCACTTTGCGTGGAAATTTCATGTTTTATCATGTTCTTTCCATTTCTATCCTATATTATCCGATATTATCCTAAAATATATCCTATAACATCCTATAAAACCACTTATTATCCGTATAATATATCCATTTATCATTCTATTGTATCGACTATATGACAACTTTTTGAAGTATCCCACGGCATCCCTTTCCGTCAGTTCGAGCCGGTTGGAGCCGGGCCTGGCCCAAGTGCCCAGTGCTTCCTGCTTCCAGCAGTGGCTTCTCTGCTGCGAGACAAAGACGATTCACCTGGGAGAACTGGGTGGAAGAATGATGATAATAACTGGTGATTGAAGGTTAGTGACTTACAGTTGAACCACGATAATTGGGAATTGAACGAGACTGAGAACTAGCAATTACGAACATCAGAATCACTAGGGATTGCTGACCAAATCAAAAAAAAGTGACCCAGGATATCCCAATCATTCCCCCATTTTGGGGGACTGTGAAAAGCCACTGTCTGCGGACAAATGGCATGTCGTCGAGCTTCCAAGTTGTCTAGCGCATTCACCTGCCGGTGTCATGATGGTTTTTCACGCTCCCCTGCGAAGCGTTGATCCCACATGGATCCAAACGGAAATGGTCTTCGGCTGAATGAATGATAGTACATGATAGTACATGATAGTGTATAAATTATATATATATACACATTCCACATTCATGTACAATGCAAGTCTTCGAAGATCCTCCGAAATGGCTAAGCCGTAGGACCTTTTCCCACGATCTGTGATAGCAGTGATAGCAATGCTACTGATCTGCAGGCTGAGGCTGGAACCACCACATCGAACTTGCCAATGAACTCCAAGCCAAACTGCGGGTCCTCAGCCAATGCTCTTCGTAAATGCTAAGAAAAAGTGCTGAAGATTCAGCGAAGACCTCTGAAATCCAAAAATTGACATTTGAAACAACATCATGCACTGTGATCCAAATCACGTACACTTCTGCCAACTTCAAAGACTACCAGCTTACCATGATTCGAGGATGATTTGAACATATCTTTGTGCATACCCCAAGTCCTTCCAACAACCCAAGTGAAAGAATTCCTTTCATAAACTATCTTCAAGTGGCAAGAGGTGTGCTATAGGGGTCTGGTCTATTGCAGAATATTGAGAAAGTATCAAAATCATTGGCCCAGAAACCAACCAAACCAGGCTTCTTTTGGTGACCTGCTTTGAGACAGACTTGTATACATATATGGTCATGTTATGTATATCATACATGTATAATATCCAATCATACACATCTATTGTTGATATATTGGCAATAACATCATATAGTTAATAACATCTGTATGTATATGGCGTCTTGTCCAAGCACACTGCGTCACTGACAGTCAGCTGCACCCTACCTTGACATTGCCATGGTGGGAGATGATGTTGGCGTTCGGGCCTGGTCTGCTGGCTGCAACTCTCGTCCCAGTCTGATGTCAAGACCCAGTGTGTTGTCATATGGGTTAGAACATTGCTTCTATACCCTACCCGTTGTTTGTTGGTGAAATCCACTTGAATCCATTTGAATCCCCATTTTTTTTAATTTTTGCGGGTTCAAGTTCTCTCTTCACACCAAAATAGATGGCTACATATGAGCTCATATGGCTACTGTAGATATCTGGTACAGCTGGACCTTCATACCCCCATTCCGATAGCGCTATGTCCAGCTACCCAGCGCGGGCGATAGCTTGGACTCCCTGCGAAACTGCTTCACAGCTTCGGCCGCCACCACCTGTCGGGTCGAGTGGCGATGTGTCAACAAATCATTTCAAATTGATGTTCATCGATGTTCCACCTGAGAGTAGATAGTCACACCTGAACAAACTCTGGAATCATGGGTGTCTTCATCCCCAGGACCAGAAACCTGAAACCTGAGGCTCTTGCTGACTTAGGTCTGTCCACATGGACCCGCCGGAAGAGGAATTGGCGATTCAAGTTCGAGACCTGGACACCGCTGAAACTCCCATGAGTCAAATGGCCGGGTGCTACACCCAGGCCCCACCCATGGCTTAAAACAAGGTGAAAAACAAAGCAACGCAGCTATGTCCAGCTGCCTAATCTTGGTGCCACAATAGCCCAGTACTGAGAACCGTACATCGATAGTGTCCAAATCAACCACCTGACGGTTCAAGTGACACCACCTAGTGATTTCCATTTTCATCCTCACATGCGTTGATTTTGCCCAAAAAGATCGGCCATGCCTTTGGCCTTGGCCTGCGTTGGCCAACACATCTTGATCATATCATCATATCACTTAAGGTTCAAACTCACATACTTGGTTTCATTGCAGCTGTCACAGGTTCCTGTGCAATTGGGCACCTCGATTTCTCGAAAACCACTCAAGACCTCGGGCAGAATCACTTGGGATGGGGCGGCATTCTTGAGAATATCGCTAGAAGAAAACTGTTTGCAGCATCACCGGCAGCCCTTTGTGCTGGTGCGACTGGAAACCTCTTGAAACATGGTTTACGCAGTGAAACTTCTACCTTGCTGTTTCTTTTTGCCTTACCAACAAATTTTTGAAGCAACAATGATCATGGAGTCATATGGAGTCTTCCCACCAGTGGTTCATCGGAGTTGCCCCACCAATGATTGAGGCCCTTCCAAGAACCCATGATTGCCCAATACCACTAGACTGATCACCAACCCAACAACCCCAAGCGCCCATCATGAATTGCCCTGCTGAGGGACCAAATTTTTGAGCAACTCGCAGCCAATGCCACCGGCACCCACGACCAGCAACTTGGCGCTTTGGATCATGGCAAACCGCTCCTGGAAGGCTGCAGGATGTAGCCCTTTGCGTGTGGCTGGGGTATCCATTGAATTGGCACTGCAAGTCTCATCCTCAGAGTCTTACCTAACTTGAGGCCCAGGGGTAGGGGACGAAAACTAAACACAAAGGGCACAGCGCAGCTGCGCAGCCTTTTCGTCGACGTGGACGAGCGGGTCTGAAGCTGGGGCATGTTGGTAAGGTAAACATCCAAACCTACGTATTGAGGAGATGTATGTTGGAGGGGACGAGGATGAGAACATATGATTGTTATGTGCTGCTGCACGAACAGGATGAGGAAATTCAGCATAGCCAACATGATGACCAGTAATTGGGGAAGATTCAAAGGTCCACCTTCGGCATCGGAGTGGGCCTTTGGAAGCGCGGGAAGAAGTAACGCAATGCAAAACCGAAGTTGAGGACGAGAGGTAAGTGTGCGCGCGCACCATGAAAATGAAGCTAGGCCAAGATGAAGGCTACTCATGAATGAACATGCCAATCATGAGCGCCGCTGCATCAATGAATTGAAGAGAAATGAGGCAAGAAGTTTGTCGCGATTGGGGATTCCAGCCCCCACAATACCTTGCTAAAGCAAGAGGGGCTTCAGCTAGCAGAAGCTAGCTTTCGTGATTAGCACAGTGCCTCTAGAAAGAATTTTCGGCATCACCAATATCTACATGTCTGTAACCGTATGGTAAATGGGCAGCAATGATCCAATCTTATGCCAAATGGCTAATCATCACCTCCAATCACCCATAGTAATTGATGATCCAATAAGCCAAGGTTCCAAACCAATGGTAATAATAAACCGCACATAAGGGTTGTAATAGAAATTTGATGGTAATATGATCCATTATCGGATGGTACTACCAGGTAATGCCCAGCACGCGCTGGGGCGGAAGTTTCGAAAAAATGAAATGGCTATAAGAAACCAATCGTCTAAAATAGGAAAACGCAAAAACGATGCAGAAGCAATGAATTGTTGAAATTGTGGTGCATCAGCAAAGGAACGAATGGTGTTTGAGATGCCACTGAATGTCATGAAAGACTGTGCGTGCAACTGACCGAATGAACGAATGAACCAGTGAATCGATGATTCAATGAATCAACGAATCAATGAATGAGTGAACGAAAGAGCCGATGAATCAGTTCAACGAACCAGTGAACCGATGAATCATTGAATCAATGGAATCAATGAACCAATGAACAAGTGATTCTGTGAATCAATAAGTCAATGAATCAATGAACCTCGAGCTCCCACTACTGTCTCGAGCAAATTTTACTGCCCTCATCTTAAAGTGTTCCATAGTGTTCTGCACACCTCAATATTTTTTAACAATTGGAAGTGCAAATCGATCTCTCGCTACAGTCCTGGACAGTCCTGTGCACTTTTTGTCGACAGCTTTCGCAGATCGAGGCCCGCACCCGCGGAAACAGAGACCCTATACTTCGGCGACCTCAGGGGCCACATTACCTGAAAAAACACAGGGTTTCGCGCCGGATAGTGTTTTCACCCGTGAATTCACGCCTTCCCGAACTTTGACTCTCTTCTTCTGCTTCCACACACGAAGTGCTCTTGCTCACTATGTTGTTGACATGATGATGACTGATGAGTCACTGATGATGATGATGATGATGATGATGATGATGATGATGATGATGATGATGATGATGATGATGATGACATGATGACGACATGATGACACCATGATGACACCATGATGACACCATGATGACACCATGATGACACCATGATGACATGATGATGACATGATGATGACATGATGATGACATGATGATGACATGATGATGACATGATGATGACATGATGATGACATGATGATGTCATGATGTCAAGGCTACCCCTGGACATTCGTCTGTAACTCGGAAGTGTTCGAACTAAACTTCCTTTGAATAAGCCAATCATCCAATGTAGTAAACCGGTCCTCGCCCACGACCGCCTTCACAGCCGCATCCCCTGCAGCCGTCACATCTGCGCAAGTCATGGCCTTGGTCGTCGGGGAAAAGCATGTTCATAGGGAAATCACCATGACATATGAATGTTAGTTTTAAGTAATGTTAATATGTATCAACTTGTATCAACGTGTATCAACGCGTATCAACATGTATCAACGTGTATCAACGTGTATCAACGTGTATCAACTATAGATTAAATCAGCACGGGAAAACTGTATAACTTTATATATTTATATAACCATTCCTTGCTCATTCGGTCTTTTGACCCCCTAGAGGCAATTTGGGGGATGGTTTCTCACATAAGTCACATAAGCCTGCATCTATGCTGAGGTGGCTTGAGGTTGACGTCCTCAATTTTTGCGTCGCGAAGCGGTTCACTCAATCATTGAACGAATCTCGCTCAGTTGAACACTTGGTGACATTTGACATGGTCAAATTACCACAATCCAAAATGAGAACGACAAGACTTCAACCATTTCCTTGGACTGTCATAATCTAGCAGTTCTACCCAACACATCCCAGCACAAATCACACTGCCCCTTTTCGGTGCGTCTGTCGCACCCCTGAGCATCCTAGCTTGGAGCACCAGCGTCTTGACACCAACAGCCACCAGTTTTCCCAGTGAATCTTGTCTGAAGTTTCCAATTTCTCCGGCTTTCCTAGTGCAAAATCCACTACCTCCGACGGGTTCCTGTCTGAATCTGTTGTTTTCTACATGTCTTTCCATCTGGCTGAAAATGCTGAAACTTAGAAGTGAAGTTGGTCAACAGAATTATGCAGGTTTGAATGACATTCGAAGATTTCGAAGTATTGTTGCTATGCAAATGTTCTTTTCATGTTCCTGAAGCAGCTGCGGCATGCACCAGCCTCAATCCTTGTCCAGACATATCCAGATAGGAGCTTCATCTCTAGATGGCCATGGTGCCCAGGGTTGACACTTTTTCTGCGGTGGTATCCCTGCCTGGTCATTGGCTCAATCATCGACTAAAATTTAAGCATTTCTGCTACACTTTGAACCAGGATGTGCTGGCCATGGTATGGTCAGCAATGTCAAACCTTCATAGGGTTTGGAAGCATTGGCAGCACCAGGAAACAACAAGTACAGTACTTGCCATGAGGAGCTGAGAGCGAAATAAACAGACACACAATGCAGAGATATGAGGAACCCGAACAATGGCTACTGTGTGGCCTAGCCGAAACATCTGAACGATTTATGGCTACCATTCTGAAACCAATTTTGTGTTTCTCCATGTTTCTCCATTCCATGGCTCACATCTATGGCTCTGCACATTTCAATGTCCCTTCCCAAATCAGCGAGGAAAGGTCCATGGGTCCATGGCATAGGGCTCCACAGCTGAATGTTCGATGTATCATGGTGCTAGCCGACATGGGCAGCAAGTTGCATGCAATCACTCGTGAGCTTAAGAATAGTCCTTAAGAATGGTGAGAAATCCAAAGTTTCCTGGGTTTTAAGAATTCGGAAACTAAACATTCAGGCATACTGCATACTTGAACTCTGCAAGGATGGTCAACATTCCAGTCGGTTCCTATCAGCTTCTGAGATATCTGTAAATATCTTGCTTCATCTTGCTTCAACACCTTCTTCACACATTGACGCCCAGGGTTTTTGTTGGCTCATGGATGTCATGGTTTGGTCTTCACGTTGGGAGCCTTCGCCACACGGCGTTCCTGGGGGGTGTGACCTTTGCGCCGCCCCAGGATCTCAGAAGTGATCAACGCCAAACTTCCAAACGCCCATCATGCAGTCGTAATCGATGAACCTGGGGCGTCGCAGGCCTTAGGATCACCTGCAGATTTTCCAAATGTTTGGAACACGTTCCATTGACATGAAACATTATCTGCTAAACCAAAGAATAAACCATCCAAAATAGAGGTTTATTGGGTACAAGTATACCGTACAGTATATACCCCTATTTGGCATGATGCACAATGACCCCCAGATGGTTGGCTAATGGGATGGTTCATTGTTGGATTTACCACCTTTGCCAGAACTCCCTTGTGATATCCAGGGCCCATCAGCTCGCCTTGCTTTCTTCTCCTCCGTCATCACTTTGATACGTCGTTTGTACTCCTCCTGTTGCTCCAAGTCCTTGCGCAAGACAGGTGAGCAGCCATCTTTGAATCTTCTTTGAATCTTCGTCTTCTTAAATGGGCTACAGACTCCGTATTGACATTCAAATGATATCATATGGTGTCGCCTCAGTGCGACTCTTTACCTATCTTCACCTAATCACTTTAGCAAGTCATTGGAATTCCAAGGCTACCTGGTGCATGTCCTGGGCCAACATGCTGCCGTTGGGAGGCCAGCATTGGTACATGGTGACCTCAAATGTCCCACATCTGCAGATGTGACTAGATCTTTGGTGTGTACTGTATCGGAATCGACCTGTTGCTTCAATCAACCAGTGCTGGGATGTGAGCAGAAACTACGGGCTCCGCCGGGCTCCGCGTTTAGAAAAGGATGAAAAAAACACATTCGACCCATTCTGACCATTCCGAATCCGTTCACTGCCATGTCTCGCAGCAAAGACATTCCCTATCGTTTGCTGAGGTCTTGACCGTAGCTGCCTGCTGAACCAGACCATTGGAAAGAGCTGAAGATCACAGGATGTCTTTTGGGGTGGCCAAAATTTGAGTGAAAACCACAGAGTCTGACCATTTTTATCCGATTTTGCTATTCACTAATCCAATTCACTACTCCATTTTATTTTTATTTTTTCCTTTGTACAATTATCGATCATGAACAATCATAAACAATCATGACATATACCAGTATCATTAAATACATAATATGTATATTCATGCATTTCACATGATATCTATTTAATATATCTTTTACTGATATCATTAACTATATGTCGTCTGCCCATCTGATCATCAATCTGCCCTGGCCTTGTTCAGGCCGACGCCAACTTCTGGCTTGGTCTTCGGGTGTGGATACACCAGAACCTGCCAGCGAAAACCGGCTTGGATAAGCAACAAGAATTTGGGGGAATAAGAGGATGATGCAATGGGAAAAGGGAATATATATATATAATGTATATATATATATACTATAATGTGTATATATATATATACAATATAATATAATATATATATATATATCATATAATATATAATATAGAATATAAAATAATATATATATATATTATATATATTATAAAGAATATAAAATATATAATATATATATATAAAATAATAAATAATATAAAATAATATATATTATATATATATATATATTATAAAGAATATAAAATATAATATACATATATATATATAATATAATAAATAATATATAAAATAAAATATATAGAATATATATAATATATAATATATAATATATAAAATAATATATATAATATATATAATATATAATATAAAATATATAATATATAATATATAATATATAATATATAATATATATATAATATATAATATATAATATAAAATATATAATATATAGTAATATAGTAATATAGTAATATGTAATAATATATATATATATACGTATATGTAACTATAATATGTAAAATAATGTACGTATATATACGCGCAACGCCTGGGCTTTGGCCAGGCGTTGCAGCGTAGAGGTTTCCCATTCCCAAACAAATGTTGATGCAACTTCACAAAATTACTATGGGGAAAACAACAAAGGTACTAGGGAATATTAAACTCCCACCCCCGTTAAACCTTAAATTTCTTGGGAAAAACAACAAAGGTACTAGGGAACATTAAAATCCCACCCCCGTTAAACTTTACATTCAATTGGGAAGATCAACAAAGGTACTAGGGAATATTGAACTCCCACCACTGTTAAACTTTACATTCAATTGGGAAGATCAACAAAGGTACTAGGGAATATTAAACTCCCGCCCCCGTTAAACTTTGCCTTCATTGAAGGTCTTCAAAAAGGGTTTAATTCTCCCACCCCGTGAAACTTCTACATTCATTGAAGATCTTCAATAAGGGTTTGTTTAATTCTCCCACCCCGTTAAACTTCTACATTCATTGAAGATCTTCAATAAGGGTTTAATTCTCCCACCACCGTTAAACTTCTACATTCATTGAAGATCTTCAATAAGGGATTAATTCTCCCACCCCCGTTACACTTCTACATTCATTGAAGATCTTCAATAAGGGTTTTATTCTCCCACCCCCGTTACACTTCTACATTCATTGAAGATCTTCAATCAGGGTTTTATTCTCCCACCCCCGCTAAACTTCTACATTCATTGAAGATCTTCAATAAGGGTTTAATTCTCCCAGCCCCGTTACGCTTCTACATTCATTGAAGATCTTCAATAAGGGTTTAATTCTGATGATGATGATGATGATGATGCGTCGCCTGTCGTCATTGCGGGTCCGGGCAAAGCCCAGGCATTTGCCGTATATATATATATAATATAATAGACAATATAATATATAATATACAATATATAAGATATTATTTAATATACAATACATAATATATAATTTAATATATAATATAATATATTATATACAATGTAATATATATAATATAATAAAATATAATATAATATAATATAATATATAATATATAATATAATATAATATAATAAAATAAAATAATATATATATATTATATTATATTATAATATATTATAATATAATACAATATAATATAATATGATATAATAAAATATAATAAAACATAATATATGTAATATAATACAATACAATATAATATAATACAATACAATATAATATAATATAATATATAATAATATATAATATATAATATATAATAAATAATATAAAATATAAAATATAATATAAGATAATATAATATAATATAATATAATAAAATAATAAATATGTATGTATATGGGGCTTCACAGAGGATAGATAGTATCAACAATCTGATATTATCGATCCTTAGCATCTGTGTTTTGAAGATGCCCTGTCAAGTGGCTCCTTTAGGAGGTGGATCGGGTACTCAATATACAATTTCCTCTGGTCGGACAATCTGCCAGGCCTCTCCTACCTCCAGGCGCACAATGTTCTGAGCACAGTGGTGCAGCTGTTCCCGGAAGTGGTGCAGCTGTTCCCGGATTGCATTTGGTGAAACGCTCGCGTTTGAGAACTGCCAATCCCTGACTCTGCCCCTGAGTTGTCATGCTGATCCACATCCAATCAGCTTTATTGCACTCCGGACCAAGCAAATATGTGGTGTGTCACCGTGACCCGAAAATCATCATCCATCCAAGTCATGGCAACTGGTGGATTGCAAACACATCTTAGGCAACGGTTTCACCGTTGATGCTCCACGCGTGAAAAATGACATGGCCGTCCTGGAAGTCGAGGTTACTGCAGTCGGTCTCACCTTCGAAGGTGATGGTTCCCACCTCGAAATTCCATGGGGTGATGGAATGGTTCCCACTGACGGCGTGACCTGCTACATCCTGCAACCACATTTAAGCATCCTGCAAGGGTGTGGGTTCGTCCAAAAATGGGGATGCACCAACAGTTGCAAAGTCATAGTCAGTTGGTTCATGAAATGTCATGAAACGGTGGGCTTGGAGGGCCAAATTCACCGTTTCATGACGATGATCCCCGTGATCATGGCTCTATACACCCATTTTGTTGATCCATTCCGTTGATGGTATACTAAATCTACCATTGGATTATTGTGAACCATGTTGTGAACCATGGACTATGTTTTTTTGACCCCAATTTTCACGTCACCCTAGGATTAAGAAATCCTGGTTGATTGGGAGGTACTCGGGTGCCAAATAGTGACAATTTGCCATTACCTATGTTACAATATAGTTGAAATGGTAACATATGGTACACAATGAAGCGAGTAACCCCCAATCTGTGCGATAGTTGTATATAATATAATGTTGGCTGCCTAATAGTAATTACCCCCCTATTTTTTATTGACAAGATATCACTATTGGTCAGACAACATTAATATATATTTATAATTGTCCCATCTCTTCCAAGGCTAACCGTTGCTACCCTGGGAGCTCCCACGCCCTCGCGGGAGATGGTGAGATCTCGCACATGCCTGGCATCTTCCCAGGGCACGGCACTTTGACATTTTCACATCACATGTGGATATTTTATGATACCTTTGGATATGTCTAGATCATTCTAGATCCATTCAGTAGATTCATGATATTCATGTAGACTCTACATCTGACACTGGACATGAGAATCCATCTACAGACTCCGACTTTGCATTGCAGAGATGCCCTTTCTGTCCGCAACTTTAGCAACTTTTAGGCCGCGTTCGATCCCACAAATTGGGATCATCAACTGATTGCACGCAATCCCCCGGAACCACATTGGAGACAAATGAACCATGAACCATGGAATCCAATGGCTGCCATGTGTATCTGAAAAAATGCCATTCTCCAGTTGCATTCCAAATTCACAGAAATTCCTGAGAAATGACTTGGAATCGTCATACTTGAACATCTTGAACCCCTCCTCATGAATCAGGGAATAACATATGGAAGAATGCTCCGTGAATGGGGGGACAGCATCCCCATGCTGCCAGACATGCCAGTGGATGATTACTGGAAAATACCTGGCACCCCTGGCCAGGGAAGCGACCGCCCAAGGAAAAGCTGGTTCCCAGTGATGAATGGATTGGTTTTGTATGTTTTTTTTTCCAGAAAATCAGGAAATCATGTTTTTTTCCCCATCAAACCCGGGGGTTTCCAGCGGATTTTTCCTTCAAACAAATCTGGAATTCACATGATTCCGAGACCAGAATTTCGAATCAGCATAGAAATGATAGAGCTGGGAATGCATATCAAACCAGGTTCCTTTGTGATCATTTCCTCTGGAACCAACTCTGCCTTTCCTCTACTACGATACAGTCCGAACAATCAAAATGTTCTGTCGCGTCTTATCGATTTCGTACGGTTTCATCTTGCTCAAAGGCACTCCATGTAATATGTATCTCTTTGTTGCAATGCAAATGATCCACATCCTTTCTGTAGTTGTGGGTGTATCAACACTTGGCGGTGTTTCAAAACCACCCTGGTGCCGGATTTCGCGTATGGTATCCTTCTGTTCGCTCGCCCATCTTGATTGTGAAAAGCCTGGATTTGCTCAATGCCTTCGAACCCGTGAAGTATGAATGAGGTGGATCTGGCACATCACACTGCGACGGACAAAACATGACAAAACGCTTTTAAATTGAGCAAATCCAAGTCAAAGCATGTCGAAGCACGTCAAAGCATTGGCATGCGGCAGGGACCAGCAGCCTCAACCGTGCACCAGCTGGGGCTGAAATTGAGAGCTCAGCAAAGCGCCCGGGAATTAGCTCGCCTTTTGACCTAGGGATCAAAATCCTTGATTGGTCCGTACAAAGGTACGAGTACGACCTGGCAACTTAGTCATGTAGTCATGTACAGTATCGGACTCTGCCACCAACATTTCGCCCCACTCATCCGCATTCCGAAAAGGCATCACATGGAATCAAACATCAATCTTACTTTCATAATCTATCTATGAATCTGAAAATAACATACAGGTTTCAATATTAAACGATCCACAGGCGCTTAAAGCTTCCAGGTGCTCACAACAAACCTCTCACTGGGGCTCTGCCGAGTCGTATCTCTTGCTGTAGACCTGACTAGGGGATACAACGGAACCAACAGTCTCGTATAACCAGTAGTAGGGAGGAATTGGGGATGATATTAGCGGGGATATCATATGATAGATAGTAGGGTGTGTCTGAAAATGGTGTATACTACGTATACTCAGCACTTATGATCAGCTATGGCAATCTTAATCAATATGGAACTGATGATAACATGTGATAACATGATAAATCATCAAATCTGAGGGTACCTTGTTTTTGGGCAAACCCATGTGATCAGACTTGGGGACAGAGCCAACAACAATGGGAATATATACCTAGCGCTATGGGGATGATATATGTCAAACAATGGAGATACAACCGATATAGTCTGGAGCAACGGGGATGATAAATGACAATCTGTACACAAGCAGCTCAATACGGATTCAAGTTCATACACCCTTCTCCACTCACAACAACAACAAAAAAAAGGCTCACAACAACTTTCAGCCACACATTTTGATAAATCCAGAGCTGCAGTACGCTCCACCCTTTGCTTTGAGACTGTGGAGGCGGTGGACGTCACGGAAAAACCACACTCAGGTTGAACTGATGACCAAACGTCAAACTTTGCAGACTGCTTGGGAAAATCACGCCCACCAGGCTCTGGTTGAACTTATCACCAAACGTCAAGCTCAGACTGCTTGGTAAAGTCAGTTTCTGGTTGAAGCGACCCAGGGAATCCAAATGACAACAGGGAACTCTGAAGAGCGCAACTTTCAAGCCACGTGGCGTGGACGATCCTGGGCACTCTGGGAATCAATCCTGGAATCATCTCCAAATTCTGAGCTTCGGGCCGACATCAAGCCGTTGTTGCTGGCTGCTTCCGAGTCCTATGTGGCTGCCAAGATAGCTTTGAGGTACGGAGCTAAGACACATAAGATACTTCGTTTCAACCTCACTTTGCAACCAAGGCAAGATTTCGCAGATTTTGTCCATGGTCCTGCGATGGGCTATTGCAGAAATGCTTCAAGTAGAGCTCGAAAAACCTGCAGCAGGCCCACGTTATCGGCAGTTCTGTCTGAACATGCAGCCAACCACATCTCAGGTTTGGTTGGGTTACGTTCCAAAATCATGTGCATTCCTTCAAATCCTCGGCTTCTTCAAATCCTTGGTTTCGTGGTCTCTTTTGAGAGCATGACACCCTCCGGATCCTCCGGGATGTTCATCCGGATGTTTTCAGAGTCCTCATTGAAACAACCGAATGGGCCGCCTCTGAAACTCTTCCAGCGTGAAGGTGGAGTTGGCATCCTGCGACAAATTGGTGGACAAAAACCCAGCCCCAACCCCTTCAACAAACCTGCCATGGAAAATCCACTGTGCAAAATCATCTATTCTACAAACCTTCATCCACTGTGTAGAACCTGAACATGACTCATTTTCCACATGGATGGTGACACGTGATGTTGAAATACCCAGGTGGCACCCCATTTTTTGCCCAAAAAACGCCACCAGTTTTTCAGTCCTTTGACATCTCCGAAAGGGTCATGAATTGCAACTTTTCATTGTGCCTGGCATTTTGGGCTATGGCGGCTATGGTTCAGAATTGGGGGACCCCAAAGTGGTGTTTAATATTGTTTAATATTGTTTGATATAATTTAATGGGTTTTAATGGGCATTCCATGGTTTGTACAGTAATGGACAATCCAAAACTACACCCATACGCCCAAGTCCTTGCAATGTTTGCGTTTGACAGCTATTCCCAATCAAAACGCTCGCCACGACCCCTGTCCCGGCACAGACCTTGCAAAACCCCTTTCCCCATTGGAAACGCTAGCTTTAACAAGCCTTGACCAAACTATCATGGTTCTATTATGTTCTATTCGTTTTTGATCGAATCCCATCGGAACGCCGGTTTCCAACGGGCCTTTTTTCGTGGTCACTGTTGACGCCCACAAACAAAAACGCGAAGCAGGCCCTTTTCCTAGTTTGTATACTGCAGGATGGGTTCTGATAAAGGAAAAAAACGAGGTCCAAAACGAGGTCAAAACGAGGTACGGAAAAAGCCCCGCATCTACACACATGGACTTTGGCCCGCAAGCCGCAAACCTGCCATGGATGATAAATAGGCTACCCCCATGACTTAGGAAAGCTCCATGACTCCATGACTAAGGCTGATTGAAAATCCCAGCCCGTTCGCGCGCCCGATCTTCAGTTGCTCACAGACCCCTGTGCTGACCAATTTCAGCTCTTGCCTCGGGATCGAAAGGTCGGATCCACATCTGAGGGTTCCATGGGGAAATCCATGGAAATCCCCAATAGCTGGATGGTTTATGGATGGTTTATGGATGGAAAATCCCAAACACAAATGGATGATAAATGTGGTATCCCATTAGGAAAGCTCCACATGAATCCATGTGAAGTTGCTGAAAGTCCGACCCCGAGGTGGGAATGGACTGAGGAATCGGCCCATCGATCAGACCGTTTTGCTGGTACTGGCGGAAGGACTTCTTGCAGACCTGACGATGTGATGATTGTGTCGTGGTGTGAATACAAATCTACCAGCATTCAATTAGCAGCACGGGTTCATAGATAATTGTAAGAAGCTTTCTACAGATTCTCCATTGATGATCTGATATGATCTAACAACACTAGACTAGTAATGGGAGTATATTGGGAGTATGTATATAGATCTTCGTACAATAACCTCCATAGATGCAGTACGACCATGTACCAACCGAAAGCTGCTTCGTTTTGCCATAGACACATGGCGTACCCAACATTACCCAACTGGTTGCGAACGGTCAAGTGGATTCAGGAGCACAAAAAATGTGGTCGGCACTGAGACTCTCTGTTTAAACACTAAACATATGGGCGCTGCAGGGAAAACCAAGAGTACAGCGGACAATTTCCCAGGATCTATTCCATGCATTCAACATGAACTCAACATGCATTCGACATGCAATGTTTCAAACTCTTCATTCTGCCAAAGTTAAACAGCCCCTGTTGCACCGCCTGTCCAAGCACAATAGGATTGGCCAAGACTGACATTGCCCACTTTTGCTGTGCCAGTGCAGGCTGAGAGTTGATGGGCTTCTCATCATACTCCTGGCAGCTGAACAACTGGTTGGTTCATAGGATCAGCTCATGGATTGTGAGGATCCCCAGTACATAAAGGGTAGGTGCCTAATCCCCTATAACATCAAAAACAATCTATAAAAATCAACCAACACAGGTTTTGAAGACTCATTCGAAATGATTTGAAACAACGGGAAATCCGCAAGTGAACAACATCATCGAACAGCACCGAACACGATGCCGATCATCCAGGCCGTACCCAGCGCCAGTTGCCTGGTGATTTTCCCGGCCTTGGACGGTATCTACTGTTTGTTTAACATGTGACAAAGAAAAAACCACTGGATGCCTTGACAATGCCTTATAGTTCAACCTTCATCAACCGCCCCCGACTCATTCTGACCATATCATCTCATCCTGGAACCTGGCCATGAAAAGCGACTGAGATTCCCTGCTGCCGCAGCAGGGTCGAAAAGCTTTTCCAGAAATGGCACCCATGTCGATAGCAAAGTGACACAAGCTGCGCTACCGTATCGGACATGAGGCTGTCAACCGTCTGAGCTCTGTGAATGATGGATAGTTAGTGCGAAATCGCAAGTGGAATCCTGCCGGGTTCAACATGATGTCGTGAGCTTGACGCCCACCTATGGTACTGTAACACTCGCCTGTTTCCAAGTTCTGTCTACGAAGCAACAGCTGCAGCCGAGATGGCCAATCGAGAGCGATTGGGCTGGTGTATAGCTGGATGTTTCATCACTATAGATTTCTATAGTCCCAGCCCCAGAAAACATCATTTATGACCAATTTTTCAAAAAACATCGCCATTTTAATGCTGGGTTGCGCGGAATCTTTTCACCATTGGACACCATTGGATCCCTTCATCAAGGGATATCCCATGCCCGCCCGCTGCCAGCGCTGCCCATCCCCCCAGACCTGAGCTCCTCATCACTCAGAACGCTCAGGTCAGGCTGAATGCTCATCCTCAGCGGAACGTGGGATCGAGGACGATAACATTACTATTTGACATTGACATCATGATGCAATGTGTATATATATATATATATATATATGTGTACATATGTATATATATATATTATGTACATATATGTACATATATGTATATATATATGTATAGATATCATGTATAGTATGTCTTAGTATGTATAATATGTATAATGCACATATATATAATATATAATAATCACCACTACTCACCTAGTCTTCGGGGGATGTAGCAGCTTTAATATTCTGCAACAGCTTAAAACCCGCAATAACATCTTTGATGTGCCGGTTTCACATCCAAACCTGACACATCCTGACACATCCATCTGCCTCTGTGCCCTCGGTTCACGTATGTTAAAGCCTTCAGTCCTTCGAGGTGTCAGTCCTTTACAAGCTGGGCGTATCCAGCTGTAGTCAGGGTAGTCCATGTCCGAGTGTTACAGTGAGGAAGGAAAAAAAACAGTTGCACTCTTCAAGGATCTTCAAGGCATGTTGCCGAAAGCAAGCCCCATCTCTTCCAACTTCTTAGCTCGTAGGACTTCCCACATCTTCCCACCATCGTTGACAAGAATTCCCGCTAGTCCCCAGTTCACCCCTTGCAACCATCAACCTGCCAACATCAGGATGAATTGGGTTGTCCCGAATTGGCCAAGGCTCTCTACCTTCTCTCGCCGTTCTGGCAGACTGGTTGACGATTGACATTATCCTACTATAGTAAGATCATGATCGATAATGGTCAATAGTTGGCAATTTTGAAATTCCCAGTGAGGAGATTGCTGCTTTTGCTGCAGCAACCAGTTTTGATCTTAAATCATATTGATAAAATATGTGTTTTCATGATTTACTGAGATCCGATTGATCATGGGTTTAGGACAGCCAACAACACTGCTCTCATTGTACTATCTCTATGTCGTTGCACAGTCCTGTTTCACAACAAAATGAGAGGATTGGAAGTCTCAATCTGACAAATGCAGCCAAGGTCGGCAATCAAAGCGGGTTCAGGGACACATCCATGAAACAACCAGCAATGAAAGGACCTATGAACAAGCTCCGCAAAGAAGTAAATACATATTGCCTGAGAAAATCTTACATCTACCTAAGAAAACTTCAGACAAAATAAAGACCTGCTTTTAATATCTTTTAATGAATTACTGGCAAATCTCGTTTGATTCAGTTAACTGATTCCATATTTGCTTCATTTTGCTTCCCCGTTTCAGTCCGTTTCAGTCCTTCGTAGTGCAGCTGAGGTGTTGCACCCGCACCGGCCACAGGACGAATCTCTGGACCACCTCGATACCTGGGGCGGCTCAGTTTCTCGAGAAAATCCTGGTTTTCCATGACTCAAAAACATGAAAATCTCACGTGAAACCACATCAAAACACTATTATAAATTTATAGAGGACTTTTCAAAATGCGTCAAGTCGCCTGATATTTTTCATTGGATGTGTTGTTTCAACTATATTTCACGATGTTTCACTGTCATGTTTGTCGTCCCACGAAGATTTGTGACATATTTTGATCTTTCAGGGCATTGATGATGTCGGAATGCTTTTACGCTCCTTCCACTGCCTTCACAATGGCACCTATGACGTCTCACTTTTTTCCATCTCTATCCATGTATGTCCAATATTTGTTCACCGATCATCATCATATCACACCATATCATAATCATAATCATAATCATATCATGTCATGTTTCATTTCCAAACCTCAACCTCCCCTACAAGCATCGCATCCCAGTTTTCGCGCTATCCTCGCCGCAAGGCACTTTGTCTTCGACAAGTAGACGCCGATTGCTCGACACCTTGCTCAGCAAGCCGAGCATCAAACATGGAGTGACAAATGATGGAAGTAAGGGACAGTAAAATTAGGTAATATCCAAATATGTATATATACCTCAAAACACAAGGGTTTTTCTTTGTGTTACAGGTAAACGCGAGGTTTCAGTTGAAACCTACAAACCTTCAATATTCTTGTTCGTTCTTATATATTTTACATTATTTACTATTCCAACTTGGGGGATGCATTTTGGGGGTCTTTGAACTCGCGACTCGCGACTCGCGAGTTTCTGGGGTTTCTGGGGAGCCTCACCACATTGCCAACGGCACCATAGGCACACTGACCTTGTGACACTGCAGCTGCAGGATCTTCAATGTACATTGTACATCGAGTGGTTTTTCAGCATGTAGGAACTCCCGAATCTATACATTCTATACCAAACTGATAAAACCTATACCAAATCTATAGCAAAGTGGTCATCCCTAATGGCCCGTTCACGGGTACAGGTCGGCATCGGCAGCAAGGTGATGCCCAAATCGTGTGAGTTGACCACGGAGCTCAGTGATGCACGGTCTTGATCAGCTCTTCGTCAAAGTGTGGATTGGCCAATTTGTCGCGCTGGCGTGGCGGGGCATGCTAAAAGCAATGCATATCTCCAAATCATTCAAAATCGTAGTCAGTGCCATCTACGCATTCTGGTCGAATGAAATCAAACCTTCTTGAAGAAACAACTGTGAGAGCAAAGAGTCAAGCCACGTCATCTGCTTGATTTTCAATACCACTAAACCAATGAACCACAAAGAAACGAAGTTCTTTCCAGGCCAAAAGCCACGAAAAGAATCTGGTACCGAGACGCCGCTCACCCAGCCCGCCGAAGGCACCAGCTTCTTGAACTGCTCTTTGGAGATGCTCCGTTGGAAATCTAACCTCAGGGGTGTTGAAGTTGATCCTTCCCATACCCATACCATACCCATACAGGTCACATACATATTATGTTATTTATACATATATACAGTATACACGCTGTATGTGAATGTATGTAGATGTATATGTATATGTATATGTATATGTATATGTATATGTATATGTATATGTATATGTATATGTATATGTATAATGTATAATGTATAATGTATAATGTATAATGTATAATGTATAATGTATAATGTATAATGTATAATGTATAATGTATAATGTATATGATGTATATGATGTATATGATGTATATGATGTATATGATGTATATGATGTATATGATGTATATGATGTATATGATGTATATGATGTATATGATGTATATGATGTATATGATGTATATGATGTATATGATGTATATGATGTATATGATATTGTATATGTATATCTGGATGTCTGGATGTCTGTATGTCTGTATGTCTGTATGTATGGATATATGCATGCATATATATATATATATATATCGAGGTGGATATGTATATTGATATGTTTAGAACCCAACTGGTGCAAACCAATGACCCAACAGTTATTGATCACAAGCTTTGGTGGATCTGAGGTCGAAGCCGCTGCAACTTGTCAAAGAATTGAGGTTTGCTGATCATCTGCTTCAGCCGGTCCCACCTGAGCACTGGGGCAGACCATCTACAGCGTCACCAAGGATTAGGAAACCAGAAAAAGGATGGAAAAGGGAAGATGCATCACTCTTTGGAGCGCCCTCCCAAGAACTCTCGTGCAAGAGCTGATGGAGCAACATGTCAAAACTTCGCGCACCAAACATCTGACCGCTCTCAAGGTCTTTTTGATACCCATAGCCAAAAACCATAGCCCATGCCCGCACCTAGTCTCAGGTTGAGCCAGAAGGATTGACACTGCCTTGCAGCCAAGATGAGTTCTCCATTCAGATCCCAGCTGTTCAATCATCAATCCAGGGCCAATCGGCCAATCATCCAGCGCCAATTTTGAACATCAAACGATCAGATTTTCTGGGGGAAGATAGCTGGATGACCCGTCCCAAATGGTCCCAATGGTCTCAATGGTCCAACAAAAATGGTCACGACACCTCTAAGACATCCTTCACCACCGGTGCAGGCCGGTTCGTGTTCTTCACGTCCTGGAAATCACAAAGTCACCATGGGGTAAAATGGCAGGGTCTACCAGCGACCTGACTGATGTTTTTTTTGGGAAGCTACTCCCTGGTAAACTAACATAGCTATTGAACATGGCCATTTATAGTGGATTTACCCATTGAACATGGTGATTTTCCATAGTTATTTTAGTTTACCAGAGGGCAAGGCATTTCCACTTCTATGGCTCTTTCAAACGGAGTGGTGGATGGTCAACCAATAGTGGGTGAAAAAAAAAACTTTGGGCTATCCTCCAGTAAAGAAACACGGCAATGGAACATCACCCCGTCAAGAGGCCGCTCATCTACATGGGGTAATTCCATGTTTGGTTTCAGTACATTACAGAATACTTTGGAATGATGTTGAATCTGCGTTTCATCACATCCCATCTCTTTCTTCCATCATCTCTGGAAAAAACATGCCCAAAGCAGCTAAATTGGTTTGTCCAACAGGTATCCCAGGATTTCCCAAGGTTTATCACCTTTTTCCATACTCAAATTGCTGTGAAACCTGTAAATCTCCCAGCAATCACCTGCAGGCTGTCACGGGTGATGGAGGAGGCACACCACCTCAAACTATTGGATGAGCTGCGGGTTATCCAACGGAAACCATAGGAAAACCATAGGAAAATGGTGGTTTAATGGGATTTAATGGGATTTAATGGGATATAACCTCTGGTAAACTGTCACATAACTATGGAAAGATCCATCATTTTTAATGGGAAAATCCACTATTTCTATGGCCATTTTCAATAGCTATGTTAAATTACCAGAGGGTACTTTGTTTAAGGAAGTCGAAGAGTAGTTAATTCATGTTGATTCATGTTGATTCATCAACTTTCTCAACTTTGAGTTTTGATGGCTAAACACACAGACAGCCCCCTCCAGCACTGGGGCTCTTTGGCTTGATGGTATCAAGGCATTCATCCAATTTGGCCTGCGATGGCTCAGGTGCTTGTCGTTTAAAAGATATGTTACGAATAGCCCAGGATTAGCAATGTCAGCATCTGCAACCTGGCAAGTCCAACTTGGACACTCCAACTCCAACGGCGTAGGGTTTTCCGGACGGAACATCCAGTTCCCAGGGTCCCATTCCCACGTGAAAACGATATTGACCCATCCTGAAATGGTGGAAATGTTCAGTGCCAGGTTGGATTCTAGGTCAAGTTGCATGATTTCTTGATCCACACCCTTCCTTTTGATCAACTCTCCATGTTCATTGTTTACCCTGTGGTAACTAAGGACAATGGCCCATCAAATCCCGCGAAAGTAGATTATTACCAATTCACCCATTATTTTAGTGAAGGGCAACGTCAATAAAATATCATAAAATAAATAAACATCCGGCAATGAAACGTGGCAATGGAAAACCCCTTGGAACTGGAAATTTACCGTACTGGAAAAGCTTTTTCTATAAATGGTGGATCGTCCATTTGTTTCACTGGAGGCTAATTGGAGGTTTCCGAAGTCATGGGGGTACCCCCTTGCATCATCCAAGTCATTAGACCCGACCATGACTTAGTATTGAAACAACCATGGGGGTATCCCACGAATATTCCAGCTATATCCAATAAAATCCCATAAATATCTCATCATATCCCAGAAATATTCCATATCCCATAGATATTCCATAGATATTCCATAGATATTCCATAGATGTTCCATAGATATTCCATAGATATTCCCTAGATACCCTCTGGTAAACTAACATAACTATGAAAAATATGAAAATCACTGTTTGTGGCCCTTCAATCGCCCAACATCGTCCCCACCTGCAACTCCTCTGCCACCTCTGGGGGCACAAGTGCAGATCCCGATGCCTGGAATGATGCCAGTGGCTTCAACAGAGATCTCAACGTCTTTCAAGCCGACACACACACACACACACCCCCACATACATACATACATACACATACACATATACAGAACATATAATTTTATGTGTATATATATATATACATACATACATTTATGGATATATATATATATAACTATATATGTATATACATATCATACATATATATATATATATATATATGTACACACCGTAAATACACATGATCTTAATAGACGAAAATCACACTGGTGTCGGATGTTCATCCTCACATTCATATTATGGGTTACCCTCTGGTAAACTGTCCCATAACTATGGAAAATCACCATGTTCAATGGGAAAACCCACGATAAATGGCCATTTTCAAGAGCTATGTTAAATTACCAGAGGGTATCAGATTCAATCTTTATTCATGATTATTATGGAAAAATATGATGGATTATTTTGGATTATGATGTGAAAACCGTCGGTTTATGGGAAAATCAATGAACATCATAGGTGGCATAGCATGACCCATCGCTACCCATCGCTACCCATCGCTACGTGCACACGCTTTTCTTCTCCGACAGCTCGACGCTTTGGAGTCCGCCGGGACCTCAGAAACTGTAACCGAACATGGTGACTTCCTCCTGCAAAGCATCAGGAAGATCCTCTATCCTCAGGGTGGCATGGTAGCATCAAAACATATCCCACATAGCTTGAGATGCAAACCATTGGTTTCCAGTTGAAGTATAATTTGTATAATGTTTGCAGGTTTAAAGCCAGCACTTTTGGCTTAAACTCTCCCATCCTTGCACGCGCATAAGTTGTAAAGAGTTCGTGCTCCTTTCCAAAGCGCTCCCAGAGTTTCTCGAGCATCTCTCGACGACCTGCCTCTTTCCTCGCGGCCATCGGTCGAAAACCCCAGGCTGGGAACCACTCGTCCTTGAAGAAACAGGTACCTTAGCAGCTGCCATCAAGGCTGTCAATACCGGGCTGGAAAAAAATACGTGTATTATATCAGCCTATATCTAATCCCTTTGTAAAATAACATATTGAGCTATTTATTCATGTATTTGATGTTGTTTCTATGTTTTGCATGTGTGTGTGTGTCTTTTACTTTTCTACATTTTGTTTGCAATCGACTGAATCAACCGATGTATACAAATGTCAAGGATATCATGGAGTGCTCAATGACGTATTCCATCGATCTTATTGATCCAAAGCCTTTCACAAACACGGTTGACTGAAATAGGGGACCCCATTCCATCCCCCGAATGATCAGAATCATGTTCCCCACAGTTTCCCACTATTCAATGGTCATGTATGGTCATTAAGCGGGCTAATTAGCTAATTCTAATCACAGCCTATTTTCAAACTCTTAGCCAACAGCCCAGCCCATCCCGCGAGCAGTTTTTAGGTCAAAGCACATCCCACGACATCTTGCCACGCCTGCGGTGGTTCTTTGGCGCTGCTGATCAGCATCGGGCTGTGCTTACAGAGGTTTCCTTCGGCCCACCTGCCCAGGGGGTGGTCACTGGCAGTGGGATCATCAAATCGGGGCAAAGATGAAACTGCCAGCGGCAATCCCGCAGTCTGCCAGGGGTTCATCATTGAGTGTGTCTGTATATATAATAATATATATATAATATAATATATATATAATATATAATATATATATAATTATATATATAACATATATATAATATATATAATATATATATATATAATATAATATATATATATAATTATATATATAATATATAATATATAATATATAATATATAATATATAATATATAATATATAATATATAATATATATATAATATATATATATATATATAATTATATATATAATATATAATATATAATATAATATATATATTATATTATATATAATATAATATATATATATATATTATATTATATATATATGAGATTCTGATGACCTAAAACGGGCACCAATAAACCCACAACTTTGGGCGTTTTGAGTACCAAACCATCGTATTGTTGCGCTAGGAAACATGAGAGATCACTTAAAATTCCTTGTAGGCGAGTCTTTTGGAGCCTAGAAACCAGCTGTTGTTCGTTTGGCCTCACCTGATGCAAAGGTCCTCTTGGGTACCAGCAGGCCACAACAAAGGAAAGGTTACCTTTCGAGTCAGTGGCGATGCATATTCATCCGTAGCTTCCAGAGGTGTGTAAGGCTCCGCGCAGGGTGAGATGACCAAAAAGTTGAGACTGCAACCCAGTTGAGCTGCAGCTTCCACTTTGTGATGTCCATCCAATAGGAACCAGGCCTTCCTGCATGAATCCATGAATTTCCTGGTGGTTGCCACCCATTTCGGATCATCATCCCAAATAAGTCCCGAAATATCAGGATTTTGTGGGCACAGTCAAGAAAAAAATCAGAGATTCTTGAAACCACCAGATCTTATGGGATGATAATTTTCAACCACCAGATTTTTCGGTGATTGAACTGATTTTTCAATATTTTTCACTGATTAACCTGATTAACCCATCCAAAAACCATCCATTTTTTCGAAACTCCGAGTTTCTCATCGCAGGCGTCCACCCGACGCTGTTGCTTTCGGCGGCCCCCGGGCCCACGGAGCGCCGGATCCTCGTCGGGCTGCACGTCATGGATCTGACCGTCCATGAAGAAATCCAGCACCAGGGCGGTGGGACGGGCACGGTGACCCGCCTCCATGGGGATAAAATCACTGCCAGTGTTTTAAAATGGGATGATTTAAGGGATATAAGTTCCCATGAATCCATGAATATCCATATTATTTGGGATTATTTGGGATATTCCCTGGGATATTCATGTGGATAATCCATGGGAACGAAAAAAAGCCAACAGTATCCAACAGTGGGATGGAGCAAAACCTATGAACTGCCGTGTTTGGAGGGACATCCATAAATCCCAGCTTTGTTGGGGTTTGTGGAAATCCCATCCCCAAAATAGGAAAGTCAATTTGGATCATCCCAAATAGGGTGGAACATTGAAAAACGAAACCACCAATCGGAAATGTTGTTCCAAGCATTTTGGGCAACAAAATCTTGCGAACAAAATTGCAACACGGTGACACTGTGACAGGACTAATATCTTTTCTAATCGCACCTTCAAGGCCTCTTGAAGTTGCTGAGTGTAGAATTTCACCCTGGTGGGATCCAAATGTTTTTGTGTCTTCAACAAGTGGTTCATATTGTCCGGCAGGTACTCCCCATTCTTCGGCCGTGATAAATAACACTCCTGGCGCGTGCCTCGGATTTGATGCAGAAAATGGGTGTCCTTCAAGTTATAAACGGCATCTTCATTGAAGGCTTCAAAGGTCTCCTGCAGAAATGCCACGTCATACTTGGCATCTGGGAAGAGCTGCGAGATCGTGGCAAGGCTTTTGGGGTTCAACAGCTGAAGCACATCCGAGACCTGCTGGGGATCCAAGAATCGCCGGAAGCTCTCGCCAAGGAAGCTGACATCAGCTTGGGATCCACCAGTTTGGATGGTCCACTCCAAATTGTTGCCATCTTGGAGGTTCAACCCGTGGGTCACCTGAAAACGCCGGTGGTAGCGGTTGAACAGCAAACCCACGGTGTCAATCATGATTTCGCAGAGCTCCTGGCCAAACCTGAGCTATCTGAGCTGGGGAAAACGATGTCTCCTCCATGTCAGATCTATTAGATCGATTGAACAGATCTTAATTGGACGATCTATGTGTCATTGGTTTGCAAATGTGTGCAATGTTTCATACATGTTCATACCATCGCCATCACCATCATCGCATGTTTTTCTTTGTTGCTGGACAGGTCTTTGAAAATGGATCATTCAGAGGCACTACTGTATCCCCAGCCTTTAGCATCATCAAACATGGCGTTGGACTGTTTTCGATTTAAACTCATTTGGATCCAGATGTGCACAGAGAGCCGATTTCGAGAGATTCTGAAATGTCACAGATTTCAGGCATGCTTCTCCAACCACCAAAGTCTCACTGACACAGCATCATTCAACAGACAGCATCTCACTTTAAGATCTCACCCAGCTGTCCACGACGCCAAGGGACAAAAAGAAATGGCCCTCCGTCTGCCAGGAAGCCGAACCCATCATCTCCATTTGCAAAGTGCCGGAGAATTCTCAATCATCAAGCGGATGGCCGCATGTCGCCGCGCCGAAAGGGATGGTCCTTGTTGTGTGCCGGGCACGCAGTGCACCAGCAAGGGCACGGGGTGATTGTCACCGGAAAAGAATGAAGCAAATGCCAACTGCAGCACAATGTTGCGGGAATTAAAGGTTGGTCCAAAAATAGGGGACACCCCCCACTGGTCTTTTCAATCGGGAACATGATGATAAATCCATGGGATGGGTGCTGCCCAATTTGCCAATTTTCAGACAAGCCATATGAACATGTGATTTTATATACTAATACATATAATTAATGCATATCCTTGAGATACAGTCCATTGAGACTTCAAAAAGTAAAAACAACTGAAGCACACCTCCGTGTTACCATCTTTCTCCTCATCTCCAAACATCTGACGGGTAAAGAAGTGTCGAAAATCCTCCAGCAGCTTGTGACCGCCAGTGATACCCACATCCGCATAGACACGGCAAATTGCCTGGTGCTTTGAACCAATTGAAACATATTGAAACATCATCCTTGAAAACCTCCTACTCCTTAGCAGCATCATCAGCATCGTTCCCATCCTCATCCACACATCTGTTTCTACAAAAATGGATAGATCCACTCATTTCAAGAAGGGATTGATGATGTGTACATATACATATGTGTACACACACATGTATACACATATTTGATCATATTTGAACCTTTTATTTGAACATGACCAACATCGCCATCATCACCCAGTTTTTAAGAAACAAAATCCGACAGCACCAGCTGCATTATCCACCGCCGTCACCATCGCTTTGAAGAGCCGTTGCGTGTTGAGCAGCGCAAAGAGGCCCAGTGAGGAGCCGAGGAAGTGCAACAGCGCGGGGGTGCGGAAGGCCATCGAAACCTGACAGAGGGTGTGGTGCTTCAGGTAAACCATGGTAAACCCCAGTGAACCTGAACATAAGTGTTGGGATACTGTTGGGCATGTCTGTAGTCCAAATAATCTTAATGGAGTTAATGGAGTAATGGGGACCCCAGGTTGTAATATGTAAAAAAAGTCCAATAACTGTTGGGTCTATGGGGGTTATATCAGTTATATCTATAGTAGTCTATAGTCAATGGAGATTGGACACCAACTTATAACTGGGGGAGTAGCACCCTGAGGGAGCTGGTCATGTGAACTTGGGGTTAATCGACATGCTGTAAAATGTTGCTTGGTTTTATGGGTCTAACAGACATGGTGATTACGGGAATGGGTGGTTCAATATAAAATAATATAAATAGGTTGAAAGCAAGTCTCTACTGGGTTTTGTGTGGTTAGTACCAATCCTAAATGTGGTAATCCCAATACAACACCCCCCCATGACTTATCAGAAATGGGTCTTTCAATCCATCTGGGACTGGGAAGACTACACTGCAGCTTTGATGCTCCGGGACTCCAAGAAACGTTGGCTTTCACCTTCTCTGGATCACTTTCTGTCCATGGACCAAAGGAGGAATCCCACCGGGCACAAGCACTTCGTGCTCTCCAGAGTTGGTTGCGGCCCAATTCTGGCGGGACTTCCTGGGTGGGGCAGACTTCAGGGATACGTATGGGAATTTGGAGGATTTGATGTACCAAAATTGTTGGTATACCATGGTATACCATGGTATAAGATGGTATAAGATGGTATAACACCACTAAGAATGGATTGATTCAACCCTTTGATTAGTCTACACAAAAACAGAGCTTTTACTCCAAATGGTTTCCTGTCGATTTCTGGTCTTTTCAACAGCGAAAATATCGTCATTGGAGATCATCCCAAGTTTTGGATCGAGTTGGAGATTCGGAGCGACACATCTACTGACTGTTCACTGGGGGTCTGTTGGGGAACAACTGGTATGCAAGAGTCGCCAACAGTTGGAAAACGGAGAAACCATGTTTGTTCCCAGCTTCAAACTTCACAGCTTTCACCACGCTTACAGCAAACGACCTTGGGCTCCCTTCGAAGTACTTCTCCCGCAGATACTCGGACAGCTGATTGTCGAGATCCACGTAATCCAGTTCTTGGCCGCGGTTTCTGATCCATTCGCAAAACTCTTCGTACCACTTCCTGACACAACTGGCACTGAGTCTTAGGAAGCAAAGGGAAACCGTGACTCTCGATCCTCCAAAAACATGGTGCAATGACAATGGATTCGGGGCTCCCTGGTTTAACGGTTAAACCATCTCGAGTTCGATGACCCCAACTCGAACCTCCATAGTTGCCGAGTGGATTTGCTCCTGACAGATGGATCAACTACGCTTCCAGGAGACAAGGGAAGGGCCACATGGGCCACCACTCTTGGGCTGAATGATTACAGCCCCATCTCCAAAACCAGCATCAAAGATCATCAAAGCAGGCATGTCTTCAAATACTCGACCCCCAAAAACACACGAAGATTATTTCTGGTTTCTTTTCTTTGGGATTAAACATAGAAGTTATACCATGTTTTTTTTCCATAGCTTTCCATGATTTTCCAACGACTCGTCGCCTGGCATCTTCCTCAACGGCTCTGGTCTCCAATCGAGTGAGACTGGGCTTAGGAGTCGCCATGGCGGTGAAACAGGCAGCTGGTGAAACAGGACTGACAGGGCCTCACTTTATAGCAATGCTGATTGGGAAACATTGGGAAACCTCAAAATTGTGTGAATTCTCGTTTTATATTGTTTGATATCGGTTGATTTTGTTGGGGAGTACACCATCTGCGCCCCAAACAATGAGAAATGCTGCTACCTGAATCAGTCAGTTCTCATGCCTTTGCTGGGGGCAACGTGTCAAGCAGGTCAAGCAAACTTGATCTGTAATATAAATCTGATGCTCCTTTCCGGAAATCCAGCATGCCGAAAAAGCTCCGTGTTTGAAACCCAATAGACTCGTGCCTTCGGTCGAGGTTTGGAACTCTTGGAGCCCTCACCTGGCCACAAGTGAAATGGCCACAGTTCGGCTGTCGATGGGTCAATATATGTCAATATTGAAAGGCCAAAAAAGCACATCGCAGATTCTGTTGTCTAATACTAATATGTACCAATCATCCAAATGTCAGGGGCATCTAATTTCTGAGAGACTAGGGGATAATCCGGATAATTAGCCCTAAAATTGATGATGTTGATGAAGAATTCCAATGGATTTTCATATATCTTCATGATTTTTCCTCTTCAAATGTCAGACCAAGGCCACCGCCTGCAGCATCAACGCCTGCGGAAGTCGCGGCCACCGGGTCGGTCGTCGCTCTCGGGAGTGCCAGACTTTGAATGCAAAAAAGATCATCACTTTGATTAAAGTATGAATGGATGTATTATGTATATATGAAATTATATGAACATATGTATATGATTCGATATGATTCGATACATATTCATGTATAAAAATGTATAAAGTATTGTATAATATACCCAAGCCAATGCTCAGGTGCTTTAAAACTAGAGAGCCACATCACCGGCATTTTTCTTGCTCTGCACCGGTCACCTGAGCGGCTGCCACGGCTGCCAGCTGAAGAATGTGAGCCCTGCGGAGCGAGGGATCCAGAAGCGATGGACGGTTCCGATGGTCTCCATATGACATCGGTTGCATTGACAGGTTTCCGTCTGAAATAATTAATTAATTAATTAATTAATTAATTATAGTAACTCACTATAATTATAGTTATGGAAAACCATCATTTATGGAAAACCCCCATATAATCTGAGTAAATTATAATATTTAATATTTCACTAACTTGAATTAAGGCCATTTGGGGATGATTTCCATTGATTTCCCTTACTAAATCTTACTAACCATTATTCCAGTGAGGGAGAACAGTGAGGTCGTTATAATTTACCCAGATCCAAATGTATCCTACCACATCCCCTCCTGCCGGTCGCTGCGGGAGGAATTGGGAGGCCCCTCAGCCGTCACACACTTGGATCGTTGATACCACCGCTATGGCAGCCCTGTCCCAGGATCTAGGTGCAGGACGCGCTCATGTGCCACCATAACCTTGGTACCGCTGCATTTTTTACACCGGAGATCTTACAGCTTCAGATATCACAGCCTCAAATTCACCAACATCTGGTCCAAATTCTACGAATTTCCCCCGTGGCGTCCATGACAAACGTTACAGCCACAGGCACCACAGGCTTCTCTGCAGGCTTATCCAACCGAGCGGAGCGGGCCTGGAGAAGATACTCTCGGGCCCAGCTGAAGGGTTGTGAACAACCTTTAGCATCCAGCAATCTTGATTTGAACCTTATCAGTTCCTGGAACCTAATTTGAAGGCTGTTGCTAGTTGCCTTCAACAATCTTTTAGCATCCTGCAGGATGATTTTGGCAGGACAAAGCTTGAATCCAAAAAGATGCCAAAATTAGCCAGTACAGTATGGACCAGTCTCCATGGCGATGTCAACTTTGGATGGACACAACAAATGATAAAAAATGCCCACTCAACCCACCTTGTTGCGTGGAGAGTCCTCCTGCAGAGCTCAGCAGGGATCTCTTGCAATTGTAAACTTCATTCAATACATCGCGTCGGGATTTGAACCCAAGATGTCGACTTGATGACCCAGAGCCAAACCAACCTGCCTTGGTTTCAACCCCCCTGGAAAGCGACTACATCATTCCCCCAAATAATGAGCTTACCGATATTTCTCTTTCCTAATATTCCGATCATGCCACATCCATGTTTTGAATGCACCAAATTACCATCCCTTTGGGTGTGTTGGGACGTACATGCAGGCGATTTCCATGTTCTCAACTCGTCGTCCTCGGGTTGTGAAATGGAAGGTCCGCTATCAACCTGACCACTCAGCTTCTGTCGGACGATGCTGTGGAACGGCATAGTAAGAGGATTTCGAAACGCCATAGATCATAGAAGACGAATTAGAACCGTTGTGTACCAGTTATAAGTACTTGGTTGTATGTGAGTTTTCAACCAACCAATCTTGGGGCACCCAATTTTGGCGCAAATCCAATTGGCTTGACAAAGGCTTCTGTTCCCACCTGGATCAAAGCGCTTGTGCCAGAAATCGGTCCTGGATTTCACGTTCAACGAGGCTAAACGTCTAGTGGTGAAGGTATACACAGGTCATCACAGGTCAATAAATTCAATCCAGAGATACCAGAGTCATCAGAATCTGTTGGAGACGTCTAGAATTGAACGCCACCAAGTGATTCATTTGCGGTTTTGATCATCCGTGGTTTGATAGGCAACTATGGCTTGTAGGCAACTGCCAAAGTGCCAATGGGTAGTCTCTGAGAGACGCCGCCAACATATGCATCTTCGCAGCAGTATGGAGTCAAATCTCAAGACACACTGACCGTTGAGCATCTTGAGTCTTGAACTATGCAAACATATGGGACCGCAACTGCCCATCATAGATGAATGTAACACATACGCATGTTTGTAGGTGAAAATAAGACATGAGTCATGAAATTGTCATTAATTTTTTAATCCAACCATGGGAGCCTAGAATGTAAGAATCTTCACCTTGCTACTGTGAGGGATGGCTTATCACAAGCCCCACACCTTCGACTTCAGCGGCACTCGATTCAGGCGGCGTGTCCTGCATGGATACAGGGCCGGGCAGGGTTGATGCACTGAACTTTGTTTGTGGGGCGATGAAACTGTTTTCAGCCAATGATGCCTCTGCATAAAGGATGTGGATCAAAGCAGGTTTGCATGTTTGGCAAGAAACATGAGTGAAGAATATGAAATAATATGAACATGTGCTTCATTCCATCCCAACCTCCATTCCTCTCCACACGTACATATCTTATCTCATCATATCTCCATAACACTCCAACCATCTCCAACCATCTCCAACCGTTCGCCCCGGACGTTCCTTGATGTTTGGAAGGTCATCAAGCTTGCGAATGGGGGGCAATGGATTGCCCAAGGCATCCACGTACGGAGCAGGGTCCATGGGCGCCTTGGTACGCTGAAAACCAGGCGTGTTTGTGTGACTGGATATACCAGAACCATCCAGCCATCCAGAACCGACTTTTGCCAAGTGGTTATCCACTTATATCCCATCTTCGTTGGTTCTCCTATGGTTTCTCTTGGTAAGACTAAACCGATCCAAAGGGTCGGTGTCCGGCTGCCTCAGTGCCCAGCTTCCCGATATCCGGGCGTCTGATGTTTGCTCAGCATGGTGGCGGCCATGGCCTGAGCGATGGAGTTTGATACAACATCAACAGCAGCCAAGAAAAGTCCATCCGAAATCTTATAATATATATATATAGTAGTATATATATAGTAGTATATATATATTATAGTGTGTATGTACATATATATGGTGTGTGTATGCATATATATATATATGGTGTATATATATATATAAACATACGTAGCAGATGTATGACTCTGTATGATGGGGATATTATTTGATACAATCGACATCAGCCCCAACACACGCTGTAAAGCCCTTTTGAGATAAACGGAAAAAGCTACTTCAAAAGACAGCACAAATGAATACAAATCAGAAGTATGTACGAATCATATACACATAATATTCAAGATTATATATCATATTTAACATATCATTGGCTGAGATACGTATATACTGTATTCAAACATGGGACCAAACAATCCGCGTGACAAGTTCGAGCAAAAAAAGAGATCCAATTCCACCCAGCTGCTGTGATGTCCCCTGTGTACTCTGGTACCACTGGGGCCATCTGAGTCACCTGAGCTGATCGGCGGCAGAATGTAGCTGAAGTGCCCCTAAACGCACAACTACTGCATAACTATGCCGAACCTCGATGGTTTTCAGAGATCGGGTCCGCAATTTTGGGATACATTGGGATATTATGATGATATATAATGATATTATATAGGGATATATAGGGATATATAGGGATATATAGGGATATATAGGGATATATAGGGATATATAGGGATATATAGGGATATATAGGGTCCAATATGGGTCATCGAAAAATGTGCCTTGAGGAATGTGACCCCTGGGTCCGCTCCCACCTCCATCGAACGTTTCGAAGTTGGTGGCGACCTGCGTGGCTATCGTGGGTCGTCTCGGATCTCATGGCCTACATGGTAACTGGCACTGCTTCAGAGTTCTGCGAAGATCCTAAGATCATGAAGGTAATAGAAAAAAAATGGCCTTTGACCCGCAATGGTTTTCTCGCGGATCAAAATGTCAAGGCATAGATTTGCATGTGCGCATATCATCTGACGCAACAGAACACAAACACGCATGCTGCAGCCAGCGCTTTTTTTCTTGGCGTCTGAACACCGTGGTGATTTCAACGGCATCAAACCTGCAAGAACATGGATGTGAGCAGTATCATCTGTCTGAAACTTGGGCAAAGAATGACATGATCAAAGTGCCAGTTTTTAAAGTGATGTAGCTGTGATGCCAAGGCTTAAACAAATCCTCTCTTGCACAGATCGCCGCTTGACAAGATCAAACAGCTGATCTTAAATTTTGAAAAGGGAACAGCCACCGGTTGACAAACTTCCGTTGTTCGCGAATGGGAATGGGCTGTGCGGGTCTGAGTTTGGCGCTACTGAACGGCCAGCACAACTCCTGCACCAACCTCAAGAGCCACAGGATCAGTGCTGCTATCACTGCTATCTGTTAGTGTTACTCACTATTTCTGATGATTTCCGATGATTTAATATCAAACATTATCAAATGCTTCTCGTTTTGAAAGTTGTTTAGTTGTCCAAAGCTTGCTTTTCTGTAGTGGTGCGTGCAGCGTCAGGGGCTGCACCGTACGACCGCGATCTCGCAGTACAAATCGACTAAGCCTCAGAGAGCATCCATGTCTGAACATCCATGGATTTTTTTCAGAATGGTTCTATGCAATAGTCCGTTTCACTTGCGGTGGATCAAACATGGGTTCTTCATAGAAATGGGTTCGTCATAATGATATAATACGGTGTATCTATATCATTATAGATACATATGTGTGTATACTAGATCTCAAATGATATATATCCGCCGACCCCGGCAGACGCAAGGGGGAGTGCGTAAGGGAAAAAGAGTTTATGACACAGCTGCCAGGAAAGAATAAGAATAATTCGCTGACCCTGGCCGATGCAAGGGGGAGCGCGTAAGGGAAGAAGAGGTGCTGCACTGCTACTTTTATACTGCCAGGCAGCAGCAGGCAGCAGGCAGCAGGTAGCAGCCAGCAGCAGCCAGCAGCAGCCCGCACCAGCCAGTAGCAGCCAGCAGCAGGCAGCAGTACGTGTCTGGCAGGCAGCATCCGGCAGCAGCAACCAGCAGCAGCCGGCGTTAGGCAGCCAGCAGCAGCCAGCAGCAGCCAGCAGCAGCCAGCAGCAGCCAGCAGCAGCCAGCAACAGCCAGCAACAGCCAGCAGCAGGCAGGAGCAGGCAGCAGCCAGCAGCAGGCAGGAGCGGCAGGCAGCAGCAGGCAGCAGGCAGCAGGATTCTATTTTAATTCGCTGACCCTGGCCGATGCAAGGGGGAGCGCGTAAGGGAAGAAGAGGTGCTGCACTGCTACTTTTATACTGCCAGGCAGCAGCAGGCAGCAGCAGGCAGCAGCAGGCAGCAGGCAGCAGGTAGCAGCCAGCAGCAGCCAGCAGCAGCCCGCACCAGCCAGTAGCAGCCAGCAGCAGGCAGCAGTACGTGTCTGGCAGGCAGCATCCGGCAGCAGCAACCAGCAGCAGCCGGCGTTAGGCAGCCAGCAGCAGCCAGCAGCAGCCAGCAGCAGCCAGCAACAGCCAGCAGCAGGCAGGAGCAGGCAGCAGCCAGCAGCAGGCAGGAGCGGCAGGCAGCAGCAGGCAGCAGGCAGCAGGATTCTATTTTATTTTTATTTTATGGCAGCAACAGCAAGAGCAACAGCAACAACAACAACAACAACAAGAACAAGAAGAACAAGAACAAGAACAAGAACAACAACAACAACAATGACAATGACCCTTTGCCGGGGGACCCTGTTGGGTCCCCCTCCCACCGGTCACGTACGTCGATTCATTGACTCCGGGGTTTTTGTTTTACCGGTGGGGGGTCCTTCCCGGAGTCTCCTCGAGATACGTGGGGCTCTTTGGGTTGCCCTTCCCGCCCTGATTTGTTCGTTCGAGGCCGCATCCTCGAGGTTCAAGTTCGATGGTAACTTTGTGCGAGATCTCGAACACCTTCAGGCGATAGAATCTCTCGAAAAATTGTGCCTTTGTGGGCACAGCAGCAGCAGTCGCTGTCGCCTCTCATTAACATGGTGTTTCCTTGCCGGAAGCTGTGTTTGAAGGGTCAGCTGCACTAGCAGCAGCAGCAGCTCCAATAGAGCAGCCAGGAGCAGGCAGCAGCCAGCAGCAGGCAGGAGCGGCAGGCAGCAGCAGGCAGCAGGCAGCAGGATTCTATTTTAATTTTATTTTATGGCAGCAACAGCAAGAGCAACAGCAACAACAACAACAACAACAACAAGAAGAACAAGAACAAGAACAAGAACAAGAACAACAACAACAACAATGACAATGACCCTTTGCCGGGGGACCCTGTTGGGTCCCCCTCCCACCGGTCACGTACGTCGATTCATTGACTCCGGGGTTTTTGTTTTACCGGTGGGGGGTCCTTCCCGGAGTCTCCTCGAGATACGTGGGGCTCTTTGGGTTGCCCTTCCCGCCCTGATTTGTTCGTTCGAGGCCGCATCCTCGAGGTTCAAGTTCGATGGTAACTTTGTGCGAGATCTCGAACACCTTCAGGCGATAGAATCTCTCGAAAAATTGTGCCTTTGTGGGCACAGCAGCAGCAGTCGCTGTCGCCTCTCATTAACATGGTGTTTCCTTGCCGGAAGCTGTGTTTGAAGGGTCAGCTGCACTAGCAGCAGCAGCAGCAGCTCCAATAGAATTTTTGTCTAGGGTTCCAGCAGCATCAGTAGCAGTAAGAGCAACGGCTACTACTACTGCTACTACTACTACTACTACTACTACTACTACTACTACTACTACTTGCGCAGCAGGAAGCGCAACGGCAGCAGGCAGCAGCAGCAGGAGCGTCTTCAGCAGCAGGAGCGTCTTCAGCAGCAGGAGAAAAAAGTAGCTAAAATCATCATTTTCTATGGGTTCCAGAAGTTACGTTAGGCATTTTTGCGGTGCAATTTCGAAGCTTTTCCGTCCTTCACTGCCATTGGGATTTGCCGCTGGGAGTGGTTCGCTTTTAGGCGTCGCAGCTAGCCACCAGCAGCAGCAGCAGTAGGAGCGTCTTCAGCAGCAGGAGAAAAAAGTAGCTAAAATCATCATTTTCTATGGGTTTCAGAAGTTACGTTAGGCATTTTTGCGGTGCCATTTCGAAGCTTTTCCGTCCTTCACTGCCATGGGGATTTGCCGCTGGGAGTGGTTCGCTTTTAGGCGTCGCAGCTAGCCACCAGCAGCAGCAGCAGCAGCAGCAGGAGCGTCTTCAGCAGCAGGAGCGTCTTCAGCAGCAGGAGAAAAAGTAGCTAAAATCATCATTTTCTATGGGTTTCAGAAGTTACGTTAGACATTTTTGCGGTGCAATTTCGAAACTTTTCCGTCCTTTACTGCCATGGGGATTTGCCGCTGGGAGTGGTTCGCTTTTAGGCGTTGCAGCTAGCCACCAGCAGCAGCAGCAGCAGCAGCAGCAGCAGCAGTAGGAGCATCTTCAGCAGCAGGAGAAAAAAGTAGCTAAAATCATCATTTTCTATGGGTTTCAGAAGTTACGTTAGGCATTTTTGCGGTGCACTTTCGAAGCTTTTCCGTCCTTCACTGCCATGGGGATTTGCCGCTGGGAGTGGTTCGCTTTTAGGCGTCGCAGCTAGCCACCAGCAGCAGCAGCAGCAGCAGCAGCAGCAGGAGTGTCTTCAGCAGCAGGAGAAAAAAGTAGCTAAAATCATCATTTTCTATGGGTTTCAGAAGTTACGTTAGGCATTTTTGCGGTGCAATTTCGAAACTTTTCCGTCCTTTACTGCCATGGGGATTTGCCGCTGGGAGTGGTTCGCTTTTAGGCGTTGCAGCTAGCCACCAGCAGCAGCAGCAGCAGCAGCAGTAGGAGCGTCTTTAGCAGCAGGAGAAAAAAGTAGCTAAAATCATCATTTTCTATGGGTTTCAGAAGTTACATTAGGCATTTTTACGGTGCAATTTCGAAGCTTTTCCGTCCTTCACTGCCATGGGGATTTGCCGCTGGGAGTGGTTCGCTTTTAGGCGTCGCAGCTAGCCACCAGCAGC